CCACAATGAGAAATCTAGAAAGCAGTCAGAGAGGTAAATTATTAATATTGTGACACCTGGCAAGCTGATGTAACTTTACTACAGCTGGTCAATTTAGAACAAGTACCAACAGCCAATTAAAATATCAGAATTAATCTACAAGCACTCCTCCAGAAAAAACAAAAACAAAAAAAGAGTGTTACATTCTTTCCTGGATCACTTCTGGTAGACGGCAGCTACATTTAACCATTGACAGGATTAAGAGGGATTGTTAACTGCTGCTTTGCACTTAATTACTCTTGTTGGCAGGCAAAGTGACATTCGTTAGTGTGATCTGTTTACAAGAAACGTACCTTCACACCAGATAACAAAAAGGCATAACGTATCTAAAATATTGTCTTCTAAATAAGGTGCTCCAAGATTTTTTTCCACAATACTTAAAATTTGATTTAGATTAGTCAGTTGATTGGTTTATTTAGTTCCTGACAGTTTCTGAACACTTATGATATTTTAAAAATATGATATGTAGGTTATGTACTGTTTGTAAACACTATTGCCAACAAAAGTCAGTCAACTTCCTTTTTTTTGGCACTTTGTCTGCAATTTCCGTAGCTTCTTCTTGGATTCGTACTGCCTATGGTCTGGCATCTGGTCACTACCTTTTTATAAAGTCCTGATCAAACCTGCACACTGTGCCTGGAAACGTCCCAGTCACAGCAAAAGAAAAAATAAAATAAAGGCGGTGGTTAGATGATACATGTTTAAAGACACGTAAGACAGCTTTTTGTGGACTAAAAAGAGATTACTGAAATTCGCGAAATGGCAAATATTAAGATTAAAATTAACCCTCTTTACTGCGCTTTTTCAGAGGTTTCACGCTTAAAGTAAGTATTAAAGAATATCTGGAATTCGAGAGTAAAGTACCAGTTCAGGAATGCAGCGGGCAAGCAATTATTATACCTTACATGAAAGGTATGGACAACGTGCTGTATGCTTAATGTAAGCCTGAAACCTCTATTTGACAAAACAATCATTATCATCATGGCTGTATCCCTTGCGTCCGACCAATTCCACGCGGCTTTCTCCTCTGTGGTGCTACAACAGTGCCACTGCAGAGCCTACGCCAGCCGTTCTTTAACTGGCAGACCGAGTAGAGGATGGGATTCAGGGCTGAGTTGGCCAGTGTGAACGTTATCACCCAGAAGAACATGGTAGAGGAGACATCTAGGTGAACAAGGAAGTTCCTGGCCAGGATGAGGAAGGTGATGATGAAAATGGGGCTCCACATGATTAAGAAAGAAAGCACAAGGACCAGAAGGGTACGGAAGAGCTTCATATCCTGGCGGGACACACGGTACTCAAGAGGGTCTCCAGCTGGGGGCTGGCTGTCTCGGGGTCGCAGCCCGAGCCTACTTCTTTTAGCAATCTGTAATATAGATAATAAATATTACACATTACTGCCAATCTGTATTGTCTGACCTTATATAATGTGGACAAAAGAGATAGAAAGAAACCATCAGTGATTGATCTACATATAGATTTACACATATGGAGCATGATGTTTGTCTCCAATGCGTCTCAAACATCCAAAAAGTCCCCCAGAGCTAAAATCAGTCTGTGGCTCCTCAGAGACATTTTCTATCGTCTGTATCACTTCAGTGTCCACATTGGTAGAACTGGCTGTCCCATTTAATATTGACATTTGATAGTGCATAGCTCTGAACCCACACACACACACACAAAGGCACCATTTTCGGCTCCAGTAATTAATAAAGCACACGCATCTCAGTTATCACAGCAACAGAGAAATGAATGATATTCACAGATGGCACAGAGTCAGTATATCTGCAAATGAATGGGCATGAGTTGGCAATAACTGTGCTTATTAAAGGAACAATCATTATCAAAAGGGTAGAGCAAAGGTACAAAATGTACACAAAAACAAAGTGTGGCCATTGAGATAAGCGAGGTGGTGAATATGTGGGGAAATTACTTTGTGATTTTAGAAATGCTCATTTATATTCAAGACCCATTTTCAAAGATTTATGTCTGCAGTTGGCAACAAAGTGCTTCGGGCTGAGTGCCACAGACACAGTGGGAAAGTCAATAATAGACTAACTTAATGTGGGATGTCTTAGAGGGTAACTTCGGTATTTCTCAACATGGACCATACTTAACCATGTTTTTTGGTCTAGGTGACTAATGGGAATAAGAATTTTTGAAACTTGGTCCAGTGTTGAGTGAGAGCACCTCAGCCAGCAGCTGTAAAATAGGATGCGATGTAACCACTTGGGGCACTGACAGGCTCAGATTATGTTTCTTAGTGTCTGAAAACATTATGGAGAGGATCCTTACAAAGATAGACCTTTTCTGTAAAGAGTAAAATTCTTTTTGTTTAGCCAGAAACAGCCCCGAAATCACTACTGCCGAACCTGCCAGACTCCATTTAAATTAACAGTCATTTTAGCGTGTATAGAGCCAGTATATTTTCACATCTAACTGGGTGAAGTAAAGGATTATTTAACCAAACCAGAGTTGGTGATTGTTTTAACAGTGGAAAGACGAACCAAGGCGGCTTTTGGTGAGTTTAATTTTGTTTCTGTTGACTTAATGAAGAGTGTTTTATGGTAATCAAATAATTACTATTTATTTAAATAAAGTTTGGTGGGTTTGGTGATCACAATTTTGGAGCCGTTTTTGGTTGAACAAATGGTCTGTCTCCGCCTTTCAGTGGCAAAAACAAGCACTTTTAGTGGACGTAAATTGACAGTACACAGTTGCCCATTAACGTTACCTTGAGGACTGTTTTGCCGCTGCCAGGTGCAGCACTCTCAGTCAATACTGAACCAGTTTCAAAAATTGTTGTCTCCATTAGTTACTTAGACACAAACACATGGTAAATTGGGTGTAGATTGAAAAACACAAAAGTTACCCTTTAAGTGAGAAAAATACAGAAAAACTCCACCTTATCTTTAAAAGCATGGTTGAGACTGTCTAATCCTAAAAAAACTTTGCCTTGACATATCTGTCAGTCAAAAACCACAATAAACCCACCTGTAATATTTTGCTGTAACTGACTACAATTATGAATCCTGGGAGGAAGAAGCACAGTGCAGTGAAGGCTACATTCCACGCAATCTCTCCAGTTTTGTCAGGCCACTTGAGAGTACAGATGTGTATGCATTCCTATGGAAAAGAAAACCGCATTAATGGCAGGGACACTGGGCTTTCCTTTCATGCACTGATCCACCCATACCTGCTCAGGGAACTTCTCATCCATCACAGTGAAGAACAGAGTCAGAGGTATGGAGGTGAGTGCAGAAAAGGCCCAGATGAAGAAGAGGGTGGCAGTCACCATCCTGCAGTTTAGAGTGGGCACAGACTGCATCCGAAGGATGGCCTGGACCCTCTCCACACTGATGGAGGCCAGGGTAGAGATGGTGACACAGCCACTCATACAGATGACATAGAGCAGAGTGTGACAGGCCGTATACCCCAGCGTCCAGGACACAGTCCACCGCACTGCCACAATCAGCGGGATCATGCTGACAAACAGCAGGTCGGCCACAAACAAGTTGAGGGTCAGCACGGTCTTGTTGGCCACTAGTCTGCGTTCCCAGGTTACCAGGGCTGCAGCTGCCGCATTTGCTGCCACGGAGACGAGGAAGACAGCAGTAATAGCCAGGGTCTCGACAATAGTGGTGGCAACATGATCTGAGTGGTGCATCTCAGAGAAGAAGGAGAAATAAGAGATGTTTTCTCCATGGGGAAAATGAGTGTGAGAGTTATTACCCACATAGGCTGAAAGAGATCCGAAATGCATACTGATTTCACTCCTGGAGGCTGCCAGAGAAATGAATGGGGAAAAGGAGCTGATAAAGTGATACCAGAGAAGGGGAGGAGGAGGAGGTATGGAGGGTGGTGACTGGCCTCTATACTGTTTGCTCTACCTGACGGGAAGTCAAATATTACAAGATGTTCATTGTGCTCTTTTCTTCCACTGTGTAAACATCATTTTATTGTGCGTTATTTCAATGTCACATTTAGTTCGGGCAACTCTTCTTTATAACCAATTCATTTGCACTTTTCCCACATTATCAAACACAGCTAGATTTGCTCACTACCTGGACAACCTCTTAAGGAATTGCTTTACATTTAAAAACAACACACTACAGTTTGTTCACTGGGATTGACACAACTGCCCTGCATGTTAATCCAATTCCTAATCTTCAATCAATGGGCCTGTTGAACAGTATTAGTTTAAATTTCAAATTAGCTTTTGAGATCTAATTAGTTAGACACCACTTTTATTTACACTGTGAAATTAGATTACCAGTCTTACTACCAGAGTAGAGATACAGCAACTGGTCAAAGACTCTCCTGAAAATAGGCTTTTGCATCTCATGCAAACCCCGCAGTGATAGGTTGATAAAATGTTTAGAAAGAGCAGAAATTTCTGAAACGAATATTTGTTAAACAAACTAGCGACACACCCTCCTGTCTCTTAAAGTATTTTCATCATGTCTGGTGTTGATAATCTTCAAGGCCGCAAGGGAAACACCCTCTTGGGTAGTACGTCTGCCTCCCAGACGGGCTAAGCTGATATTCTCACTTTCCATTTAGACGTTTCATATGAAATGTTCCTGAAAGGCGCTGCAAGTTGTCTAAACCATATTAGCATCTTTCTCTTGAGCTGTCAGCCTACAGTAGGTTAACCTATGGTGTCACGTTCCCTTTTAAAGCCCACAGACACTGCGCAGACCTTTGACTCCCCATATTGTTGGCTAGCAATACTAATCCACGTCTTTACATAGCACAGGAAAAGGATTAGCCAACACAAGCTGTTTTGAGCTATTCATCTGGTTCGAACTGTGTGAGACATGGATGAGGTCAAGGACCTACAGCAACATGATTGAACCAAGTATCAAATGTAAGTATTCATTTATTTTTAAAAGTACTTACAAAGAAGAGGAGTCTACAGTGGGGGGCCTTCAACATTTTTCAGGCCAAGGTCCCTTAGCTGAAGGAGAGATGAAGCGCCCTACTTCATGTATAACATTGAGTTGCATAATAAACTGGGTCTACAATAACATGTAGCGCATGTAGGGCAGTCTAAAGAGCCAAATATAAACATACCTTTATACAGTGCATACAATACAAAGTATTAAAATATTATTACTAACAGATTCATATTTTATACATCATGAATTTATTGGACAAGGATTCATGGGCAACAGATAGCCTATCACTGATGTATAAAGGTTTTTTTTTATAACAAATAGAAAATTTCACTTAACAAATATGGGTATGAATATGGGTATTTTCCTGACATATTTTGATTTCAGAAAACAAATAAACAGAAAAATATATCAAACAATAATTGTATGGCCCCCCTGCAGTAACACAGAGGGTCCCATAGGGGTCGCCAAACCCTTGTTGGCTTACTGACATTCTCACCCTAATCCTTAGCCAATCCCATTGCTCCTGCCTAAACCTAACCAATCCAACTAACGAAGGCAACAAGTAGTAGCCAATCACATGGAGCGTAGGGCGGATCATTCCTTCACTATACCAGGATTCACAAAATGGTATAGTCTACAGCCATACTAGCAGCTCTGTGGGAACAGCAGCACTTTGAGCTAAATGCAAACATCAGTATGTTCACATGTTGATAACATGCTGTTTAGCAGGAAATAATTACCACCGTCTAAGCCTGTTAGCTTGTTAACATTTGCTAATCAGCAGTAAGCACTAAGTGCAGCTGAGGCTGATGGGAATGTCATTGGTTTTGCAGGTATAATGTCATAAACCAAATTACTGGGCACAATAAAATTTTGAGCTGGAAATTATGTGAAACGAAAAGTCAAGGAACCACCAAATTCAGTAGAATTTAATTTTCAAGGCAATCAATCCAATAATTATCAAGATATTTGACCCAAAATCAAAAATGTGAACTTCATGGTTGTGGTAGAGGCAAAGTAAGATTCATCCTGTGGGGACCATGAATGTCTGTAACAAATGCTGTGTCAATACATCTCATATATGTTGAGATATTTCACTGGATGAGTCATTAGCAGTATCCTTTAGGGACTTTGTATATCTACAGAACCACTAACATAGCTAAAAAATTGAGTGAGGAAGAACTTTAAAGCCAACCAAAGCTTTGTGGGTTAATTTAAAATAATCATAAGCACCTCTGCAACTCACAACTGTAGTTTATTCAGATAACTTGTACCCCTGGTTAGTCCAGACAGACTTCAAGGTGGGTCATCAGTTCTCTATGGTGACTGGCAGGATACTGGGACCAGCAGCCGGGACACTCCAGGAAGCTTTCATTCAGCGAGCTGCTGTGAGTGGAGGATGTAAGGCTATCTCTGGAGCGCAGGGAGGGTGGGTATGCCTCTTCACACGAGGTGCAATCCTGCCGGTCTCTCTAAAATAAATGGAGTTATTGATTACTTATGACAGCTAAGACTGGGTGATTAAATCAGCTTTTCAAGGCGTGCTATTATTTGACCAACACTTAAAGCTGGACTACTTAAAATGTTTAATATCAATAGATTAAATTACTATGAGTAATGTCAAGAGTCATTTGTAGTGACATAGCCACAGAAAATTATCATCTAACTCTGCATATTCTCTGAGTGCTACAGAGCATTTTAGTTTGTTTTGGATGATTGTTTTGGTGTCACCCCTGTTCCAGCCCAAAAGAATATACATTAGTGTGGCTTTAAGGCTCTTCACTGATAAAGTTGTGATATATTAATTACTAGTCAAGCCCTTTGCACTATTCATGCCAACCTTCGACTGCTTCGTCACATGGTCTTTAGGTTTTAGCGTCTTCAGAATCCTGACCATTTGCTTCTGTAAATACAAACAGTCCTGTTTCTCATCCTCAAGGTCTTGCGAAGAAATCTTGATCTAAAAATGAAAAAGTTTGCATTACAATGAAGAATATAACATAGCTGTGGGAATTATAACTTACAGATACGAAGAATGATGTCCTTTGCTTATGTGAGAACAGATACTTTCCCTTCAGAGGGAAAGCAAAGAGGTAAGACAGTATGACAAGCCCACTCCTTTGGATGAGTGAGGCCTAGAGTCACAAAGGACAAACTGATGAACACGGGTGTGAGAGTGGATGGATTAACATCCCCTGATTACTAGAAAATACTTAGAATGTATTTAAATAAATGGGACAGGGGACCAAAACTGAGATGGATGATACTTTCATACCTGTCGCTCTAGGTCTGCAATCCTTTCCTGGTCAGCACGGTGACGATCCAACAGAAACTTTTCAAAGGGAGTGGACTGAGAAGAGAGATTTTTATTTATGTATTTGGTTGCTTCCTCCCCTCAAATGATGAAAGTATAATTTTTATTTTTCCAAAGTACTTACTGAATGAACAGTTCAATGAAAACATACCTGCAGCTCAGAGCTAGCTGACTTGCGCTCCTCCTCATCCAGTCTGTACTGAAGGTCTTCAGTCACAGCAGTCAGCCAGTGCTCTTCATCCTCAGAGTAATGATGATCTTCCTGTGTACTTTCTCTGTTCATATTTTCAGTCTGCAGCTGTTGCTTGAGCTCATCCACCTCACTCTCCCTTTCCTTGCACCTACACATCAAACAGTCCGTCATGTTGACTACCAATTCTCATCTTCTCCAACTTTCAGCAGTATTATTAATTTTTAAGCAGCTTTCATACCAACTTTGGGTCATTATCAAGTTATGCTGGGCCATGTCGAGCTCCTTCCTGAGCACATCCAGCTGGTCTTTGGCCCTCTGTAACAGACTTTCATAATACTTCTGCATCTGCCTCATCTGCTCCTTCTCTGTATTGAGAGAAGCAAAAGTTGTTAATAAAAAGTTAAGAAAGAGAGAAAATTACTAAAAGGCACAATCCAAGATGTCAGATACGGCCTTATGCATGCATCATGTATTAATAAAATACATGATTTTGACGATGTACCGCAGGCTGCAGTTTTTGTAATAGTGGGCTACTCCAGAGCAATCTTGATATCTTAAAAACCTTGTTGTGACAGTCTGTTGCCCCTTGCTGCCCCAGTGGTGAGTGCCCACTGCCCACTGTCCCTCTGGCTCACCATCTGAATGGTCCTCATTGTGCTGCTGTGAGCGGGCCTGATTTGCTTCGTTCAGCTGCTTCTCCAGCCATAACATTCTGGCCAGAATTGCCCTCACATAGGCCTCTCTCTGCTGGTCATATTCCAGCCACTGCTTGTTCTTCTCCAAGGCCTCGGGGGGATTCAATAAAAGAATGAGAAGCACATAACAGAGAGAGACAGAAAGAGAGTTGTGCCAGGGAAATGGCTCCAAAGCAAAAACACTCAGTAAAACATGTATACTGTACACAGACACACATTCTCACTGAGAACAAATGCACAAAAAGTCAAGAGTCAAAAGTAACCAAAAAATTCAGAAACATGGATTAGCTATAACTGAAAAATACAAACACATGAGACTTTTTCCAGATGTGTGGCAACAAAACAGCACTTACATCACAGAGGCAGTTTTGGAGATCAATTGTGGTGTTGGGTGAGGCCCATTCATCTGTAGTGGAGTCCTATTTGATAACAGGAAAATACAGTACAGCCTTACATATATGTGAATGATCTTACCCAACTCTCCCAACTGCTTAAATAAGACACTGCATTCTGTCACAACAAGGCCCAAAACATTAGCACAGTGGAACTTAGAGCATCAAATTCTCAAGTGTTATGACCTCTACAATATCCAGAATGTCACTGTTGGTATGCTCTGTATGAGGAAATGTGTTTTTATGGAGAACAGTACTCCTCCTCTCTACATGTGAGACTGACACCTAAAAACAACTGCTGCCATCTAGTGGGGTGAAACTGACAAGGGGGGCTTCTCTCAGCAGCTACACAACCATGGGCCCTTCTGACAGAAGACATTTTGACATGTCACAGGAAGGAAAAGCCCTCTAAGTAGTAAAGTAAAGGATGGCTGAATTCCATTTCTTTGTATTGGTTTCAGGGTCCTGGTATTGTGCATAGTGGCTCACTATCACACTGTCACTTGGATTAAACAGACCTATTGCTGATGTTACTAGTGACACCTGTGCTTTTCTCCTATGTGACAAGTCAAATCTATGCTGTGAAAATGGTCTATTATGTGCTAACATTCTGCACCTAAGGCTGGGCAGAACATCAGTATTTAATGTTAAACATCTAACACTGGTGTTTCATCGGAGGTGCTAAATATCATGAAATGCAACAAGTATAAAAAATAACATCTGTGTAGATTAGCTCTTATCACTGGCTGTAGGATAGTGCTTAGGCACTGGAAAACAAAAAATGCCATCCCTTTTAATGAATGGTGTGGAGAAATGACTAAAATGGTAAACTATGAACAACTAATTTTAAACTGAACAACAAACTGGAGGTATTCTTTAAAATATGGGGCCCTTACTTAAACATGATATTGAATGATTAACTGATTGACAATAAGGTAATACTCTTTCCCTTTTTCTTTTGGTGCCTTATTTCTTTCCTGGGACGGCCTGGTTCTTTGAGATTATGTCTGACCATGTGGATTTGTGCAACTTGTGAATGAGATGTGATGTGAATAGCGAAGCTTTATAAGGAAAATGTGATATGCATTAGGATTTGTAATGACGTTGTATGCAGATTTTTGATGATGATACTGCTTACTCTATGACTTCTTTCCTTTTTTTAATTTATTTATTTATTTATTTTTTTATTTACTTACTTATTCATGTCATTTTTATTATTATTGTTTTTTTTAATTTATTTTTACTGGTAGGGTCTGTTTCAGTTTTGTCTTTTTTGTCGTTTTGAGCTTTTTCACTTGTATGGTACATCTTGTATCCTGAGTGATATTATTGTTTGTACTAAAAAAAAAAAAACCCAATAAAAAGACAATTACAAAAAAAAAAAAAAAAAAAATTTGGTGCAATGTCCATAACTAATAAAAATGGACTACGGGACTACACCACTGTTATGTTAAGTTTTTGTTTTTCTTGTGTAGCTTCAAGGGACTACAACAATAAATGAACCTTTAACACACACTGTGTTATGTATCAGTATCAAAAGGAAAGTCTCCTGCTTATAAAGGCATACAGTTTGTTTTACTTTCCCTCAGCACTACGCTCACTTAAATTAAAATTAAGCCATGCTATACCTTTTTCTGTGCAACTTTGTTCTCTAAATACTGACACCTAGTTGAGAGGCGCACATACTCGTTCTTCATTTCTTCAGTCTCTCTGGAGTAACTGGACATGGTGCTCTCTCTCCTCATACTCACTGCGTCCATCTCATTTACTTCTTTCTCACTTAGCTGCTCTGACAGCACATCAATCTTATTGTTGTTGGCCATGAGCTGCTGACACTTTTCCAGTAAAGCTGTTCCAACAGTGAGGAATCTCTGCAAAAGACAATGAGACATAAGCTCTTTCTTTAATGCTCAGCTACTGTAAATCAACATCCTGCATAAAAAACACACCTCTCACTGGCAACATCATTTAACAGGACAGTGTGGGTAACCTTGTCTAGTTGACTTATGCTTGGTAAATACCACAGACACAGAGTACTGAGTAGTGACTGAGTTTACCTCAAGTAGCTTATTATCTTCTGAGTGTTGACGAGAAAACTGAACCAGGATCTTCAGTAAGGCATTCTGCTTCCTCAGACAGCAGACGAGCTCTGAATTGGACTTTCTCCTGAGGAAACCTTTACATTTAAAGGAGGCCATCTCAATCACCTGCTAGCAAATATTGTAAGGGACTGACACTAAAATAATAAATTTAAAAGATGTTTGTCATTTCAAAAATAAACACTCTGAATGGGTTCAAGTTTATTTCCTCTCTGTTGTTGACATCAGCAAAAACAGCGATGGGAAAATAAACTGGATCCAAAATAGTTTTCAGAGCAATTCAGAATAAATACATTCATAAAAAAGACATTTAACAATTAGATTTACAATCTAATGCAGGTTAAAGCAAAAAAAAAAATGTAATAAATCTTAGCTCTCGACCTTGTCATTAAGGTGCTGATTCAAAACTATGGTTTATAATTTTTTAATATCTGAAGATGAAGATCATGTGATATTCTGAATCTAATCAAAACCTACAACTACTAAGTTGATCTAGAGGTGTTTTGGCAACAGCATATGATTGATATGTAGCTAGCTAGGTTAGCCTACATATTTCATTCAGCAGCTAACCTTATTTTCACAATTGGGGGCAATCGGTTTTATTAGCCATAACATCAGGGGCAATCGGTTTTGTTAGCCAGTACCATCGACAAAGAGAAGCTAACACCACATAACGTTATGGTTTGGCTAGCTATGTAACTATCCTGTTAGCTGGAATAAAAACAGTTACGCTAAGCTAGCGTAAAATGATAGTTACTGCTAGCATAAAATGCTAATAAAATATTAGCATAAAGTTACTACTGCTATTGTAGTGAAATATGTTCTTCCACGTTAGAAAAAAAATAATCCAATTATTTAAGTATTGTACACATATTTAGTTTGCATTAAAGTTACCTTGCAAGGGAGAAAAGACAACGAACGTTAACGTTAACGCAGGGTTGCGTTCAAAACGTCGCAAAACGTTTATTAATTCGAAAACATCAGTGCGTTCAATACTGTTGTATGAAGAAGGCGGACAAACATACGATTTAAGTTCAATAAATAATGATCTAGTAGACATTTATTTATATACACGCAGCTGCTGATTGGGTAATACATTTAACACGCCCACCAAACCAGAGAAAATGTACCTCAAAGCCCGTTTCAAGGTCACACGTCGTTCAATCCGGAAACCGTAACAAAACGTTGCACCCCGTTTTGAGCTTGAACGTGCCCCTGCTTCAATACCGCCGCCAGAAGTCCACCATCCAGAACATTAGCTTAAAACTTTTTTTTTTTTTTTTTTTAACTTTTAATCAATTATACTTTAGTGAAAGTGCATAACATCACCAGCAAAATGAACTTATACTTTTAAAGTAAAAAAACAACAACTAATAATGTAAAATAGCCTTTTATTCAGGAGGTGCGGCAACAGGTTTCTTCATTTCAATCTTGTGCATAGCTAACGTTAGTTTAGCTAGCTTAAAACTTCCTTGCAGCCAGAGCAGTTCTGTGGTAAGAAATTGGAAATAATATTAATATTGTCTCTGAAACGGCGTTATTTTGTTATTTAATTACATGTGTGTTTTGGTTGTGTTTATATCTTATCAAAGTATGGAGCAATATTGCTTAATTGAAAACAAAACTGTAAGAAGCTAACTTAACATGTTTTACAATTACTTAATCATCTCTGAATGCATAGGACGGATGCATTAATTACAGCGCCACTGGGGGGCACTGTAGCACAAGACAAGAAGACCGGACCGTCTCCGTTGGTTCCCCTGGATGGTGAACGCATTAACTCATTCTCTGCACATGCCAATATTGAGTTTTAATTATGAAGCATTTTGAACAGGTATGGGGAACAACAGGATGTACGTCCCAGCTCACTTATGTTTTTCTCGCCCATTAATCCTCCTCACCCAGGCTGGCTGGCCCTGTGTGTGTAATGCCTCTGACTCACGAGTGAGGCTGCCCTCCCCGGTATCCACTCCTCTCTTGTGCACATCTGTGCGTTTCAGTTCCCTCTGTGAGAACTCCCTCTCTCTCAGCGGAATATGACTCGTTTCTTTGATTAAATTTGGACTTTATAAAAAAATGCTGCGGGTCATTGTTGAATCCGCCAGTGGGATCCCCAAAAAGAAACTTGGAAACCCAGATCCAATTGCTGGGGTTGTCTTCAGAGGTGAGACTATTGCTTTGACTTATTTTTCTGGGGAACTGTGAATGCTCCGTTAACTTACCTCAGCAACACTGGTTATGCACACAGTGTTTCACTTTCTGTTAAACTATTATCTTTCCACCCTATTATCTTTCCACCCTAAAGGTTGTGGACATCACTTTTGCAGTTAAATTCGGTCGCAGTATAAAGTATGCATCTATTCCTAGAGTTTGATTTAAGTATTTTGGTGGTGATTCATTATCAAAACGAGGAGTAGCCTACATCCTTATAAGGTCAGAATAGCCCTCTGTCCAAAGACAACAGTAACATTTTTTTGCCCATGAGGCTTGATCTTTATATTTACAAAAATAGATGACTTGGTGCATCCTGTGTTCCTCTGTTTCCAGCAGATTGTAAAAAAGATTCAATCATTTATTTTTTGGAAGATGCATTTGTGTCCACTATGTTGTCTTGGACATAATGAGTTTTTGCAAATAAATAAGGTATTGTCCATTGTGTTTTCAGGTGAAAAGAAGAAAACCAAAGCAATTGACAATGAACTGAATCCTGTATGGAATGAAGTAAGTGCAGAATTAGAGTTAACTGTAATGTGTGAGAGTTACAGTGTTGACTGAGACATGATGAGTCACCTGAGAGCTGCTGTTACCTCAGTTAAAACTACATGTTGTTGTTTTAACTGATTATAAAGGTCTCTTCCCTGTGATTACAGGTGCTCGAATTTGATCTGAAAGGCTCTCCCTTGGATGCATCTTCATTCATCAGTGTGGTCGTCAAAGACTATGAGACAATCGGCAAAGACAAGTATGTATATGACAAGCATCCAAGAGAGGAATTGTGACATTTGCATATTTCATATTGTGTGCTAAAGTGGAGTGAACTAATACATGACCCTCAGCCTACCCCATGAGTAATTACTGATCATTCAAACACACTCCTGCCTCTGCGTAGGAGGGCATATGAGTGTAAACAGCCTCCCCAAATGAGCGTGGGCGGTCCTAACAGAACCCCCCTCCTTCCAAATACCTATGTTATGCTTTGTAGTGCAGGGCATGACCCAAAGGAAGTCCTCACCATACCTCAGAGGGTTACCTTTACAGAAGACAGATGTGGTATTGCAATCTGTGAAAGTGCAGCTGCAGTGAACTGGTACTACAAGTACACTATTCTAACAGTGTGGTTGAAAGTAGTTATTATAATCTTTCCATAAGGGGCAGAGCAACATGTTTTAACTTAGCTGAGCTATATAACCACAGGACTCACTGCGACCATGTTAAGACTTGCATGTCTGGTAAACAATAACTCTCCAGCTCTCACGGGAATGTTGCCTTAAAAGGAAAAGTCACTTTTTTAACCGGCAGTCTCAGACTGCCATATATGTTTTTTTAATACTCTGCATAGTTTTTGATTGTTTATCTGTTTGTATAGTGTCCATCTTTTTGTCTCTGTGCAGTGCAGGCAAGAGGGTAGACCAAGTAAAAACATTCCCACTGAGTCACTCTGGTGACTGATTGTGTTTAATATATTCTGGGGCAGGCACAAGGGGTGGGGGGAGGGTGGAAGGGTGTCTGCATCAGCCACGCAGTCACTTGGATATTTTTCCATGATCACTGCCGTCACCGCGTGAGGGGGGTGAACAACAGAGCTTGCGCTGGCTTGTCACTGGCACATCTGTGATGACTAGTTGTAACTCAGCCTGTAATGCTCTGCAGAATTAACTTTAGATGTAGTGTGAAGCTGATTGTGAAGAGAAAATGTGTCTGATTGAACATGGAGGTCTATTGTTTTAAAAAGAAATGTGACTCACTGACAGGTATCTAATCTGTGATACTTAACAAGATAAACCATCTTGCTGACTGCTCAGTTTGGCAGATTGTTTCACTCCTGAATTAGCTTTGTTTAAAAGTGCTATGCAAGTAGTGGAAAATATATCAGCATGCCAGGAAAACCATTTTCTGGCTTTTTCACTGTGGTTAGAAAGTCTGTTTCGTTTTTTTCAATGAAGCAGTTCCACATACTTGAGACTAGATTTTAAGGGTGAGGGTTTAAGTTTTGTTTTCTGGTTTCCTAGAAGTATGTATACAAACATTAATTTGTATAAACCAGTCCTTACATGTGGCCTCTGCAGAAGAGACAATAAACTGCTGCACCAGAGTACCTCTCCTATCCTCCACAGCTGACCCTGCTTTCCAAGGACAACCCTTTTTTTCTTTTCTTAAATCTCTGTGAAATAATAAATAACGGGACAACTGTTGAGAACAAGAGAGGAAAAACAGAGCCAGAGTATGATTATGAATATGAGTTTGCTTGCTTTCATGTTGCTTACACAAGACTGCCTTTCCACCGGCCTTCTTTCCCCTATTTGTCCAGCCTTTAACTGGGCACAGCGCGCCCAGCACATGCCTGTGGTTGATGTTAATTGTTACCATCTTGTGTACTTGTACATCATCTCAGGGGCTTGCCTGAGTAACCAGCTGGTCCTTGTCACACAGCAAAGTATCCCATTTGTACTCTTGGGAGATCACAAATGGCTCACTTCTCAAAACTATCCAGACAAAGTGGATATTTGTCACGTTTGTTTAGGATGATTTAAAAAAAATGTCCAATGTGTTGCAAGCCATTGTGATTATTAATCACTGTTGCTACATGACTTTTGTTTTAGAAAAAGTAGGTGTTGTTGCTCGGTTTGTCATAATATGTGAAGAAGTGAAATAGGGAAGTAGAAACCGCCAACTATCCAGAGCAACAAGCAATTCCAGTCACAAACACTGCGTCCAATCCCCTCATGTAACTGCGTGAGTCCATGACAGATTGGGGAACTAAAGCATCCTTCCTATTGTTTCTTTAGCTTTACGTCCTTGTGGTCTTTTTTAAACAAAGACAATATTCTCCCCCCAGCAGCAGTGACTTATTTTCTGACTTATATATGATTATCTGACCAAAGAAAAAATGTATGTGATTGCTTTACAGGTTCATTGGCTCTGCAAAAATCTCTCTGAGAGACTTGGCCAGTGGTCACACAAAGTCCCTCCCATCCAAGAATGTGCCCTTGCTCAATGAGAAACAACAGCCTGTCGGGGTGAGAACATAAATTTAGTCGACAATATGATCCTGATCCCGTACACCATGCATCACCTAAAGCAGCTTCAACTCTGCCAGATGATGCCTGATATCTGTTTGGGTTCACAGGAAGTAGTGGCATTAGTTGAATCCCATGACATGTCATTTGCTATGAGACATGCACAGATGATCTGAAAAGGCTAATTGAGAAACATTTACTTTTTTTCAGGCAGCCATTAATTTGCTCATTGGGTATGAACCACCTGCAAGCAGTACTCCAGACCTAAATGATCAACCTGATGGAGACACAGCTCATGTGGACGGTGGTAAGTAAACAGTTAAACTAAGAAATGAAAAGAGCTGGTTGTGTTTCATTTTTTATTGCCTCCCAAGAGAACAAAACAAAACTTCACTCCCCTTTTCAATGATTCATGTATGTGGGTATCGCCACTAGGGATGGGATGATATGCGATTTTATCACGGTAGAAAACATAGTTGGTGGTGAATTTCCGTTATGTGGATAATCTTGAATAGTGTGTCCTGCAGCCGCCAGAGAGACTGCTGGGTAACCAACAATAAAGGAACTGCAAAAACAGGCCGCATACGCACCAACCTCAAAAAAAGTAAAAGATCAAGCATGGTCTTATTTCATATTGAAAGATATGATGGCATTTCAAACAGTTGGCTTTTTAAGACTGTTTTCACTTAAAACGACATTCACTAAAAAGTGGTGTGTCTCCTGTGATGATAAAAGTATTTGTTTCTTTACAAAAGTGAAGTGATTCCAGTGTGTTTTAGTGCTGTTTTAAGAGTTTTAAGTATATTTTGGTGATTATTGGGATAGTATAGTTAAATTGCAATTATTTTGGCCAAGCTGATCGTAACATGATATTGTCATATTGTTACATGCTTAATCCCCACACACAAAAATAAGCAATAATAAACACACATACAAAAAGTAAAAAGATAAAGATAAAAATAGTAGGACCAAAGGACAGAAGTAGGACCTGCGGTCCATCTTTCTTTTTAAAATCTTCATCTCAGCCATCTACGTGATGGGATGAGGTTAAATCACATATTATTCTTGTAACTCTTTATGAATCTTGCTTTGTTTTTTGATGTATGTAATTTTGTGTAAATATATTATGCTTTTGGTGGTTTATTTTGATTGATTATTGTGATTTTATTCTAAAATGTTCCTGCAGCTGGCTTGCACCTGATCCTTATGACTGGCTGTGCAGTTTAAAAATGAACACAACCTCTCAGCAACTGTATTATGGTTTTCTGTGAGTTCAAAGGAGGCCCAGGATTTAAACGTTCATTGGTGGTTTTCCTTAAATTACACATTACTTTTTTATATCCAACAGGAGATAACAACTCCTTAAACTACTTTAATGCAGGAAGAGGATTACTGTCTCTCGTTGTTTTAATACTACTCCTCAGGCTTGTACGTTATGAGGTATCTCCTAATATAAACAAAAAAGTGTCCACCAAGTTGTTAGGAGGTTAGTAGACACTTCAGACGCTTCCAGCTCCAGTGAGAGGGTGTTTGTTGTCTGTTTTTGTTGTATACAAATAAAGCTGAGAGAACACTACAAGTGAAGTTGGACTATTGATGATTGTGTGATTTTTGGGGTTTTGCTTTACAGGAGGCAGTGATGAAGGTGATGAGGGTGATGAGGGGGACACAGACGTCGAGGGAGGAGGTCAGAGTGGAAGCCCAGGAGCTCCCACTTCACCAAGCCAGCCTGGGAAACGCAGACACAAGTCAGTCCGTCTCAGAAGCAAGAGGCATAGAGCCTTGGCCAATAAGCCTCAGGACTTCCAGGTATTGTCCGTTTGATTACTCTGCTCCCGGATAATAACAAATACTTAGGATGTGATTTTTATAATTTGTCACATGAATGACAGCAGGCTTTGCCAGTGTAAATAGAAATTGAAGAGAGGGCAGCCAGTAGAAAGTGAATTATAATATTTACTCCTCATTTTGCAACAGTGTGAACCTTATTATGGTATTGCATCAGGGCAGGCAGTTTCACACACATGATTTTCTTTGTGAACATATTTTTTGTTCCTGTTTAAATATCCTGAAATATTTATTATTATTATCTGTACTGAATAAATTTATATTCATCAACTCATATGAATCAATGTTACCTTTTCAAGAAGGACACAGATGGGGGCGTCGGCGGCTTAGTGGTAGAGCAGGCGCCCCATGTACGAGGCTGTTGCTGCAGCGGCCCAGGTTCAACTCCAGCCTGTGGCCCTTTGCTGCACATCCTTCCCTCTCTCTCTCCCCCCTTCACGCTTAAGCTGTCCTATCAATTAAAGGCTAAAATGCCCAAAAAATATCTTTAAAAAAAAGAAGGACACAGATGATTTGGCTCACTGTTTGTTCAACTGCCTCACTCTTGCTTGCAATCTTCAGATTCGCATTCGGGTCATTGAGGGCCGCCAGCTGCCTGGCAATAACATCAAGCCAGTGGTTAAGGTGAATGTATGCGGACAGACTCACAGGACCAGGATTAGAAGAGGAAATAACCCGTTCTTCGACGAGGTAATGAGTCCATCACCACAAAAAAACAACAAAAAAAAATACACATACTGTAGAGATACTTTCACTTTGCCTTTTTTTCTTGCCTGTCTGTTTTTAACATGCTCTTGTCTTCTCTCTTTGCCACTTAATCTCCACCAGCTTTGATACCCCCCCTGGGTTATTTCTCTCTGCACTGGCAGCAGTGATATGACAGTGGACCTTAAAGGCAGTGTCTTCAGCTTTCTTGCGTATCTCACTTCTCTCATATGCATTTTCTTCTGTCTCAGTTGTTGCCAAAGCATCTCAGCTTAGTAAACTGTAAGTCCTATAATGTTGTCACTGATAATAAAACGTGTCTGACTTCAAAATGTGTTGTGCAAACAGTGATAAGGGAAATACTCATTCATCCGTGGCTTGTTCTGCCCCTTAGATGTTTTTCTACAATGTTAACATGCTGCCCTCAGAACTGTTCGATGAGAGCATTAGTCTACGGGTGCGTAGATAACTCTAATTTTCTTTTGCAAAAATAAAAAGGCTGTCCATCATGTGAGAATTTCTCTAACACTGTGCTTTTCTTGACAGGTTTATGACTCGTTCTCTCTCAGAGCTGACAGTCTGATGGGAGAGTTCAAGGTATGCCCAGTAAACTACTTTTAACCCCTTATTTCTGCTTTATTTATTTCAGAAATTTGACCTGTATTGATTTACTTGCTAGTAGGGAGTTCAGTGCAGCAGAATTGTGCCGTTTATCTCCAGCAGGTTGACAGATTTCAAATTGTCCATAATTAAAATATTTTTTCTTGCTTACACAGCTGGATATTGGCTACATCTATGACGAACCAGGTCAGTATTTCCATGTAAAAGTTACACTTTACTAGATTTGTGTAAATTATGTTGTCTGTGTTTGAACATGTTTTTATTATTGTACCATGTCCAGCTCATGCCATACTGAGGAAATGGCTCCTCCTGAGTGATCCTGATGACTCAAGCTCAGGGGCCAGAGGCTACCTGAAAGTCAGCATAATTGTTGTGGGCACTGGAGACGAGCCACCGGTGTGTGTACCGTCTTTCTTCCCATCAAGTTTCCCTCTACTACACACAGAGGACAGATCAGTTTTGAAAAGATCATGACAAACTCTCCTCTCCTCTCTCCTCCCCTCCCCTCCCCTCTAGATTGAGAGGAGCGATATAAGTGAAGAGCAGGACGACATAGAAAGCAATCTTTTGGTGCCAGCGGGTGTCACGATGCGATAGGCCACGCTCAGCCTCAAAATCTACCGTGCAGAGGATATGCCACAGAGTAAGTGGCACATCAACTCCTCTAACCATTGTGGTGTAATGCAGTCAAATCCCCTTGAAAAACTTCTATTCACAAGTTGTCTTTACATTTCAGTGGACGATGCCTTTATTCAGACGGTAAAACAGGTCTTTGGAGGAGAGGGAGACAGGAAAAATTTGGTGGATCCATATGTGGAAGTCAGCTTTGCTGGCAAGAAGGTATTTCATGTTTAACTAAAAAGAAAATAAAGTTTTTTAATTTTCTTACTGCGTGAATATTATTTATATGCAGCGGTGTTTTCTTTGTTTTTAGCTGTGCACCAAAATCATTGAGAAAAACGCAAATCCAGAGTGGAATCAAATCATCAATCTCCAAGTCAAGGTAAGAAAGATGCATATTAAGATGTGTCTTATGAGCTTGATTCAGATTTCCAAAGCACAAATCAACACTTGCCTCTGTCTCCCTCTGCAGTTCCCGTCCATGTGTGAACGTGTGAAGTTGACTGTGTATGACTGGTAAGCGCCAAAATTCATTCATACACAGCTGCACAAATGACAGTCATATCACAACAAATATTTGACGTGCCAATTAACTCTTGGCAGGGATCGTTTAACCAAGGATGATGCCATAGGATCAACGTTTTTGAATCTGAGCAAAATATCTTCCTCTGGTGGAGAGATTGAAGGTAATAATGTTATCTATATTTTTCTAATTAATGTTGTCACTCAGTGTTTTTGATAGTAATATGTAGCACTTAATGTCTATGTTTTTTCCCTACTGGAAACAGATGCACGAGCTGATACCAACACAGTGTCTGACTGTACGTATGCACTTGTCATCTACCTTCTTTAACATGTTGCTTTATAGCTGAGTGTTTAGCCTTCTGCGTCAGTGTGTGTGTCTGTTCTCATGCACTGTATTGCTTTAAGCCTCGAACCTGTCCAGATGTGTTTATAATCAAAGTGTCTATATGTTACAGTAAGCACTGCAGCATCAGAGATTGGTTTTCTCCCAGCATTTGGGCCATGCTATGTCAACCTGTACGGTAGCCCGAGAGAATTTACTGGCCTGCCTGACCCATACGATGACCTCAACTTGGGGAAGGTAAGACTACGCTGTTAGCTCAGCACAGAGGGCTACCTACTGTAGGTATAGACAGGTGATGTTTTACCTGCATGACAATGTGTACATGAGAATTCTGCTTTTTGATCTGTTGCAGGGTGAAGGGGTCGCCTACAGGGGGAGGATCCTTGTTGAGCTGTCCACTGAGCTGGATGGGAAGGTTGATAAGAATGTGGACGACATCTCCAGTGATGACATCCTGGTGGCACAGGTATACGCTGCCGTCTGTAACTCTGTCATACTGTAATTACTGCTGTCTCCTTATTTATCTGATTTATATCATAATGCTTTCGATAAAGAGTTTAAAGTTTTTAATGTGTAAGTTGTCATATATTGCTTAATTGCTTTATTCTTGAAAATGTCAATAACAACAATCTGCGTAGATTGATAAATATCACTACAGGTAAGAGGGAAAAATTGTATTTCTGATTTTAGGTTGAACTGTCCCTTTAAAGAGTTTCCCGACAGAAAATTTCAGTTGCTCAAAAGAGGTTTCTGGTCCATACCGGATAGAAATAATCCCGCCCTAACCTCTAACACTGCCACATCCTTTTTGATTACTCTGATTGAGTACAGAAGTACCAGCGGAGGAGGAAGTTCTCTCTGTGCGCTGTGTTCCACAGTGCGTGCATGCTTCAAGAGCCGGGTGAGCCAATCCAGTTCGAGGTCAGCATTGGTAACTATGGCAACAAGATGGACTCCACCTGCACGCCCCTGTCATCCACCACCCAGTACAGCTTTGCTGTGTTTGATGGTATGAAAAAAATAATTCAAAAGAACAACTAAGATTTATTTCATTTTATAATCTGTTTTTTAGTTGAGGAGCATGAGGGAGCTCTGAATGCATTACATAGTATTTCTACCTTAATAAATGTATTTTTTATTTAAAATTAGTAGACTTGCACCGATTTATCGGCAGTGCTCGGAATCGGGCTGGTTTTCACGTGATCGGCCATGACCTGCGACCCGCCGGGCAGTCTAAAATATGCCTATTGAAAACGCTGGTCAAATTCCCCTGATTGACATCGTGTAACATCAGCAGCGCGCATACACACGCACATGTCACACGGACAATTAACAACTCTCTTCTTCTCTCTTTTGGTGTGTGCGTGAATGATTAAGGTGAGAAGCCACCCATGTTTCACTTTCTCACATTGCCCAAGCTGTGAGTTGCACATGTGCGTGTGTGTGCGCTGCTGATGTTACATGATGTCAATCAAGGGAATTTGACCGGTGTTTAAAATTGGCATATTTTAGACTGACCGGCTGGTCTCAGGTCATGGCCGATCACGTGAAAACCAGCCCGATTCAGATCACTGCCGATAAATTTAAAATAGTTTAAAATAAATAATTATGAGTTGTACTCTGATGTAACAGTGGACACTGGACAGGTCTTTAACTGTTTACTATGCTATTAGTCTGTGTTTAAGGGTTCATGAGGCCACAGAGAATGAAAACTACACGGACATCAAATGTTAGTGAGCTGTCCACTCCACAACTTGTATTTAAAATGACTGCGTATATTTATTTTGTATCCCATAGGTAATCACTATTATTACCTGCCCTGGGCTGACACTAAGCCTGTAGTGATTCTCACTTCATACTGGGAAGACATCAGCCACCGTCTAGACTCTGTCAATGTTCTCCTCTTCATCGCTGACAGACTGGTGAGAAAAAGTCACAGTGTCACATGATGTGCATGTCTACACAGGCAGATACTGCTCAGTAATCTCCTTTTATCTGTCTGTTGATTGTTTTTTTGCAGGAGTCCCACCTCACCTCTTTAAAAACAGCCATACTAGCCAAGGTGCCCGAGACACGTCTGGCAGAGATTTGGCTCAAACTCATCAACCACATGATTGAGGACCTGGAGAGGTAAGACAGGACCAGACGGACATTGGACCTGTGTGTTGAATGACGTAATGCCACAATACAACTTATCATTATGAAAACTGTAGTGTGGTTATTGCTGTTGGGTCAAATACATTTGTAAGTGGTTGAGTTATGTTCATAGACTCTTTAAAATAATGGACGTAGTTTCCATGACGTTACCCACTGGTTTGTGGACTCCCATTTTAAAGCCAAGAGTTCTGCATTTTGGTCATTGCTATCTTGGCTTTTTGGAGCCAGAAGTGACCATATTTGGACAAGAGGGAGTTGTGGAGGACTGAGGTGTGGATCAGACTTAGACTGTAGCAGTGCCTTGCAGACAGGCTGTCACTTAAGCGGCCTCACTTTTAAATATGCATAACTTTAAGTCTGTGCATTTGTCATGAATGTTGAAATAAGCTAAGACCAAAACTGTTTTGATTGACTTGCATCTGGAGCCAGGCTAAAGCAGTCATTCAAGGAAATGCAGTTTTTGGCAAATCCACGTTGGCTTCATTTTTAGCCTTGGAGGCTGCCGCTTGGTTATGTTATTTATTTATTCATTTTTTGTTACTCATACCAACAACATTTTGACAGTTTCCAGCTTCCAGTGCTGGAGAACCAGTCCAATGTGACTGCACTGGATCTGCAGTTGAAAAACCTGCGTGATGCTGCCGTGGAGGGTATCAAAGAGATGGCCAATCGAGTGAGAGAGGAAGCCACAGACGTCAAGGCCACTGTTGGTGACATTGAGGACTGGTTGGACAGAATCAAGCAGCTGGCAGAGGAGGTCAGGAAAAGAATAAAATACAAAAATGCTTTGTAGCTCAAAAAGAAATCAGTGAAAATGAATGATGTTACTAAAATGTTGTGTGTCTCCATCAGCCTCAGAACAGCATGCCAGATGTGATCATCTGGATGTTAAGAGGAGAGAAGCGAGTGGCGTATGCTCGAGTACCAGCAAACCAGATCCTGTACTCCAACTTTAGCGAACAGGCGCGTGGCAAACACTGTGGACGGACCCAGACCATTTTCATGCAGGTACAAAGCTAACATACAGTAACACATTTATTTATTTGTAATTAGATATTTCACGTTTAAATTCTAATAATTTGTGTTTGTCAGTACCCCATGGATAAAAACAAAGGTGTGAAGGTCCCTGTTCAGCTGCGTGTCAACATGTGGCTCGGTCTCTCTGCCCATGAGAAGAAGTTCAACAGCTTCTCAGAGGGAAACTTCAGCGTGTATGCTGAAATGGTACGTTAGCTTAAAAAAAAAAAAAAAAAAAAAAGCTTTTATTGACACACAATCAGGTTTCAGTTGTGTTAACTCTCTTATCTCCTCGCAGTATGAGAACCAGGCCCATGTTATAGGGAAGTGGGGAACAACTGGCCTGGTTGGTCGCCATAAGTTCTCAGATGTGACTGGAAAGGTTAAACTCAAACGAGAACGCTTTCTGCCCCCACGTGGATGGGAGTGGGAGGAAGACTGGTTTGTTGACCCCGAGCGATCGTAAGTTTAAGAAACTCACTTTATCACACGCAAGCATGTACACTCTAGCTTTCCTTCGTGATTCCTAGCTTGTACAATCTCAAGTACAAACATCCTGTTATCACTCCAGAATCCTGCACATATTTCAGCTCTATGCATTGGCAGTAATCATCAATCATTGCTTGTACCAGTCACATCTTGAACACAATCACAGGAAACGAAAAGGAATTTTGGCATCAGCCACTTTTCTGATTTAAGGAGTTCTCCCTCCCTCCTTTAATGCCTCCTTCTGCTCAAGCGCTTACAGTACATTCTCCCACCAAGGTTCATGTCAACAATTTTAGCTCTCTGAAGCCCGTCTTCCTGAGCTGTTCCGCTCCGTTTATCACAGTCTGACATAGCTGCTGTCTGAGTCACAAAGCTTCTCATCAACCTCTGTGATGTGGTGGTGTTTTCTACAGCCTGTTAACAGAAGCAGATGCGGGCCATACAGAGTTCACTGATGAAGTTTTTCAGAATGAAACACGTTTCCCTGGTGGGGAGTGGAAGCCCGCTTCAGAGCCCTACACAGACGTGGTACGACCTGCAGTACTGCTCTCACACACAAATTTAATTTTTGTGAAAAATATTGGTGAAGATAACAGGACAAAAACTTGTCTGCTTCTTAGATTCCAATGTTATCAGTGTTTCTTGTGCTTTTATGTACTCAGGATAGGTGGGTTGCTTTGTGGTTGGATTTATGTAAATAAACATGATGGAGTTTTGTGGATGTGACCTGCTGAGTCTAGTTATGATATGTAGTTTTTATTAGGGCTGCCGCTAATAATTATGACAGTATTTTGTGCACTTCTGAAGTTCTGGTTTGTCCCTGTTATTTAAAGCTTTTTAGCATCTTTCAGCCTGTTGTTTTGCTTTTATGGCATGCAGCTTTACTATTGTGATTCACTTTGATTCCACACACAGCAGGCAGCAGCTGTCTCAAGATAAAAATTGCTGATAAATCCACTCTATGCTGCTCCCTGCCCTGTAACAAACATCAAACAGATGAAGTTAGCAACTAGCTTGTGAATGCAGTGAAGCATTTAGCAGCTAAACAGCTTTTATATTTCCCTCAGGAGTTGATGGAGAGCAAAGCTGAGCTAGAAGGAGAGTTAATATTGGACTTCATCAGGCCCCAAACAGCCAAAAAAAGTATTTAATGCAAGTTTTAGGATTATAATCACTAAAATGCATTTGAAAAGTAAGATGCTCTTTGCATCTGGGAAGGTGTGATCAACCAGTATTTGCATTTATTTACAAGTAGATTTGCCTGAATTACTTTAACAATTAAATGGCAATCCATAATTTTGTGTTTAATAACAATACTTAATTAATTTTGTGACCACTAATTTGGGTTTGTGTTGTGAAGAACGGAGAAAAGGTTCCAAGCCCAGCAGATTTTGAATGTCCACCGGGATGGAGCTGGGAGGACAACTGGACCTTTGACAGCAACAAGGCTGTAGATGAGAGAGGTAACATGAACACTAACACAAAACTTCTCTTCGTTTTGTTTTTTAGTTTGAAATTGTGCAACTTTAACCTGGTCTGTGCGCATGTCTGTGTGTCCTTTGGTACTATAGGTTGGGAATACGGAGTCACCATTCCCCCCGATGATAAGCCCAAATCCTGGGTTGCAGCAGAGAAAATGTATCACGTCCATCGTAGGAAGAGACTCATAAGGCCTCGGAGGAAGATAGCTGATAAAATGGCTGTTACTGAGGTGAGAAAGAGATGTGGACTCAAGGCACATGACTTGAGTCACAAATTTGATGATTTCAGACTTGACTTGCCAAAATAAAAAAAAAAGACTTGCAACTCGACTTGGGCTTTAATACCAATGACTTGTGACTTCAATTGAGCCTTTTGACTTATAAATACTTGACACCATCCACTGAGCCCAAAGATTTATTAGTATAAGTAAGAAATAATAAGTAAAAGTGTGCCACAAATCAATTCGTTTTCCTTCATTTCCTGAATCAATTGACATAACGCTATCCATTTCCAGCAAGTTGACCACCAGATCCTCTTTGTTTGAACCAATCTGTCAGCATCTTATCAAGTTGCAGGAGAGAACCATGACGAACTAACAATACATTCCTGAGCGGACTCGGGAAATGAGTGCAAAGACTTAAGACTTGCTTGTGACCTGCAAGACAATGACTTGGTCCCACCTCTGGAGGAAGAAGAAAAAATAAAAGATTAGATTTAAGAGATTTTTATGAGTTTTTCATTGTTTTCCTGTCCTTGTGTCCTTCACAGAAACGAGATCTAGGGGAAGGCTGGGAGTACTCCTCCCTGATTGGCTGGAAGTTCCACAGGAAGGAGCGCTCCTCTGACACATTCCGCCGCCGCCGCTGGAGAAGAAAGATGGTCCCATCAGACTGCATTGGGTCCTCTGCCATCTTTAGGCTGGAAGGGGCATTAGTGAGTCCCCCCTGAAAACATTGCTGAATACATGTTGTGCTCTTACATTTCCCCCCATCAAGGCAGTTGTCATGGCAACAGCCGCTACTTTATGCCATCTGAGTCATATCCTCTCATTATTCTCCTGCATGTGGCTGTTCCTGTCAGATGTTGGCAAATCACTCAGGAAGTTTATTTTAGTTGTGCACTCTTTTCTTCAAATCTTCTTAAATTCTGTTCTTCTAAGCACCTCACCCTGCGTTTTGTTAACAGGGGGTTGATGTTGACGAGAAGGCCAGTAAAACGGATGCATCCAAAGTATTCGGCGCCAACACACCCACTGTTTCCTGCCACTTTAGCCGTGAGTAGTTGGGTCAGATAAAGTGATTGCTGGTCACTCACTCTGGTTGCTGATTGTTTCTTCAAAGCCCCTGATGCAAGATAGCATTGAATCAAAAACCCAGTAAAGTCTGGATAAATCAGCAGTGTGCCAGATGTCCTGTGAGATTATGTTGTGTTTGGAGGTGATACGGTTGAACATGCTGATAATGTTATATCTCCCTTCAGGGTCGTACCTGTACCATCTGAGAGTGTACGTGTATCAGGGGAGGAATCTCTGTGCAATGGACAAAGACAGCTTCTCGGGTAAAAATAAGGCAGACAACATGTGACACAGAAAAACAAAAGTACAAGCCTGATCAAGACGAATAGATGAAATCTAATCAGGAGGTACAATTCTACCAAATAAAAATCACAGCAGAGATTTTCACAAGTCCAAAATGGCAAATCTGAACCCCAATGGACTCTCAAGATTCCTTCCGAGATCCGATTGGATGCAATGATTTTTAAAAGTATATTTACCTGACCAGTTTTTGCCGAGATATAGCAGACCTGATGCAGTGCATGTTCAAGAGGCATGAGACCTGAGAACTGGAAGAGGTCTTGAGTCTATTTTATGGACCCAGCAAATTGAGATTAAATTAAATTGCTACTAAAAATACCGTCCTACTGCTAAAAATGTTTTTCAAGTCTGTTTATTTATGTTTCAGATGTCTTTTTTAGTTTAATTTAATTCTATTTTATTTTTTTTTTATTTTTTTCTATTGTAATGTGGGCTGCCGTAACACCTGCTGGTGACCTGTTAATGCAAGTTCCAAACTGCTGAGATAGAGCATACAAATATACTGTAAATGTTTAAACCTTGTCAATATGGACATGCAGCACATGGTTAGATTCTCCACAATCCAATCATTCAGTTAATTTTACGGAAACCATGAGCACAAAAGCCTAATTTATTCAAATTTACGGACATTATAAACAAGAGAGTTTGGAAAAAAAGTGGTGACTCCTTACATTTGTAGTGTTCAAAAAGTCCGAATGTGTATCCATTCCTCGGGACCCAGCCAAGAACCAACTGACCATAACGAAACGTGGATCCGAATCCGTATGGGTCGCGGGTTGGCTTTTAGGTCCTGGGGTCAGGGTGGACCTGTGAAGACCTCTACATCACAAATTCACACATTCTGTCTCACATTCCCATCAAAATGATTCTCTGGTCCTCCTTAGATCCCTACGCCCATGTGTCATTCCTGCATGTGAGTAAGACCACAGAAGTCATAAGGTCCACTTTGAACCCCACATGGGATCAGACTCTCATCTTTGAGGACATCGAAATCTACGGAGACCCTCAAAGTATCGCCCGCAACCCTCCTGATGTGGTGGTGGAGCTGTGCGACAGTGATCAAGTAGTACGTTGTATATTTAATCTGCCAGATCAAACCACGCAGGCATACAGACTTTTATCTTAGAAATATGACTTGGATGCATGGTGGATGTAATCAGGCTTTGCTAAGTCTTACTCTGCCTCTGCACTTTATTTACAAGGGTAAAGATGAGCCCATGGGTCGCTGTACATGCCCTCCAGTGGTGAAACTGAACCCCAGTGTGGCCGTCAGCCCCAAGCTGCTGTGGTTCCCAGTCACAAAAAAAGGTCGCAGTGCTGGGGAGGTACTGATGGCTGCAGAGCTCCTACTGAAGAACAAGGTAACGATGACACCAAAGAAAGTAAACGTACTGTAATGTAATAAAACTGTACTTATGAGGGAATGCTGTGCTTTGCCTTCCAGGCGGATGACGGAAATATGCCCCTTGTGCCTCCTCGCCGGGGTGAGAAGCTCTACATGGTTCCCCAGGGAATCAGACCTGTGGTGCAGCTCACTGCGATTGAGGTTAACGATCCTTTGCCCTATAAAGTATCTTGACACACATTACATGATCAGACAAGATCAGCCCAACCCTAAGATTTCTGTTGTAGTTGCATTTAATTCCCTCCCCCCTTCACCTATCTCCTACCTCCATGCTGGCCCCTTAATCTGCCCATACTAATTTTTCAAAGTGTGTTAATGTGTTTATTTGATTCCTAGGTCTTGACTTGGGGCTTGAGGAACATGAAGACCTACCAGCTGGCCACAGTTTCCTCTCCCAGCTTGATAGTGGAGTGTGGTGGTGAGATCGTTCAAACCGCTGTAATCAAAAACTTCAAAAAGAACCCCAACTTCCCTGGATCGGTGCTGCTGCTCAAAGTGGTACAAACCCTCAAACTTTCTGAGAATAAATATTCTGAGACACCTGTAAATGTTTCGTGTCTAGATTGTCCACATGTTCTTACATGGCTGATTCTACTCCCACTGTAGCTGCTTCCCAAAGAGGAGATGTACACCCCTGCCATTGTGCTGAAGGTCATCGACCACCGGCCATTTGGTAGGAAACCAGTAGTGGGTCAGTGCACCATTGACTGCCTGGAGGAGTTCCGCTGTGATCCGTATCGCATTAACAGTGAAGTCTGCATGTCAGCTAGAGGTATACACAATTGCATAGCCCCCGGCAGGTACATGCACACTTAGCTGCATACAGTAGAGGCTAATTGTATCCTGTTTCATTGACTTTGCAGTGGCAATGATAGCTACTGCCCAGGGCGATGTTGTCATAGACATTGAGGAGAGTCCCATCATGAAAGCTGAGGTAAATACTAATGCACCCATAAAAGGTTAGAGACAGTATTTTCACATCTACTTCCTTTCATTGATAAGTTTTCTTTCTTTGCTTCTCATTTTGCAGCTTCAAGCAGAAATGGTGAGATTGTCTCTTTTCACAAATTGTTTCCTGATAGACAGTATTTCTAAAAACACTTAGTTCATCATTATTTTCCGTTGTGTAGGAGGATGAGGCAGTAGACTGGTGGAGTAAGTTCTACGCTTCTGTTGGAGAGCAGCAAAAGTGTGGGCCTTACCTGAAAAAGGGATACGACACATTGCAGGTAAGAACATGCCGGGGCACAATAAATGATTTAATCTTTCCCTTGATTCCTTGTTTGTGTTTTACAAGCTGCAGCAAGCCAGCTGTAACAGACAGGGTTGTGACCAAAATGTCCTCATTCTTATTTTTCCTGGTAAGAGTTTGCAGTATTATATATCCAAAACAAAAAGTTTTTCTCTCAGATGCTGACAAGAGCACTCAAACATTGGGGAGATTCTGTTGATAATTTTTTGAACCAAAAATAAAAACATGGGAGCTCTGTGAAAGCTTGCAACTAAGGTGTGAAATAAACCAATAGTTAGGTTGAAAGCTCACAATAATAAAAAGTTTGACTTAGTTTTGTGCAGCAGATAATGCAGTGGATTACATTAGATGTAACATATGCTCTGCCCTCTGTGTTGTCTTATTTTATTTTGTGGTTTTAAGGTATTTAACAGTGACCTAGAGGAGGTTCCTCAGTTCCAGGGACTCACTGATTTCTGCACAACGTTCAAACTTAAGCGAGGAAAGAATGAAGATGAGGAAGATGATCCCACGGTGGTTGGAGAGTTCAAGGTAAAGAATTTGAGGGAGTGGCCTTGCCACTCAGCATCTCATTTTACCTGCACTAATGTATCAGGGGTAATCACTGCTTTTACTGTTGCACAGTGACTTTCCATAGCCTTTATCCGCCCTCTGGTGGAGAATTTTGGAATTTCAGTCAAAGTCAATGGATTAATTTGGCAGCTACAAACTAGTACTGCAGATGTGGGTTCAAGGAGGGAACATAGCAGCAACACTGTATATGGATGATATTACATATAAAGCCTGCAGACTGGTATGCCTGTGAGGCTGTGAGTTTGCCACAGTGTTTGGCGCTTGTGGAGTTGAAATGCACAACTTTCATCCTGTCCTGAATGTATATTTCATTTTAACTATACCTTGCACTGCCATTTAATTTGGATTGTAGAGATAATCCTTTGACCTCCATATTCTCAGGAATAGGAATACAGCAATCATTTTATCATTATATTATGTTTTTAGATTTTAGTGTTCACAAACATTTGCTTTATGATTGAAGTTTTGAGTTGTGTTACTTAAGTTAGAGGCACTTTCCCACACTGAGTGAATAGTAAAGCCACATTTAAATGTGGATATGTAGGCAAGATCAATGAACTGACTCACATTCTTCTCTCGTTTTTTGGACAGCTTTTCAACATTATTTAAATTTAATTTAATTTTCAGGTAGAATTACAAACCACAAAGATTTAATTTAATTTATCCTCTGCGGTTCTTCAATCTTTTGTTATCTGGGCAGGAAAATGGTCTAGAATAGTAGCTCTCAACCTTTTCAATGTCAGGGACCCCTAGATTGATAAACATTATAGGTAACAGACCCCCATTTTTGTTTCAGGTTTTGTTCTTAGATATGATTAAGGCACGAATCCTATAGTTGTCAGCTAAAGTTGTGGAGGTAACTGTGGAGGAAGTGAAACCTATGATCAGAATAGTCACTCTTATGACTCTTACTCACAGTGGGCTCACTTCTATATTGAATTAAATAGCGGAAATAAACTATTCTCCATTTTCGTGGCAACACCTAGAAACTCCTTCAGGGACCCGGGGGGTTTCCTGTACCCCTGGTTGAGAACCACTGGTCTGAAGTTTCTGTGTGAATGTACTTAGCTTGCAAAAGAGATGTGCTGCTAATGATGGCGTCCTCTCTCGCGATATTCAGGGCTCGTTCAAGATTTACCCACTGCCCGATGATCCAGGGGTGCCACCTCCACCCCGCCAGTTTAGAGAGCTCCCTGAGAGCGGACCACAGGAGTGTCTGGTCAGAATTTATGTGGTGCGCTGTCTCGACCTGCAGCCTAAGGATACAAATGGCCTTGTGAGTATTATATGTAGCTGGAACTGAACAACAACCCCTGATTTAGTGATGAAGGATTGAGATACGACCAGGCTCACTTATAAAGTAACAAAGATGATTGAAGCTACTTTTTTTCCTTTGTTTCAGTGTGACCCATACATTAAGATTGCACTGGGAAAGAAAACACTAGATGACAGAGATAACTACAAACCAAACACCCTGAATCCAGAGTTTGGGAGGTGAGGCAGTGATGTATTCAGCTTGTTTATTTTTCATTCATTCAGATGATTTGGGACAGTTTTAACTTTATGTAGGAACATATAGAAGCAACACATGCATTAAATGTCCTCTATTTTGTCCAGGATGTTTGAGCTGTCCTGCTTCCTGCCTCAAGACAAGGACCTGAAGATTGCTGTGTATGACTATGACCTACTGAGCAGAGATGAAAAAGTGGGTGAGACAGTCATCGATTTGGAGAATAGACTCCTGTCTCATTTCAGGCCCTGCTGTGGCCTGCCACAGACTTACTGTGTGTAAGTATGTACTCTTACAGTACAATATCTACAGCACAGTTGATACATCCTAGAGGGTAGACTAAGGAATTTTTCTATGATATGTTTTAGTTTCTCAAATCCAAAACTGAAAAGCTACATTTTTCTTACAGCTCAGGGATCAATCAGTGGAGAGACCAGCTGAAGCCTTCTCAGATCCTCCAGAACGTGGCCAGAGTGAGAGGCGTCCCTCCTCCACGCATAGAGGGAGATGGCAGCTCACTGTCTTTCTCAGGAAAACAATACAACCTGCAAGATTTTGGTACTGTAATTTTCAAATGCCTTGCAGAATGAGTGGGATTTGTGGGTTGCAGATTGTAAATACATCATTCAAAGTTGGCCTCACCTCCCTGGCTCAGTGGCTCCTTTTAAATGTGTGCACATATATATAAAAGAAAATACCAGCAGAGGGAACTGCCTCTGCAGACACAGACATTGCTACACTCTTCTTGTGGGTCATAAATGTTAATTGAGAGGGATTATTTTTGTATGAGTCCACATATCTTTTTTGTTTTCGGAAAATCCTTCTCATTCTGCCTTTAACACGTATTAATAAGCGTGCTACAGTTGTATTTTTTATTTTTTTTTGCTTAGTTTGACCGTTTGTATATCTTTGATATTAATATTCACCTTCTACACTATATTATCTTTCATCCTTGACTTTTACAATCTGCTGTGCCCTTTGCAGAGGCAAACACTGTGATCCACCCACACTTGGGCCCAGCCAGAGAGAGGCTGGCTCTGCATGTCCTCAGAAACCAGGGCTTGACACCAGAGCATGTGGAGACCAGAACCCTGTGCAGCTCCCACCAACCCAACCTGTCTCAGGTTAAAACCACAGCAGTAACACTACATTTATTAATTTGGTAGCATTACAGGTAGAAGTAAAGCTTCAAAGTATGAACATAATGCTTTGTGGAATTCACATTTTAATGTTGTTGTATAATAGCTGTGTTTAAAGAGTCTTTTCCACACATGCAGGGAAAAATTCAAATGTGGGTCGACATTTTCCCCAAGAGCCTTGGTTTGCCAGGTCCTCCATGTGATATCACCCCACGCAAAGCCAAGAAGTAAGACACTTGGCAAAAATAACATTACATTGTATTGTATGTAAGCATCAAATCTAACGCTGTATATTTAAAACAGGTACATTTTGCGAGCCATTGTTTGGAACACAACCAATGTCATTCTGGACGAAACAAGCATCACTGGTGAAAACATGAGTGACATCTACGTTAAAGGGTACATCACTTGACCTTAACCATTCATTTGTTCTCAGGGCTGGGCAATATGTTGACATTATATCAATATTGTGATATGAGAGTAGATATTGTCTTAGATTTTGGATATCGTAATATCATAAGTGTTGTCTTTCCCTGGATTTAAAGGCTACATTATTTAGTCAAATATATTGTGATATTTGATTTTCTCTATACCGCCCAGCCCTGTTTGTACCTATATAGGCTTTACTTTAATATGCATTTTTTAATCCATTTGACTGATTCACAAATCCTAATTCAACATTACCATGCTTCCTAGATGGATGCCAGGCATGGAGGACAACAAGCAGAAGACTGATGTCCACTACAGATCCCTGGATGGTGATGGAAATTTCAACTGGAGGTTCGTCTTTGACTTTGACTACCTCCCGGCAGAACAGCTGTGTGTCGTCTCAAGGAAGGTGAGTGAGATCATGGAGTGGGAACAAAGAATCAAGTAACTGTTGTCCATAATCATTTATAATTTTTGTTGTGCTGGTATGATGGCGAGTAATGATCTGAATAAAGTTTATGTCTTTTTACAGGAACATTTCTGGAATCTGGCCAAAACTGAATTCAGGATTCCTCCTAAACTGATTGTCCAGATATGGGACAATGACAAATTCTCCCTGGATGACTACTTAGGTGAAACATTATTGTTATTAACCCCATTTATGCCATGACCACACAAAGGCCCTTAAAAGATAGAGATATTTAAGAGAGAACTGCTGCAATAAAAGACAACTTATTTTCTATCTATGTCACTGTTACAGGTTCAGTTGAGCTGGACCTACTCAATCTGATCTCTCCTGCGAAGAGCCCAGAAAAGTGCAGCCTAAAGATGCTGCCCGGGATGGCGGGCTCACCCACCTCCAAAAAACCACCGCCCAACTCACTCTTCTCCCAGAAGTCTGTGCGAGGCTGGTGGCCATGTGCACTTGAGAAGGATGGGAAACATGTGCTTGGTGTATGTTGATGTTCATAACACAGTCACTAGTTCACGTTTTCTTTTCCTGGTTACTGTTTAAAACTGGTTCAAAACTCCACAGGGAAAAGTAGAGATGACACTGGAAATACTGGAGGAGAAGGAGGTGGATGAGAGACCGGCTGGGAAAGGCAGAGATGAGCCAAACATGAATCCCAAACTGGACCCACCCAAGTAATAAATCTGAGACCTTAAAGCAATTTTAAAAATGCATGAAATATGATTACGTTGTTCTATGAACTGCTCAACATGAATGATGTAAATGTTTCTTTCTGCATTTAACAGCCGCCCTGACACATCATTCTTCTGGTTTACAAACCCATGCAAGACCATGAAGTTCATCGTTTGGCGCAGATTCAAATGGATTTTCATTATATCGATTCTTCTTCTGCTGGTTATCTTGTTCTTCGGGATCCTGTTTTACTCCCTACCTGTAAGATTACTTATATTTCTGAAACTGCCATACTTAATTTTAATCCACCACACATTGTTTTTCCACAGTATTTTGTAATCTGAATTAGTTTTAATGTTTGTTTCACATCTACAGAACTACATCTCAATGAAGATTGTGAAGCCCTACTCCTAAGAAGCACTGCAGAGAGATTGTCTGCCTTCCTGATGCAGAATCTACAGTCCCATTGACTGTTACCATCCCTCAAAAATATGCAATAACTTCCTCTGCTGATGCTATAGCAGACTGATAATCAGCATTTACCTGGCACACAATACTATCATTTTTTGCACTTCCAGTATTGCTTACAGTACATTTCTTGTGTTGCAAATAATCTCTCTTATGTTCAAATTTTAGACAAAAAAATCAAGAATGTCATGAATATATTTTAATAAACTTTGTCATAAACAAACTGTTTATATTTTGTTTTATTGTGCACACATTTGAAATTGGTGCAAGTGTTGGGAAACTATCGACCTGTATATATTAAAATCAGAAATAAATTTTTATTATCAGCATCAAGTGTTAGCAATATCAAAACAAAGTAGTTCATCTGTTCATCTATCATTTATATCATAACAGTGCAATTTAGTAACATGGCTGCAATAAAGGGAAGACAATATGGTAATTTAATCAATTAAAAAAATAAAGGCTAAAAAATATATAATACATTTTTGCTCTATATTTACCTTACAGGCAAATGTAGAGAAAATAACCGCAGATTAAAAAAGTCAGCGAGATAAGGAATACAGTAACATAAAATAAATAAAATAGCAAAAAAAAAAATCAGCAAAACAAGTTTACAGTGAAAAAAACAAAAAAACAAAGTACAACATTAAATAAATTATAATAAATGTACATTATAAACATTTAAAATTATTTTATTTTTTTTTACCACTGATTTATAAAATACATTTTATAAAGACAGACACTTTACATTTTATTGCTACTTGGTGATTTTTCTCGTCTTCTCAGTATTTCTATCAATTTCAATACCTCCTTAACAGTTGCACGTCAGTAAACTCCTTTTTGGCTCAGTTGCTAGGATACCGACTCATGATCCCGCCTCTTTTCTCAAGAAGAATGTCCGGATTGGTCCATATACCCCTGCCGTCAACGTGAAGCAGCTGCCTGCAACAACGAAGTGAAAGTAAACCGGACGATAACATTTGGAGTGATATGTGGTCTGAGAAGATACAATAGTGTATGAAAATAAATAAATAATTATGTAATGCTTTAACTCAGAAGTCTAACACAAACAGGGGCATGCTTGTAAGTTGTATCTCTTTGTTTTAACGGACACAGCACGGCTAGCTCGAGCAGGCTGAAGTACGTGAGCGCTATCTACAAGAATCGGAGCTAGCGAATAATAGCTAACGTTTAGATTTGTAGCCAATGAAAGCTAAGTTAGCTCAGGATGACTTGTTTTTTTTTTTTATGTCCTGGATGATGTGTCCGCATTAAGGTTGTAAGCTGTTAAACATGTCTGTCGGAAAAAATACTGTAACGTTACCACTAATAGTTGAGCAACTATGTATTGTTTTCGCAATGTTAAAAGTATAACGGTTAGGTTTGTGAGGGTTAGTTAGCTAGCTAATTGTAGCTTTGTTGCTTCGTGATGTGCAGGCTGCCGAGCGCTTGTTTGTTTTAAATTACTGTCAAAATATGAAACTACTACCTAAGGTAAGAGGCTGAAACGAAAGCTGAGACCACGACTCACTCAAGTCGAGCTGCCCAGCCTCATGTTTTGAGAAAGTGGACCAAACAAAGTCTAAAAACACATTTAAGTTGTACTGGCTGTCCGTACCAAGATCTGAGGGTATCTCCTATCTAATACCAGACATAAACAAAGCTTTGCATTTGGCTTTAAAGTAAAGTCCAGTGTCACCAGAAAAGGGGCAGTGTGTAACTATGCCATAACTTTGTTGCCATGTATAAAATGAAATGCCACAGCTTTTCAACGTGAATGTTTTCCTTCTTAAGCAGTTATTGTTGAGTCATCTTGTCTGACCTGTCAAAGATGGATGAAGTGATGGATTCTCAAAAGAGGTAAAGCAGTCTAGATAGGCTCAGGATTTTTTGTGGTCAAGCGTTTACTTCTTAACTAATGGCTAATCCCTCTTTGAGAAAAGTGAAGTTGCAGTATTTTGATCATAAAAGTACACTTTGTAATTTCAGCATACATACAAGGCCTTCTCTTGCTCAGTTGTCTTTCTGTCCCGCTACAGTTTGACTGCTGAAGTCGAGCGAGAGGGTGTGGACGATGATGCTCCTAAAACAACCTTATCAGATAGAAAAGATCACCTATTTTGTGGACACCAAAAGCATGACACTACAAAAGACTGTGCACTAACAGAGAACACTCAAGATGACGTGGGATCTCAGACTTTGATGGACTGTGGGTCTGCAGGTGGGATGGATGAATCTGTCCTTGAAAGCAGCAGATTTAACACAGCTCAAACACACTGTCCTAATGGGCAGAAGGCCAAGAGGCCCAGTTCACCTGGTCCTCACTCTGTCAAAACAACCTGTGTTGCTGCACACTCTCCAAATCCAAAACTCACCCTCTGTCTTAGTATTAGTCCCAGGAAGGGTGTAAGTACACCCAGTGATGTGGAGATGTTGAGTCCGGACAGTCCCGTCAGTAAGACCATGCTCGTCAACAGCTCTGCAGACAAGGAGCATGATGGCAGGGGTTATGCAGAGGACTCTAGCTTTGCAAAGGAATCTCAGCAGTTTGTCAAAGACTCTGAATCTGGATGCTCGGCCAAAGAAAAAGTCCATCTGGGTGCCGTGGGAACTAAGGTTGCTGACATAGCTGGGAACAGTGGCTCATCTGGTATGAGCCAGTCAGGTGCACTTTTTGAAAGGTACTTGTGAAAATTTTCTGTGTTTTACTTTTTGTGTTTTGTGATCAGTGAATCATCTTTACCGTGGTTTCCTCGCTCCAGTATGCACTCTAATGTCATTCAGTAATAGTGTGGCATACCAGGGCTCGGAAGTAATAGAGGCCAAGTTGCCATTGGCAACCATGTTGAGAGAGTGGAAGCTAATTCTTGGCCTGTGGTTGCCATCAGTGGAAACCACTTTTTAACTTATAAAAATAAGGACAGCACATTTTATTTGTTGCATTAGTGATGTTTAAACATTGCTGTCACAGTAAGAAATGAAATCTGAAAATGTTGCACGAGACAGCACTGCATGTGTATTGCTACATTTACTCGCATATGCATAGGCATGTGTCTTAGAAATAATGGCAAAGCAAAATATGAAAGGGAGAGACATGCTACCCTTGACTAATTGATAACTGTTTCAAATTCTGTAAAGTATCAGATAAAACATAAACAACAGTTTCATGTTTGGTTACTATAGGAAAGCTTTTAAACATTTTTTTCTGTCACCTTTTTTATGATAAAGCAGATGTAAAACTGCAGGTATCTTCATTACTCAAAATATAAAGTGAGAAAAAATGGCAAACATACTTTCAGTTTCGGCAACCAAAAGCTGGTGCCTGGTTGCAGCCTGGCAACCACTTGAAGAAGTTAGTGTTGAACCCTGCATACTGACCTGTTCTGTTCTGTGCTCTGTGTTTCATTGCATGACATGTACAGAGGATGGCTGGGGACACCCATAGATGAGCTGAACAGAATGCCCCAGTGTGCCCCCCCTCTGTCTCACCTGAAAGCAGTGCCTAACCACACTGTCACAGTCAGGGTGAGTAAAAAGCCACTTGTGGGGTGTGTGTTCTTTGCATGTGGTATGTTGTGAAGAACACTGCAGTCATGAATAATAATGTGATTGCAGATGCAACTGGGCATTGGTGCGTGGTGGGTCTGCACTTGGTGTTTTAAAAAGAGAAAATAAGATCGGGAAAAGTGGGAGTAAGAGTGAAACCATCCTCCATGATCCCCTCAGGGCCTCTTGTCAGTAGAGCTCCTATCAGACTGTGTCCTCCACTACAAGTCCCACAGGAACACTGTCAGTGCTGCTATGTTGCCACTACTGGCTCTAACCACTGCTACCCAAGTTAGATTCTCCACATCACCTCCTGAATCACAAGAATGGTGGATTTTTAATTACTGTTTTAAGAAAATCACATCTCAGCTTTAAATAAGGATAGCTTATCTTCAGTTGTTTAGTCAACAGAGGGAAATGTGACTTTTGGTAAAACAAGTTTTAAGCTTCTATTTCCATTATCTGTGTATACAGTTTTAAGGCATTAGTCATATATAATTTTATTTGGTATATCTACTTTACCATTTTCTAAGTTTAACAAATATTTAAAGGGAAACTGTTGCATCTTTTCAATAATTTTGTTTTCCCTGCCTTTTTGTTTCTGTTACAGACAGATCTCCTCAGAGAGGGAGAGGTCCCTGTTTCATACCCTAGCAAGTTCAAAGACGCGTGGGATGATGTGTCCGTGAAGATGCCCTGCTCCGAGAGGAATCTGTTTCCCATGGAGACTGAGGTATACCAGTGCATGCTTTTAAAACACGCCCATATTCTAGTTATTGTAGGAACTATTTACTAAAAGCAGTTTGTCATTTGTTGTGCCATGTAGGATGGAGGTGGCGTCCAAAGTCGTTGGGAGCTGATCCAGACTGCCTTGCAGGGAGGGTTCAAAAGTTCTCTGGATGTGAGGGTAAGACAAATACACTGTGCAGAATGAGGCCAAACATAATCTGTGTCCTATTAAGATGGATGAATGGGCTTATACATGTGAAGATATTTGCATCTGTAATTAAGAAGTCCCCACTGAAACACCAAAAACAGCTAACTGTCTTCTTCTCTCACCTGTTTACTGTTTTAAACAACAAAATTGTGTATTATATCCATCATCTGGTGAGGAGTGGGAGAGTCACAGTTTGGTCTCAGCAGGTCAGAGCTCTGTTCCGTCACCTCCTACTCTCCATGATCTCTCAGATTGTGTTTCAGTAGAGCTGAACACACCGTAAAGTGACAGCAGAGGGACAAATGGGAGACACAAAGTTGAGTTTTTAGCATTATTCCAACATAGTAATGAACATGTAGGAGCAGTCATCATTTTGGCAGCAAAGTGTTGTTTTTTTTTGACCATCCACGCCTGGAGTTTTTCACCCTGCAAGCATTTGTGAAAACATTGTTTTCGAGTGCGACAAAGGCAGCCTAGTGTGGATGGAAACTAAAAACAGTTAGGACAAGATGCAGTCTCAAATTTAGCTTTTAAATTTGGGCATTTTGATAAAACTGAAACTTTAGCTATACTGGATACTGGAGAATTTCTGCTGTATTGTTCTAAGCGACTGTCACAGAAGTTTATACAAAAACTTATTCCATAAACAACCACAGGGTGGCAGAGTTTGCAACAAACACATCTTGTATTGGCAAGTATTAAAAGAATATTTGAAATCTGTGATCCTAAACATTTCTGTGCATTAAACCTGCTGCTAATCTGCTGTCATACAATTTTATGTATTTAAAGAATAGTGTTGTGTGAATAAATAACTCCTTATTCTCCTCTTCAGGATGCTATATTGAGATACAACACAGCCCATGCAAAGAAATGGGACTTCACTGCCCTGAATCTTCTTTGTACAGAGGTAAGCTGTCCAAGACATGACTGCTACATGATGTTTATAGGCTGATCTTGTACAAAAGATAAAAAAGGGAAGGTTAAAGGAGCTTCCCTGAAGCCTGCTGATGATACTGTTGTGCTAAAACGTGTCTTTGGCATCTGCCTTTGCTGAACATGAAATATATGAAATTTAAAAGCAGCTCTTTTGGCTTATTTGAAGAAGCAGAACATGGAAGTTTTTTTCATATTTCTTTATTTGTTCAATATCAGGCTTTCATATTTGTAATTTAAGAAAATCGACATAAACACCTCATCAGCCTGTTGTGTTTATCACAGTTCTGACAGTCAGCCCCACTGAACTTTGGTGGCAGTGTTTGTTTAACTCACCATGATTAATTATGTCTTTAAAATTTACCTTAATGAAGAATGAAGCTAAAGCTGACACTTAACTAGAGTTGTTATCGCAAAGGGAGCTTTCTCTCCTCTGTTTGGCTGCAAGCCCATCAGTGTGCGTCGTCCCTTCCCAGTACCTGGGAGTCTCACAGGAGCAAATACGCTTCATACAGTTAGGACAGATGAGCATGGAGCATGGCGGCAGCAGCTGTTGCGGGTGAACCAGGGGAATGTCTTCCTTTTTTTTCCGTCTCTCTCCTTCCTTTTAACACTTCTTTTACTCTGCTCAGGCAGTGAAGGACTGTAATGACATACCTGTTGTTAGAGAAACTTCTTCCCAAGTGCATTAATTGTTATTCATTAAATGTAATTAACTGTTCTGAAATTACTTACTTGAACTATTTTAGAAATTTAGCATTTCCCAGTAAAGCATCAATCCTTTTGTAGAAATTCCTTCCTGAAATCTTGTAGAGACCGTATTAGTAGTAGTGCCTGTCTACTGGCTGTGTTTAATTCAGAATAGTCTACATATACCTCATTATCCACCCAAAGAAAAGACGGAGTTGAATAAATAGCAAACCAATTCCAGCTAGAAGCCTAATTTGGATACCTACATTTAGTAAAGCATATTGACAAACTCTGTCTGGCTTGGCTCGTGTCTTGGTGAGAGCCATTTCATACTTGTTATGTTCCAGTCAGATTGATATCCGAGCTTGATGTTCGTCCCTTCCGATCACTGATTACTCAGCAAAATTCAGACCATTCCAAAATGGTCTTTTTTCCCCCTCCTCTCTGAAATAATTTCTCAGAGTAAAGCGGAGAGCTCTGTAGATCAATGGCCACCTGAAGCTTTTTATAGCTTAATCCAATTTAATTAAAAGGTCCCATTAAATGTGCAAGGATGCTCAGTAAAGCCAGCAAGAAAATTGCCCTTCTGGCCATCTATTGCGTCAGTGGCTCCACTCACTGTCCTGTGCGCAGTATTTCCTCCCCCGGTTTCCATTCTGCTGAGGCATTTAGTGAGGGAGGGTGATGCTTGCAAGAAAAGGACAAGTCAAGGTAGAATTTAAAATTAGGATATGTGCATAGGGATCCTGTGGGTCCTTATATTGTCTTAAACGGCATTGAATTCAGTAATTCAAAAATAAGTCCTCAATTGGTATTAAAATGTCTTAAATCAGCTATGACATGAGAATCAGGATTTTATGAATATTTTTTTTTTTCTGTTGTTGCATTGTAAAATCTCAAAATAACTCAAATAACATCTACAATTGATTGATTGCTTCTCACATTAACAAAACGCAGATCAAGAAACCTGAACCACAACACTCATATTTTCCAGCTGGGATGCTCAGAGTAGGGGAACAACTGTTTGCTTGATGTCACTGTACCCTGAAAGTCATGGGGAAGTGCAAACTCAACAATAATTGCCAGTTCAACCAGGATGTTGCTGCATGGCTGAACCAGTACAAGGCAATGTATACAAGGCTTGGTGTATTTAATGCAAAATGTTTTTTAAACTCGCACTGTGGGAATTGAAGCAGTGGAATCCCACATACAGAGTGAGAAACATTTGGGCAAAATTGTCCCTATCCCTAAGTAATTGATGTCAGTTCATGATTTTAACTTCAGTTATGATTTTGTAAAGTTGGTCTTAAATTTAACTCTCAGTGGCAATAAAAAAATCTGAAAAAGCCTTAAATCTAACTTGTCTTAAGCTGTAGGAACCCCGGTGTAGGAAGTGGCAAAAGTGATACAGGAATTTAAATAGTTGCATGCGTACAGATACAAGTACCGACTGCTTGCTGTGACACGAGTTACATTTCTATCAGTTAATGGATGCAGGATGAGGGAGCATTCAGAGCAACACACCAGCACATTGAGCAGGAATGATTAACAGCTGCCATTCTACAGCAGACATGCATAAGTGATTTCTCTTTCACGCAGACGCTAATGTAGTGAAGAATCACATACACTAAACTGTTCAGCCATTGTTTGGGCAAACCAGTTGATGAGTAATTGACAGAATGATTTTTACTGCATGCCATTTTTTTAATGTTAGCATCTTTTTCTGTAGTTGGTAGCGAGTTTAAATCCTTACTGTTGTACTCCTCAGCCAGGACCACCTAATTAAATCTGGAGCAACGTTTGTGCAGCACTGGGGTAATTGTCACAAGGTATATTGCCCCTGGGCCGGTGATTGACACTCCGCTCAACATGTAATAGCCATAGGGGAGAAAAAAAAGAGTTATCCAAATTAGGGCTTGTCTGTAAATTGTCTTAGTGTTTCTCCCCTGCCAAATGAAACTGTCACTGTGTCACTTTCTGATGAATGTCTGAGGGCTTAGCAGGAAAGCAGTCCAGGAGTAAGTGCAGCTGATGTTTCTATAGTATATGGACATTCAGCAGTAGGACAACCTCTCACTTTTTGTGCTTTGTCACTTGTTTTGTTTCTGTGTCTGATACATTGAAAAAATATTCTTAGACCTCTAAATAACTATCTGAGATTGAGACTTGCGTAGGTTGAGCTGCCAGGAAATGAAAATAACTTGTAAAGTGCGGAATGGATGGAAGATCAGAGTGTCATCAATCGTTAACCTATGCAGCAGTTAATCTGGACTGTCCGACTGGAACTCAGTCTGTCATATGTATTGATGTGAAAGGTATAGTTTGTGTGTGCAGCCCAGCCTGTGTGTGACTGCGGTGGCTGGCTGCTGTGGCTGTGGAAAGTCTGGGGGATCATCTTTCTGCCCTCATCCAGCTGCATCACCAACTACCATCTATTAGTCCCACAGGAGCGCTTTATGATGTCTGCCAGCTCATTACTTCTGACAGCGTTTAGTCAGACCTGCTCTGCAGCCATATAAATGCCCCCCAACCAAATCACCCACCAAAGACTTCCTGTTGGAAATCAAGCCACCCTGCCACTCTCTCCACAATTGGTCATTTGCATTTGCTCCAGAAGGTCCATTTAATCAGCGAAAGCTCCCCCTGCTTACCTTGATAGAGTAAGGCAAGTGATTTATGACAGTGACATTCGAAGCCAATACACTCATAAGTGATTGCGTTGTAAATCTGGGTCTATGATGGAATAACAGGGTGTTTATTTTAGAGGGAATTGCAGATGGATGCTGAGGTAAGCTGTAGGCTGAAGTATGGTTGCCTCGGCCGTGGCAGGCCTGCTCCCAGATTGATGGGAGTTTGTTCTGAACCTGGTTCTGTGTAGCGAGTAGCTCTGCAGCATTTCTATTCTGTCTTTCACCGCTCAAATGATGGGTTTATTGATATCTGAGGAGTGGGGGGTTCAACCTTAAACAACAATAAACCTTCATTACCTTCACTGATATGAGTTTTCTTGTTGGACATGAGAGAACTGAGCATCTTTCCTTAGATATTGGTTACTGGTATAGGGTTATGACCTCATACTCACTGTCAGACAGTTATTAGACCATTTAAACTGTCCATCAACTTGTTGGCTGCTCCTCAATTTTTTAGGGCCATTTTATTCTGAGTGAGATGCAAACTGAATTTGCTCTACTCCCTTGAAAACAGAATTGTCAAAAAACTAAACAAAATAAAGAATGGTTTGATTGTGACATCACATTTTGGTTGAAAAAAATCAGCAGTGTTAACAAAACAATACATCTCTTCAGATCTAATCAGTCACTCTGACTGCTGGCTCTGAGTAACTGCCTGCCTAACTAGGCAGTCAGCTCCACAGAGATATCCCATTTAACAGAACTCCTGCCTGCGTGTCTTGTTTTCTTTTCTCCAGTATCTCGAGCATTCAGAGTTACAGCTCCTGTTTGAGGCCCTGCTACCAGCTATGGTTGACCTAGCACTCAGTGCTCCTAGCCTCTGCACGATGGTAAGTGCGGTATACTATTTTTATGAATATGCACGTAGTTTATGTTTAGGGGATTTGCAGGAGGAAATGGAAAGGTGAGCTGTAGTGACAAAGGTTTGATAACAGGTTAGGGCTAAAGCTAGGGAAACACTGCCAGAATTTGAAAATACAGCCTCCTCCTGTACCTTTCCCCTCTCTGTCCTAACCCTATCCCACCAGACAATACAACAACCTGTACAAGTACTCATCATTTATTTTGATCATCACGATTGTGATTTTGATCCTGATGCCATTTTGTAGTGGCAGTTGGCAGTAAAGCTTATGATATTGCACCGCCACGCTTCAATGGTGATGGCAAAAATAGCACTCACTTTATTAAAGTGAATTGGTGATGAATTACCCACATGCATGATACATCAATAATAGTCAAATTTTCACATGATCTGTGATGATGAAGATACAGAAATATTGAAACACATGGCAAACATGGCATGTTCTAATATTTTACAAATCATGCTTTCAGGGGAGCTCATGTCTTATTAAGAGGAGCCAAGCGCCCCCTGGACCCGCTGCAGCTCGCACCCTGCCTTTGGCTACAGCTAGCAGTTGGTTAAACACAGCCAAGAGGAGGTGCAGACGTCTAGTGTTCTCTCTGACCACTTGAATTACATTATGCTAAAAGGTTATTGTGGGATTTTTGTCCAATGATGCCAGAAAAAACTGCCTACCCCAACTTTAAGGGATATAGGAGGAAGGATCTAAGTGAGTAGAGTCAGCAGAGAGAAGAGGCAAAGGGTTGGATGGTGGATGTTATACAGGATCAGTTCATGAGTTACAACTACTCAATAATGAATGCCTCTTTTTGGTCCGTATCAAGAACTGCTTCATTAGAAAAGAGGGCTGTGAGAGGAGAGGTCCGTCTCATCTCCAGTCATCCATCTGATGTGCTATGCTTGAGCACTTGAGGAAATTACACTTATGAAAGTTAAAATTCAGCTTATTGCGTAGGACTTCTACACTAGCCGTTCCTCTTCTGAGCAGTATATTTTGAGAAACAGAGCCCTCTTTTTTTTTCCACATTAAATGGAGCTGATCCATGTCACAGATCTTTTAAATGTCAATCCCATTCGTCTTCATTTTCGTTCGCTGTCATCAATTATAGCAATGCAGAAATTCCAACATTGATATTTTTGTAATTCAGTTATCTTTTTCAGAGTCCTCCGTTAAATTAAATTAATTAATTCAGCTTCCACTATGGGCAGGATAGGAAAACCCCTCTGGTTGTTACAGGAGACAGAAACCTGTGGCAGAACGTCAGGGTTTAACCAAAGGAGGGAATTTCTGGCACGGATTACACCTCAGAATCATTTGTTGCGGTTGGATAATGAAGCTTTCTGACTCTTCGCTTTGTTTTGCAGTATTAAGCGTCAAGGCTAATGTTTATGTGTGTGTTATTAGAGCAGGTATTGATCTGCTAACTGGGCAGCCTTGGGAGGCTCTTTAGCCCTAATCAGTGAAGATAGATGGGCCCCATGTGTCTGACGGAACGAACCTGGGGGAGAGCAAGAAAACCAGGACTTTAATTACTACCACCCATTTACCTAATGGAACTCTCCTTGTCTCCTCTCCTTGCTAGATTGCTAAACTAATTATGCACCCCCATTAGCCATCAGACCCACAGTACTGCACCCACGTAACCTTGTGTGTTTCTTGTGCATCTCTCTTTGTCATCTACATTTCCCATTCTGATCTCCAGTCCCTCGGGTTCGGTCTCTTTGTCACTTTTTTTTTCTCCCTCTCTCTCTTTCCAGCCAATTCCCTTATTGAAGTCAAGGATGAACCACTCCCTGACTCTGTCTCAGGAGCAAATAGCCTGTCTTCTGGCCAACGCCTTCTTCTGCACATTCCCCCGACGCAACTCCCGCAAATCGGAGTACTGCAATTATCCTGAGATCAACTTCTACAGGTAAAGGCACAACATGACTTGCGGAAAACTGAAGAGACACAAAACAATGATCAGCAGCTCACCAGGGTAATTAAGTGAGCTGCAGTCCTTAGTATTTGATTCCCAAAATGAGATTTGCCCCTTGAGCCTTTCGTATTCCCTTTGTAAGCCAGTAGGAGACTCACTAGACCTTAGACTCAGATACTGATCCTGAGTTTGCCTCATTGGTTTTTATGCTTCATGAAGAAGCTTTCTTTGCTGTCAGATAGGAGCAAGGATTGGAGTCATTGGCATCATTATACTTTTTCTGCTCCTAAATGATTGTAGAACAACATGCATTGCCCAGATTTTAATGGCAGAGTTAGGGACTTTTTTAGTGTTTTCAGTAGTGTTCTTTCCAAAAATTATGCATCTGATACATTCAAAGATACGTTTTATTTTCATGATTTAGGACAAGATTTTTTGTACAATCTGGTAGAATTTTGATTGAGTAGCTCTGTCTTTAGTGATCCTACCACTCAGAGGTTAGTAAACTGATTTCCATAAGGGGGCACTACTGCCTTGAAAACCCCTAATAGATGAATTCTATTACTCAGCTTCAACTAATGTAGTCAGCGTCCAGTAAGTTTACAAACAGTAACACTGAAGTTTCTTTTACAGCTTGCATGCAGTGGGTCAAAATAATAAGGTGACCTGATTGGATCTGGCTGTTATTTGAGTTATAGCTTGAGATATCTCAATTGTTCTTTCTGTTTTTTTAATCAAAGAGCATTTTTATGTTTATGTTTTTGGTCGTGGTAAGATTACATTGCGTGCTGTATCAGCCCCTGTCACCTTATAGACCTGGGGCTTGGACTGTGGGCAGAGAGTCTCTTACAGCTCCATGTTTCTGTTGTGTCCTTTTGTGTGGGAGGGACATTCAGGGTAGGAGTGGTAAATTGGTGCTCTCTGTTTCTACCTACTCAGAGCCAGTCATCTGTTAAGAAAGTCTTGGATGGCTAATTGAAACAAATTGTTTTGATGGACTCTTTTTCAAAGGGCACACCTGTGTATCTGTCTCTGGCTTCTCATAATCTTGAGGAGTCACGGTATTTTGGATGAAGGGAGGTGATGCACGAATGCAGTATAGGCTATAACACAATCTCTGGTCTGCTGGTGTGCAGACGGCAGCAGTCTTGTTCTGTTATTTCTGCTCATTGATACGAGCAGCTTATAATGGACAGAAAGTTGAGAGTATGGGTGAGGCGGGGTTGGTAACAGAGTTACAATGGGATTTTGTTTCCAGTTTGTTACAGTATTTATGGACTTTAGGTTCCTCAGTACACACTGGACATTGTCCAGATATCACTGTCTCCTCATTAGTATTATGAGTAATCACTTCTGGTGTTGTTGCCTGACATACTGGAGATGTACCTTATTATCTGCACCAGGTGTAAGCCTGGAGGGGATCAAGCGTGTGGTCGTGCGTATGCGTCTGTGTGTGCCTATCTGTGTCTGTAGCTTATCTTGCAAACTGATGGGCCAATTAACCTCATATTTTGTGTGCACAGTTATGACTGTATGCTCAAGGACGTCTTGTGGTTTTAGTAATTCATAATTGTCGAAAGAAGTGTTTTATACCGTCATTGACTAGTGGCTTTCCCCTTCTCCAAATCGACCCATAGAGGTTTTCTGGAAATTATCTCAGCTAAAAGCAAGCCTCACTTAGTCTGTTGCAGGCCACATATTGTTCTTTGTCATGGCTCAAAAACTGACGTCCATGGACAAGTTTTGACTCATTTTGAACCGGAGCATAAACATAAATTCCATACGTGATATGTCATGATCCACTGAAGTTAAGCACAATACAAGATGAGTTCATCCCAATTTTCTGTTATCTTGCTGCCATCGTGCAAGGAGGGACAATTCCACGTGCTGCAGCTGTCCGCTGTCCAGTGGCAACCTGATTTTGTTGCGTCCACCGCACAGCATTATATCACACAGAGCATTTTAGAAGTGGAGGGTTTTGCCCGCTTGATTTTGTAGACCTGCAGATTTTTTTATTTGGTCATTTTTCCTTGATATTTGTGCTTCTACCATAAGTTAGTTAGCAGGCTTAGTAGCCAAGGCAAATGTTTATTTTGTTTGTTTGTTTCTTGTTGGTATTTCCTACATTGTTGAGCTTTAGCCTACATACAAATTTAATGCCATTAAAAGTAAAGTTACGAACAACATGGATCAAATATTTATGGCTGTGTTTTAGTTACTAAAATTACATAAATCCTCATAATTAGAGTGTAGGCTATCTTTCACATACAGTCCCTGTTAGCAGGAGAAATTGATCTGCAACATGCAGCAGCTTTGTCAAAAATAGACGAGGTGTGTATATTATTAGCTTCTAAAACACACTGCGGTACGTGTGCTGGAATTACAAGAATTGTCCAGAGTGGCCACAATCAGCCTAGGCAGCCGCCTGGCAGAGATCTGCGCTCTACTGAATGCACTTTTATAGTCATGATAGTGCCGCCATTCTTTGCAGAACATGAGGAGTAGGTTTAGTACCATATAATTTTGATATTCCCTGCAATCTGCACAGCTACCAGAGTCTAATTAGCCATCTGCTCTCCCTCGGGGGCCGAGCAATATTGTTTTATTTGATGGTCAGATTGATTATGTGTGATTTGGTCCACATTCTCCCTGTCAACTTTCTCATTTTATCTGAACTTTAATCGTACTATTACAATCAGTCATCTGTGTCACCCATGCAGATGACTGATTGTGAGAGTACGATTGAGGTTCGGATGATGATATCTGCCTTCACATCAAACGTTAGTGGCAGGCTAAGTGAAGAGGCCTCTGTAATAATGTAAGCATTGATTCCAGTTGCAGGGCTGGCTCTTTCAGACCCACGCCAGCACTTGGTCGCAGGCCTGCCTTCACTATCAGCATTTCTTGCCGGCAGTGTAATACAGGATAGAGTGAGAGAGGAAAAAAGTCTTGGCGTTTCTGAGAAGATGAGACAAGACAAGACAACCAGTGCAGTCTAAAATGGGCCCTCGATCGTTACTGGCCCTCCCTCTCCCCCTGTAATTGAGGGAGTGTCCGTCACTTTGCTTATCGGCTACAGTAGCGCTCCGTCTTGGACAAGCAGAGCAGCAAGCAATCTGCTGATTGCTGTTTTGGCAGAACTGTCAAGGTTTGTCCTCCGTTAAGTGATGGATAGATTCGAGGCAGAGGAAAAAAGGCATACTTGTCTCTTTAGCTTATGTTTTTCTCTGTGTGAGAAGAAAATGACATAGGAAGCCTGTTTAACAGTTAACAATGAAAGCTCATTATTGAGAAGTGTGTCCTCTGTTTTTCCTCTTTTTCTGAACTGAGTGACCACAAAATGACCTGCCTCATTTGTAAGAAAATAGTCTTATTGGTAATAGTAAAACTGTCAGAAATCTGGTCTCCTGGTGCGCTTTATATAATAGATAAGGTTACAGTGGATATGAACCAAGTAATTAATGTGACTATCCTTGAAAATGAAAATTGCTGCAATATATTTTGTGACTAAGTCCTTGTCTTTAGCAAAGTATGATTTGTGGCTATACTGAAAAATATCACTGTCATCCACCTGTGTTTCACTTGCACTGTCTCGCAGGCAGGTTGTCCTCCAGGGTACATTATGCCTAACTGTATAAGGAATGAAATAGGAAAAATGCATTTGATATTCAGAAATTACCTTATTAATGATTTTTTTCTCTCACTGAAAGCCTTTTACTGTATTACCCTTTTCATTTCATTTCTCCCCTCTGTTTTTGTTTCTTCTTTACTGGTCTGAGCAGAAAGCGGCGGGAGGGAAAGATGAATGGTGAACTGTGATTAGTCATCAGCTTAGGTCTCTTTTAATGGAACGAGAGCACCAGTATGGGGTGATTATAAGCTGTCCACCCAATTCTCTTTCTCCCTTTCTTTCCTTCCCTCCTCCCTCCACCCACCCTAGTTTTTACGGTGACTCTGAAGAACTGAAACACGGCCTCAGGCAGTGCATTGTATGAAGGATGGAGGTAGATGGGAGAGACATCATGCCAGTTTAAAAGCTTGACCTCACTCATGACATGCTGTGGCATGGTTGTGCAGTGAGCCATAGATAATGACTCTGAGTGAAACATCCATGTCTATCATCTACTAAAAGAAATTACATTTTAGTTATTATGAAAGACGTACATTTTAGGTAGAAATAGATTTTTTTTTTGTTATAGACTTTCACATGTACCATAAAACAAAGTCAGTACCTTACAGTAATCTCCTGTGAACTCAAATTCCTGTTTGCTTTCCTTTGCAGGTTATTTGAAGGTTCGTCACCAAGAAAAATTGAGAAACTGAAAACTCTGCTGTGTTACTTCAGGAGAGTTACACAAACCAGTAAGCATTAAATATATCCCACATGATGCTGTAGCAGTTGTTGCTCTCCATGTTTTTCCATGTTTGATCATTTTTGTTTTTGTTGTTTCATTTTTTTAAAGGGCCCAAGGGTCTTGTAACATTCACAAGACAAATACTGAACAATCCTCCAAACTGGGAAAGGTATGACTCTCTCTTCTATGACTTTATTCATTTTATAATTAAATGATCTGCATTTTTGATACAATCCATATTAAAGGAGATTTGTTTAACAAATTTGTGAAATATTAATTAAAGCTATGTTTTGGATCAATAAATATTCTTTTCATAAACAGTGATACTTCAAATTTGGTTGAATTGTATCAGAAATGATTTAAATGTCCCCACAACTTCATCCAACAAATCCAAATTGTGTTGATGTTGTCTGACTGAGGTAAGGACCATTCAGAGGACATCAACACATCAGAGTTCCTTTGCAGCTCATAGTCATCATCCAGTTCTACATGAAACATAATGATGACAGCATTGGTTGCAAGACTGAATGTTGCAATATACAGATTAAAGGTGCAGTCAGCGATTTTTATCCAGTACACTTCTTGTGTGCGCTGAAAAAAAAATCTGCTTTTCACATATAGCCCTTGCTCTGTAAATGGGAACCAAACAAAGAAGCTCGGACTGAGCCACACAACAACAATCCAACCAACCAGCTACTAAATGTTTGTGCTCATGTATGGGATAGGGCAAAGGCCATGGATGTATAAAGAGAAAGGTAGTTGGAGCGAGAGGGGCGATAAGGCCCTGATCACACAGGAAGCATTTTAGCAGCTGGAGGCGCCTTTTTGTGGTTGTTTTTAATGAGAATTAAGCTTTTTTCACTGCGATACACTTCACATTTCTGTGCTCAAGGCATCGGGTGTTTTTGCCGGAGCACTCTGAACTCCTTGAGTTGAAAAAGCTTCAGTTCAGAGTGCCCCATGTTGTCTCTTTTTCGTCATCTTTTTTCATCATCTTTTTTCCCATTGTCCAATTGGATGATACGGCCTAATGATAGACAGCAGGTTGTCAAATTGCCCCTGGGTCATCCTAAAATATGTCTGGAAATGACCATCATTGAGGCAAAGCTTCTGGACCAACTGGCGGTACTCCCTGTGATCCACCCTCTTTTTTAGGGTCTCATGTATCCACACAGATCTCCATCTCCCTGTGCCCAACAAACTATTTGCTGACAGCCTCTCACCCTCAACCAGAGCTACAACAAGTACCCTCTGCCTCAACATTTTAGATCTATATTGGTAGATTTGTATTGGTGTTGAGTTCAAATATTAGAATCCTCTCTCTAGAGTTGCTGAGTCCACCTTTAATTCTTGTAGAAAGACCTTAGGTTGAGGTGGCAGTCTATATTCCATCAGGATTACAGCCAAAAGCTTAAGTTAGAATCAGAAACACTCCTCATTCAACCTCACAAAGCCTCAGTAAAGCTGCCAGAAAGAATGTGAGCCAGTTCCAAAATTTAGATGTGTAGAAGCTAGCTGCATAGCTAAAGAAGTTGACGCTGTTGCTCCCAAGAATGTTCCTACAAAAAGTTTCTGGAGATTTACACAGTATTAAAATATTTCATTCAGACAACTCCAAATCATTGGGTCAATTTACTGGAAATTCTGCTTCCCTCAAAATACTAATTCAATTCACATCCAAACAACATATTTCTTTCAAACCTCTAGATTTTTTAGTACATGCACACTTTGTTAAAGCATGTTGCATCTTCACTACTTGAACAATAGAATTAGTATACTGTGTTAATACAGTTAATTACTCTAAGGTGAAAGAATAACTGGAAGTTTCGCTATCCTTTTTTAAAGTTCCCAGACTCAGCTGAAGCGCCTACATATCACGTGTGAGGGGACGATTGAGGATGAAGGATACGGGATGCTGCAGGTAGGACTTTGTTTATCGCTTTGCAGTTAATGCCAAGTAGAACCAGTTATTCAACCTGGTGTAAGTGAAGGTGTATCTTCCTGACAGTGCCCCCCAATCATTGTAGAATGATTCCTTTTTGTAACCACAAACTCAGTGTCACATTTGTTGGCCCAGAGTGTCAAATTTGATGTAGCAGTGTAGCAGGCCTGTTTTGCACTTGTTGTTGTAAACAAACTCAACAAACATGACTCTTACCATCACCTCAGTTCTGTTTAGCTTTCATGCCAAAGAGACTCTACTGCTTTTCTGAATACTTGTCTGCCACCTGCAGAAAATCAATATTGGGTGTAGGATTTTCGTGCATATCTGGGAAGGTTATTGTCTCTATTTCTGCATTGATTCATACCATCTCCCCACTCCGCCTGTGTTGCGAGATGGCTGGTGCATTTTTTACTCTGGCTGACAGCTGATGTATACACTTGAGTAGCTCAGGGAGGCAAGGGTGGAGGAGAAGACCCAGGGGTGGGGGTTGAGGGAGAAGGAGGCGCATGGAGGAAAAGATGACGAGGGTGAGCCATCTCACTGGGGCGACCCAGTGGGCCAGGAGTCCTGCGGGCGGATTGATGGCTACCTCAGCAGGCTGGGCACTGGCTGTGTGTTGAGTTTTGATAGGGCAGAGTGGGCTGTCATCCTGTCAGGAGGTGAGATTGAAGGGTGAGGGGGGCGAGGTTAGGGGTGAACCAGTGAAGGAGGTGAGGAGTTGAGCGACTGGTTCGACAACATGCACATACAAACACACTCACTGTCACACAGATTGACGAAGCTGTGGGCCAGTGAGCAGAACCCTCACCCCTGACAGGCTGTTTGAATAGTAGCATTGTGATTGAATGGGCTGTCCTCTTATCCATGCCACAAAAACAAGGAGTGGGTTTACACGGCATGAAGCTCGAGTATCAGAATATTTCCTACTTTGAAATAGGAGTCCCAGAAATAACCACAAGCTGCTGTAATTTTTCAGTGATCTCCTCGATTATCTTGGCTTTTAATGTCAATTCATCTATTAATGTTGCACAAACTGAACTATAGGACATTGATTAACAAGGCTGCAGCCATGCGAGCAGCTCAGTGAGGCTAGAGGTTATTAGCAAGTGCGCTATGATAATGGTAACATGCTGGTATCAGCATCATCAAGGTTTATCATGTCAGCCATCTTAGTTTAGCGAGTCACAGGGTTCCAACACATTTTAACGCCTCTTTGCGTAAATGTCCACTTGAACTCGCGGATGAACTGATTAGAATTTGATAAAGTGTCACTGTGACCTCAGAAAACATGTTTTTGGTCATAATTCAAGAATTGACATGCTAAGTATGACAAAAATTTTACATGAAGGATAGGATGAAATAATGAAGTGATGACATTTGATAGTCAAAGGACAACTTTTCACACAAAGCCACAAATGTCAACTTTGTGGCAGCTCTAGAAGAAAAGTGACAGCATCACCAAAATCATTGCGATATAGTGTCAATATGGTGCTAATATATCCAGGGAATGTTTCGTTCTGTCAAAGCGTAAGTGAAAACTTTGCTATAAATAGCTGAAATGCACAGGCCAAATTTTAGCATTGTTATCTGGTTAAGCCCTAGTAATTGTAAAATCATATTTCAGCCTTTGGTCTTCATTAGGGATCTGTTTCCGCCTGTTTTGTTTACCTTGCCACCTTTCTGTTGTCAGACTAAAATGACAAATATTAAGGATGAGTGAAGCACCAGCAAGGAAAGTACATAGCACTAAATAGTGAGCCTTCCTCACAGGGAATGCCAATAGATGTATCCCATTTTTAAATATAGAGATGGTCTACAGCCGTTCATGCAGATCATGCATTACTGCTCACCATTAATTGCAGTTTTTATCTCTTTAGATTTCATGTTCTTTGTTTTGCTACAATTTCCTGATTTGATTATTTACAAGCAGGAAGCAGTGCAGTGATCCTTAGTAATTCATCTGTGTTAAATGACCACAGTGGGTGACAGATAATCAGGAGACACTAATACAGTCATTTGTTTAAATAATGGAGGTGACAGTAGCTAAACCTCGCAGTTCTTCCTTACTGCATTGAACCGGCAGGACAGAATATTAACATTATTAAATCAAGATTTGTTTTAAATATAACTGAGGGGTTGTACCATTTTTGTTCACTCTCCTGTTTGTTTTCTTATTATGTTATTTCACTAGGTGGACTTTGCAAACAGGTTTGTAGGTGGAGGAGTAACAGGACATGGACTGGTCCAGGAAGAGATCCGGTTCCTCATAAACCCTGAACTCATTGTCTCTCGCCTCTTTACGGAATCTTTGGAATACAATGAGTGCCTCATCATCACAGGTATGTAATCACACACACAGAGATCATTTATGGCATTAATTACTAGGCCTGTTGAACACTTTTTTCTGTCTCTGCTTCATCTCTTGGTTGAAAATGTGATAAAACAGGTATGTAATGTCCACAAAAATAGAGTTGTGGCTTTAGATTAACAAAGCAGTCAAATGTCAGAATAAAAAATAACCACAGAACAATATTAACATACCAAGGTAAGTCAAGAATTTAAAATCATTCAAAATATTCAATCAACTAATGGAAGTAAAAGACCTCTCACAAGTCTTTTGAGGTTTCCTAAATAGCAGTTATCAGAAGACCAGACAGACAGCAGGTAACATAAGCAATAACACAAGCATTGGATAAGTTTGCTGGACAGAAGGGTGCGCTCCAATTACTATGGTATCACAATGCTCAGCCTCCTCAGGAAAGCTTAAGTGATGTGTAGACTGGAGAGATAGTCGTATTCTCGGCCATAAGTCCAGCAGCATTCTCATTCTCAGAGTTCTCCCTAATCACCGATTCTGTTGGTGATTTCATGGGCAGAATGTCGGCTTGCAGCTGACAAGTGGAAAGTATCTAGTTTGGTGACCTCAGGATTGCCTCTCTGCTATTTTTGCAGATGATGAGGTTCGTGTGGCTCTGCTGGGCCGTGACCTCTTGTACACACCAAGGCTATTTGCAACTACATGTTAAACAAATGGGTTGAGAGTCAGCACCTCCTCACAGTCTGGGGCTGTGATACCTGAAAAGTTGCCCCCATTAGGTTGAGAATAGGGTTCTGCCCCAAATCAAGCATTGTGAGTGTTAAGATGGAGCCTGAGTTAGAGAGTCAGCAGCGATTCAGGCTTTGTACCAGACTGTAAAAGAGCCTAAAGGCTAGTTCATCACTGTTCTAACGCTCACTACGCCTTACGTTAATGAGCTCTGGACAGTGAATAAGCAGAAGAATGCATGTACCTGTGGCTGCGATGATTTTTCTTTGTTGAGTGTCTGGTCAGGAAACCCCAGAGCGTTCTGGAAGGATCACATATCCCACTGGGCCTAAGAGCGCTTAAGGATTCCCCAGGATGTGCTGTAGGATGTGGTTACAGTGACAGACATCTGCAGTACCTTGTTTATGCAACTACCACTTTTTTTGGGACTTGGATAAGCATCAGAAAATGGATGGATAGATAATTATTTACAGTTCTTGCCCATAACACACTTGTATGGAAAACTCACACAGATTCATGCAGTAATTCCCTCATACAGAAACCAGATATTAGGACAAGTTATTTTTAGGTTTCCACCCAGTTAAAACTTTCTGTGACATGGTGCTTATTAGCCCTCAGTGAGCAGACAGACATTGTGCCATTGCTGCCATGGTGTATTTCTTCGCTGCTGTTATCTGCCAGTTAGCATGTTGTGGATCAGTAGTTTAGTGTGTTTCAATGTGTTTTAGTCATATAGGAACAGAGAGCTGGTATTTTAATGATTACATTTTCTTATCAGTTAATAAACTCGTGACAATGCTGGTGTTACCGACTACACTGGACATTTTACAGGAAAATATATTTGTCAATGATGCTTAATATCTGTAGAGCACTGTATTAGATTACTGGTAATGCAAACCAAATGTTTCCTACTGCTTCATCAAAAATTTGTTTACAAGACAAATCAGTGCTCATTTTCAGCATTTTTTGACAGCGGATCAGTTTAAAATATTGCAGGGAGTAATGGAACAGTTATGGGTAGTCACAGTGCACACCTTCAACTTCTTAGCGATTTAGCAAACTCCTTTTCCCTTATTAACTTTATCAGGTACCCTATTAGCATCGGGTATAATCACAATTTTGCCAAATAGGTGCTTTTGCTTTGACACCAATTCCTTTGACATTGTCTTGTCAAGCAACTCTCCTGCTACTCTGACCTGTGACTCTACTGCTGTGCAAAGCAAATACGTTCAGTGTATAATTACAAGCAGGAAGTACAAAATAATACAATCTATACAGAACCAATAAGGCCTGATATATGGCGCTACCAATCTATAAAAACTAAAAGTGTATTTGATGTATTTTCATTTGGCTTTCCTTTTTCTATAGAAGCCACACATCTCACATGTCTTTTAGTGTTACACATAACATTCACTAAACTACTGTTGTTTTCATCTGTGAGTTATTTTCTCCTGGTCGTTGAGCCCTGTGTGTTTATTGGGCTCCATTCATTTTTTTCCCCCTCGTCCTTCCGTCCAGTCCGAAGGTAAATCCATTGCATTGATTCACTTGCGACTGCCCAGATATCCTTCATTTCTCGCTGGCAGAATTGCTCTATTTTTCAACCTCCAACTCACTCTGCTTGGGTCAACCTCTCTAAGTGTTCTGCCCTCTCACTCCCCTCCCTCCTCCTCCTCCTCCTCTGACCATCCTACCTTTTTTTTCTGCCTCGCAGCTGCACCTCGCCCACCACTGGTCAAAGTAAGGGCAAGCACAGATTAAGATGATGAGGCATAAACTTAATGCTGGTAGCCCATGTGCGATTATTGCCAAAATATGTAAAATAACAATATAAATGTAGGGGTGGACACAATATGAACACTTGTGTGATTTAATTCAATCAAATTCATGCATGTTGATTCAAATTTGGCTTCATTATTCTTTGTTTGTAGTGTCATCGTAGAGCACAGAAGTTTTATCTCATTGCCCCCTCACAACATTTTAGAATAGTCTCATGACATATTTATTTTATTGCCACTTTATCTAGCTGTGCAAAACAAACATTTAATATCCACTTGTCCTGTTTTGGTGCCTGTATTTCACTTGGGTATTAAAGTGAACCTTCAGATTTGCCTTTGACGACACAAGAGGCATCATTATCCAGTTTAATAAAGCCATCTGCTTAACATGAGGGCGTGTTCTGTAATTTAGCTGCACCCACAGGAACTCAAATCTAAATGATGATGTTCCCAAATGTCTGCTCTTGATTGTGTTAGTTCTTTGGACTTGGACAAGAGAGACACATGGACAAACAAAACATGAAGAGACTACAAGTTTGAATAGTCTGATGGGCACCTTCAGAGCTCTCTACCTACTATTGCACATTGCTTGTTGCATATAGACTGCTTGTAACAGCAGAGAAGACGAAGAGCCAATGTAGTGTTATTGCTCCTTGACTCACACTGGTTTATGCCACCAAACACGAGGGATACGTTTTTTTTGTCCCCGATCCAAATAGTTCAACATTAAGCACACACTTCGATTACATTAAAGTTATTAAAATCAATCAAATGTTTATGCTTGACAGTTAAATAGCTCTGCATTGCATTAAGAAAAACCAAATTACTGCCTTGCAGTTGTATGCCTCCACGCACCAGTCAAGTTTTGCTTACAGTTCACATTCATGTAGGGGAGACCGGGGTAAGATGAGCCACTTTTCATATTCAGGATCACTACATCAAGGCTATTATAGTTTTGTTGCTAACTAATATATGTGCATATATTTCAGGATGTTGTGCATCCTTACAAACAAACAGAATGAGTGTAAACATAACTGTTTTGATAATATAGCATGTCCAAAAAAAGTGGTCTCGTGGCACAACTTACCCCGTGTCTGGGGTAAGTTGAGCATAGGAGTGGGGTAAGTTGAGCCATCTCCCTCCTTCCCTCCCCCCGCCCTCCCTCCTACCCCCCTTCCCCCCATCTCACCTTCTCTCCTCCCCCTCTCTCCCTCCCTCCCTCCAGTTATACATGTCTCTACTGAATTAAATAAGACGCTTCTTCAAATCCATGTCTATTTTTATTTATAATACACAATTCAACAGGTACAAATCTTTTTTTAAATTATTATTGCATATAACAACTTCAAAACATTTTAACATAGGCCTGAGAATGCCTTAAAGGGCGCTTAGGAAGAGAATCTTAACAGCTGTGTTTTTGGAAAGAAAACAGTGAACTAAATCCGTAGACGTGAATCCTAGTTTGGTGTCCTTGCTGACAGGAGGGCCTCCTTCATCCTCTCTGAACTCCTCCCTCCATCTTACTCTCGTTCCCCTCCCTCCTTCCATCCATATCTCACCTGTCCCTTTACTCAATATCCCACCTGTCCAGGTTGCAGGGGAAAACAAACTGCTGGGACTCTGAGGTTTGGGGAGTTTTGCGATTACATCGCTTCTTGGGAAGAATCCCTCATCTTTCTCCTTGAAAGTAAAGCTTGGTTTACCATATCCAGCTTTGCCTCTTCTCAGAAACTTACGGCTCACCTTACCCCTGTTCAAATTGCTCAACTTACCCCATAGCTACCATACTGACTTTATTAGCCCCCACAGCTAAAATGGTGCACTTTCATGCTAGCTGTACTACCTCATTTTGTAGTTAATAGATACCACAATTGATGTATAAAACAAATTAAAAATTATCTATTTTGGTCTAAATACAATCCCCATGAAACTTATGATAGACTAAATTCACTTTCATGAGTGAAAAATGCTTTTTTGGACATAAATCTCTAACCACTTAACCCATGTGGGTCTTACCTTCACAGACTCCATAAAATGATGCCTTCCTCCTAAATATTTGGTCACATGCTCAATTTCATTTACGGTCTCCTAGCGACAAGGGGTGGCTCAACTTACCCTTTGGCTCAACTTACCCCAGTCTCCCCTATGTGAAAACACAGATGCTTCACACACACACATACACACACACACACACACACACCCTTGAGTCCAAGTGGACTTTTTTGCCACATTTGAAGAAGTACCCTCAAGGCGTTCTTGAGATATCACGTTCACGAGAATGGGACGGACAACCCAAAAATATAATGATATGTTGCCGTAAATGAAACCTTCGCTAGTAAAAAAAAACCCCAAAAAAAACAACTATGTACAGCTGAAGTCAAACAAAGGATTGGATTAGGCTATATATAGCTCAGTGTAGACGAATTCGGCGAGCGATTTATATATGCCGCCATCTTGCGGCGGCGCCATTGCTGCGGTGACATGTGTCAGCAGAGATATTGGATGAAGGGAGATACCCAACTGTAGGCTTATCCCATGTTAAGAAAACAGTTACTCTTCCTGTCTCCTAAGTGGGCGTGGTTAGGTCTCCCTCCAATCAGAGCATGTTCTCCCTCAATCATATTGAATATGATGTGATGGTCACGTAGCCTGTCCATAATGATTAAATGTCACGCTGCTCGCTTGCTAACGTCAGCACACGTAACGTATGCTAACATTATATTACACAGTGTTTAATGATACAGTCTGTTATCTCCCTATTACTCTAATCTTTCCTGCTCATTGCTCAAACAAATGATTAATTTATATAATAATATCGGTACTCATTTAAGATACCTTCATCAGTTACCACAGCAATGGCGGCGCCGCAAGATGGCGGCATACACAAGTGGCTCGCCGAATTCGTCTATAGCAGATCCTGATCAGTTAAAAATGCCCTGATTGGCCCCGCTACCAGTCTTTGAGATTGGATTGGGGCATCCCTACCACACAGACACAGCCAGCTCTGTTCAGTCGATGTTAAAATTGACTTATGTCTCGTTCAGTACCTGTAAGGAAAATGCTCAACCTCAGCAAACACTGAAATGAAGAGACTCAGAGAACCACGGAGAAAAGTTACAGCCAACGGGATTTCTTTAATTGCAGAATACACTCAGCAACACACATAATGGACACGACAGAAAACAGCCCTGCTTATCCAACTTTCAAATGCCTTTATACTATTTGGGTGAATGGGCGTCTGTTAGTTTGTGTGCGTGTGTGTGTGTGTGCAGACAGGTCTGTGCTTATGACCTAATTGCCCCGATAGGTTTGATTTTTTGGGAATCATTGTACCAAACTTACTCTGTAACCTAAGTGTTTTCTGCTCCGCTTGAGTTCCAAGAATTGGAACTGCGCAAGAACCTCAGATCACCAAAACAGCTCCTTAAACAGAATCTCCCTGGTATTCAAAAGTTCACTAACTCAGAAACAACTTCTCATAACGATTCTTTCCTATTGCGAAATCTGACATCTGGTCCACTGTTTCTAAGACCTCTTACAGCTGACATTATATTCACCTTTTATATGACGTAATACATTATCTGCCTTATATACCCTCCTCTCAGCAGGCCAAGCATTGCCTCAGATATGACGCCATGTTGTCTCCTTTGAAACTCCCCTCCCTTCCAAGTCACCTTCAGTAGTTAGTCACCGTCCCCCTCCTTGCCTCCCATCATTCTGTCTTCCTCCCCCTTTCCCTCCTCCTCCTCTCCACTTAACTTTATTACATTTGGACAGAAAGGAATTTATTGCCCAACTAAGGTCATCGCTCCACTAATGGAATGGGCCAGTTACGCCATAGATTCATTTAAACCTCTCAGAATATTCCATGCACGCATTCAGTGTTTCCTCTTAAAGTCTGGTCTCTGTCTCTAGGCTCTTTATGTCCATCTCTCTTCTTCTGTCTTTGTTATTCTCTTCTGTCAAGTAAATCATATTTCTTTGTCTTCAGAGGTGTGTTAACATGGGTCTTCCTGTGCATTGGCAGTTCACATGTCACATCAGATTTGTCCATAGGCGTTTTCAGATCGGAAGGAAGAGGGCCACGATGTAATCTAGTGATGGAAGCCTGTATGCCAACCCAGGAGGCTATCATGGTTGGTTGCCAGGATAAATAGGATCAAGGTGAAGGAGGAGGAGGACGGCTCTGCTGATGGAGGGAGTGATATGGGCCTGTTGTTTGACGTTAGGAGTTGCTAGCGTTGAAGAAAGTACTTCATTTGATTGGCTCGGCTTTCGGTGGTGCAAGATGCTTAAAATAAATGTTCTTTTTCTTACTCAGCCAAAACTTAACTCTTCATAGAAACATAATTCTCATTTTCCCAGAGTTGTGCCGTCATTGTTGGATTATGTCCTGGCTTCAGTACAGGCCATTAGCTTTAGTCATATTTTGTCACAAAAAAGTCATCATTCACACTTCAACTTCAAGTATTGGCAGATGGTACATGCTTGAAATAAAATGAAGTCAATTATGAGAAAGCAAAAGCAACGTTTAATTACCGCTCTTCAAGAGATACTTTTAAAGAATGACATTTAGCATTGCTTTTAAATAACTTTTCATCTTTTCTTCTAGGAGCATACGTATCTCTGCTGGTACATGCAGTAGAGCCCCCAAGGCTATGTTAATCACATGTTTAACACCTGCTTTTCATTGAAGTGCAGCGAAACTTCCTCGTACCTAATGCATAATGTATGGAGCCTTTAATAGGCATCATTTTCAGAATTGGGCGCAGCTGTATTTGTAATGAATGATGAAATCTTTCCAGTCTTAACCCCAAGTACATACCAGTACACACTCTAAAAAGGCTAACTTCTTGATATGGAGAGTCTTAACCCGACAGCTAATGAATGATTCGGTGGAGTTGAATGTTTTGCAAGCATTTTGCAAATGTGGCTCAGGTTGGCTTCTTCTGTTCTAACCATTTCTTCCTACTATGGCTGAAAGCTTTTCATTTCAAAGCCCAAATCAGATTACTTATTAAATCAATGGCCTTTATTTATGACAATCCAATACAAGCTGATACTGTGTACTCACATGGGGAGCACAAAAAGCACTAAATGTGATTTAAGAAAGAAGGCGCTGAAACAGATTTAGGCCCACTGTGTGCTCCGACTGCTGAATACTGAGTAATGCCTTTTCTTTTCTGCAGGCACTGAACAGTACAGTAAATATTCTGGCTACGCTGAGAGTTACAAATGGAAGGACAGTCACAAGGATGAGACCCCCAGGTATCTTTTTATCACATAGAACTATTTAGTCAGTCAGAAGAAGTTGGAGGAAAGATAGGAGGATGTTTCTACGTCATTGTTAATCCCAACTCTCTCATTGCTCGCCTTTTGTTTTCAGGGATGACTGGCAGAGACGATGTACAGAGATTGTGGCAATTGATGCACTCAAATTCAGGCACTTCCTAGAGCAGTTTCTCCCTGAGAAGATGACCAGAGAACTCAACAAGGTGAGAGATGTTGTAGTCTGTGTTTGCACAGTGATTGAGAAAATATGGCCTACATATACATTCCTTTAAAAGCTATGACAAACAATGTCAAGCCTCAGTAACTTCCTAAAGATGCCATTGTCAGTAAGTGACAGAAAAGCTTGACTTCAGGATGTTTTCGACGAAAAGCCCATGTTTATGAACTTTGACATATTTGCCAGGTGCACCTGCAAAGATGTTAATTAAAGGCATGGTGATCTATAACACCACTAACTTTAGGTCAGAACTGACAGCTCATCTGACCGATACCAATACTACACAACACCTACTACACTAAAGGCCCCAACACATCAAGCCGTCAGTTAGCTATCAGTCAGTGTTGGGTTGTCGGTGAGCATTTGTCACCCTAGTTTTGCGGTGTGTCCAACACTGTTATCACTAGTCGGCCCTTGTTGGCTTTTTTTTTGGCCATTTCAACATGTTGAATTGGCATCGGAGATGGTGGAGCCTATCGATGAGTGAAATCACTCTGACTGGCAGTTCAGCTCAGTGTGCAAGAAGAGAAACTGAAGTCAGAAAAACATACACGCAACTAACGTCAAGAATTTGTGAGATCAAAACAAACTTGTTATATTAGGTAGGATTATTTTTTTTAACCCTTAAGCTCTTTAGCAAAAAACGTTCGCAATTGTTTGTGTCATTGTTTGTTAGTGCAGTGGTGTCCAACTGGTCCAGCCACGGGGTCCAGATTTCTCCTTAGTTATTAGTTCAAGCTCCACACAGTTTAACACATCGAGCGTCATACTTGCGTTAAGCCCCGTCGTCGAGCTAGTTTGCTGTCTCTGTCAAGTAGCTTTTGGACTACGACCCACCACTGCGCTAGTGCATAGTAAATATCCTCTTTCAATATCAGGTTGTGTTGTTAATGTGCTAACTTTCTAACTAGTGTCTTAAATCCATCCTGTCGATCTTCCAGTTCCCCTTTGTGAATAACATATACAGTATAGACTAACGCCGCCTGCTGGTATGGGGATTCATTTCCTCTCACGCAGGTGCAGAACGTTAGTGCTACTTGGCCGCTGGCTGTAGTGTGTTCAAGTATAACTTTTTGATCAAGACACAGGCGACCTAAGTTGGCACAGCAGTCGGCCTTCATCACCACCCATTCTCTGATGTTGGTTTGGTGTGTCTGGGCTGTAAGAAGCATTACATAAGCATTATACTGCGCATTATATATTATTCTGGTGCACACTGTGTACATACACACTGGATGTGCTGACTCAACTTGATTAACCACACTATGACGCTTTAAATTGTAATGTTGTCTTTAACTGCTCTTGTGTAGTTCATATTTTTACTTCTTTTCTTATTCCAGAGGTATATAACTATTTTGTTGAGTCTTATTTTGTAATTTTATTTTTTGCTTTTTTTTCTTAATCTGTACTTATTTCTATCTTTGTGCTGTTGTAACACCTGAATTCCCCCTCTGGGGATCAATAAAGGTTTATTATAGTAGTGGGATTGTCATTTATTGCAGATTTTTCTGTTGAGGAATCAGGCAAAACATTATGCATCTGTGTGTACTTTTCAATCTTCTTATGGTTCAAGCTGATGCTTACACTGAAACATTATAACCTGTGCTTTTTGGATGTTTAACCCATATGAAACCCACCTAACTAAAAACAACACTGCCCTCCTCCTCCCTTTGCTTTTATCCCAGGCATACTGTGGATTCTTCCGAAACAACGCCAACAGCAAGCACCTCTCTGCAGTCGCTACAGGCAACTGGGGTTGTGGAGCTTTTGGTGGAGACACGCGGCTCAAAGGTATCATTGGCTGAATTAAAACATGCATCCAAACAGGGGGAAGGAAAAGACTGTGTGTATAACAACAAATGTGAAAAAGAAGTTTTGTTTTTTCATACATAAGATAAATAGTACTACTTATATAGGTCAGTAGATACATAATGTTGCTTACAGTAAAATATTAACTGTAAGGTGTGAGGTAAATATAAGCTCAGACTGGATCAGCCATTGAAGCTCCTGCTGAAGGACATTCAGCTTTCTGCATATGGACTGTATGGCACCGTCACAGGCACCCGCCCCTCTTTAACTCCTCTGGTCAATTAGTAGCTCTCCCAGGGTGTCACTCATCAGTTCCTTCCTTCCCTTTATTGATCAGCTGACACACATTTATGTTTTCCATTAAAAGGGCAATTGATTACCGGGAAGGGACACCATAAATCCAGGCTGATGCAGGTCTCTGCAGGCTTACACAACATCACTCTTCACAAGCAGGGGCCTCCTTACTGTCCTTTTCCAGTACACCACATTGCAAAATTTTGACCAGTTGTGTTTCTGGTCAATGTCTTAAACATTTAACTGTTATTTTATTCATACTCATTATTACTCACTCATACTCATCAACATCTTCACACACATCCTGCATTATGAACGTAAATGTGATTGGAGCAACATGGGTTTTGTTTGTCTACAGTTTAATTTACAACCGAAGCTGTTAATTTCCTCTGCAACATGCTATGAATAGATCCACTGGACTTTCTCTGAGGCTGATATTAGCTTCCGGGGACCCCCGCCCATTACCCCTGAAATTAGCATAGCTGGTATTTTTAGAAGGCAATAACTGTATTTTACATTATAGTCCTGGAGCTGACTTGAGACGTGGTAGTTACATAAGACCAAGCTGTTATGTCGTTGTAAAGATTACAGACCTTTTGCAAATGATGTTTGTTTTGTGTGTTTTAATCTGGAATCAATATCCATTCTGTTAAATATTTAAAGGTCTTGAGACCTAATTTGCGAGGGCTAAAAGATTGAGTGCTGTTGATGAGGCTGCACTACTAGTGGTGGATTATTTACCCTTCTGATACAAATCGCTCCTGTCACTTGCGTTCTTTTCTGCCAGAAGCTGTACCTTATCCAGCTGATTGACCAATTACTTCAGCTTATTTTCAGTGGTCAATTACACATTTATGATTTTGTTCTGAAACTGAAGGATACTGATGGTGCTAATACGGTGTATTATTGTTGCCTTGATTTCCCTTTAGCATTCTCTTTCTCACTTTTTCAGCACTGATTCAGTTGATGGCTGCCGCAGAGGCTGGGAGAGACATGGCGTACTTCACATTCGGAGATGCTCAGCTCATGAGAGATGTTCATGAAATACATTTGTTCCTCACCGAGAGACAAGTCACCGTTGGTAAGACTTGCATACAAAACCAAACGTTTTTAGTATTTTTGTCGCGGGAGTTAGACACTCTTGTCAGCCCTGCCTCTTATGTGCTCTTACACTAAATTGCATAATGAACAGGAATGGTGATATCAGCCACTGTTAGGATTATGGGACTCGCAAGGCTCGTATGGCACATGGAGGTTGTCCTTGTTGGCGTCATTACGGGGACAGTACACATAAATAACAGAATGCAATCCATCTCTATGTTAAGTTATTCCACCATCTCCGTCCCGCAGCCCATCCATTCAGCCTCAGCTGCAGAGTGGATTACTGCCTGAACTGACCCCAGCTTCTCCCCTCCCCCTCTTTTCATTTTTCTTCCGCTGACATTTATTGAAGCCTTTCAGAGAAATTCCCCTCCAGCCATCCATTTCCTAAAGTGGAGCTACGGAGAAAAAGCTCACGGCTTGTGTGCGTGTGTACGTGCGCTTGATTTATAAATGAGCCCAAACACGCTTTCATTTTTCTTCATGTTTTTCCCCGTTACAGATTCTGTCTCTCTTGCTTGCACTTTGACTCTCCGTTTGTCCTTTGTGTCTGTTTCACTCAAATCCTGTTTTATCTCTCTACGTATTTCTTCTTTCTGTTGTCCCCTATACCGTCCCCTCCCTCTGTCCTCTCGCTGTCTTCCCCTCTCTTCTCCTCCCCCCTTGTCCCTCCCAGGGAGGCTGTACAACCTTTTGAACCAGTACTCCAGTCTGGTGTGCAAGAACTGCCGCACGACTCGACCTGACGTCAGTCTCTACAGTTTCATCTATGAGAAAGTCTCTTCCCCGACGTCTGCCGATGCCCAGGACTCTGCCAAGGATTCTGGGATGTCCCCTGTAACATCGGATTCTCATTAACACAGACCGAGCTGCAACTTAACCTCCCTCCACGTGTCTCAGCGTAAAAGAGACTTCAGGTTCACAAACCTCAACGTGCTCTCAGCCTTGTGCTTTCAATCACTTTTCTCTCACACACACTCCCTTTAAGTTTGTGATCCCAACACACAAACTACCAAAACACAGTTTTGCCTTTCTCGTTGATGGTATTATAGGAGCCTCGTAGTATGTCACCAGATGTGGTGAAATGTTTCAGAGACTTATAGCAATAGTAAATCCTGGTTGCTGTTAGGCCTTTCTTTAGTCTAAATGTGATGTGGATTTTTTTTTTTGTTTTCACTCTAATTACAAATATGGCCAAATATTCATCATATGCATGGTTGTGGACAGTTTCCATTATTAATACCCCAGGACTTGATAATCCTCCCTAGTTATTTTGTCCTATATTGTGTTTGCTACTTTTTCTGGATGAGTTGTCTTCTGTATCAGCCATCACCGGGCTGTGGTGAGGTTCCTGAATGCAGAGAGATGATGAGATGCCATACTGTAGTCTATGCATGGGTAACATTTATTTATCAAATATTCTACAAATATATGCTGCTCTTTTGTATCCTCTAGGATGTAGATGCTCAACACACATATTGCCCTTATTTTAATATGAGTCAAAACTATCAATAAAATGTCACCGGTATGAGAATCCTCTCAGATGAAACAGATTCAAGCAACTCATGGTCATTTTCATCTTCAGACCTTTTTATTCTATTCTAAATAACCATTTTCAAATATATTCAGTGTTAAACACAGTATTGCTACTGTATATACAAATGAAGGGGGAGCATATAAAGAAATAATTGCACGCAAAATATTATTTTTGTTAATGTTTTTACTCAACATTTACTTTGAGGATATTGTTATGTTTTTTATTATTTACTGTATTTTCTGATTGACAGCGTGGGTTCTATTTAATGATGGGTTCATAAATAGATTCAAGACTGTAAATGTATTGCCTAGTACTGTTCTTTGGGTTTTTAGGTTGTGCTCTTTATTATTATAATTTCTTAATTAAAGTATATCCTGTTAAAATGTTATTTCTCTGCTCAAATCAATGTGATTTATGATGATCAAAGGATCACTACAATGCAAGCAAAATCATTTAGGGACAGGATGTTTATTGGTTTCATCGCCTCATTTTAACGTTAACCAAAAATTATGTCAGTAAGCCATTCTGCTGTGCTTTCAGTATGTCCTTTCTTTACATCAGGGTAATGAAATTATGCATAGATCATCTAGATATAATTATTTCATGCTCATCAGAGAGAATTAATTTCCCCATTATATGCATGTTTGTAACCCGTGGCTCCACAGATTTGTCACGTCATTTCATGAAATCATACATTATTTAATCATTTGAAATGTGATTGATTTTTGTGATAGCACGTGTACCAAGGGCTTTCAGACAAATTTAATTCCACCTCCAAACATGCTTTATTAGATGAATTAGGGATCCTAAATAACCCCGTGACGTGGACTTCCATAAATGGTGTGTGTAGGCTTGGCTGGGATAAGTGGATTACACATTATCTGCTGCTTCTCCCGCTCTTTGTACTGAGCCCGGCGTTGCCCAAACAAGCTGTGGACTCGAAACAAAGTCAATTTGGTTTGGCAGACCCGGCTGCTGATGGCTGCCATGAGCCTGGGTCACCTGGACATGAACTTTATTTAGGTTACTGCTGCCTCCTGGATTAAATCAAAGATTTATCTGGACTCTGAACATTGACTGAATGTGCCAGCCAAATCCTATAAATGAATAACCACCAGTCAACAACTGATGACGTATTTTGACTGTTTTTCACTTTATGTCACCAGAAATAGGAAGTCGGAGAGATTGTCACTTGTTTAATTCCCCATAAACAAGAAATGTTTCAAAGGCAGTACAGCTGGTCCAGTTTTGTTCTGTCTAGTGATGTAATTATTCTAAAACAGGATGTAATTTAACACAGAGCCCCGTAATGTTACCCAGCGGCACAGGTCTTTGCATTGAAGAATACTATTAATAAAACGCCAGAAAACAACTGGTCTTCACTCCATCTTTGTCAGGCAGCAAAGTCACTGCAACAAAATGGCATTTCAGTTCATAATTGCCTGACCCTTCGTTCTCCAGGTCAGCTGGGAGAGCAGCAGCAAACACAAATGCAAATAATGAAAGAGGAGGAACTCTGTCAGGGAACACTGTGTTGTCTCTGAGTTAAAGTACACTGAATATATTCTTCACGTGGGTGTAAACGTTTGGTTATATACAGTACGCTATGGATCATGTGAATAAATATATTAACAACCAAATTAGACATGCTGATGAAAGAGGACGCTGACAAAGATTTTAAAAACCACATAATGATGCTCTGATCTTTAGACCTGCACTGCTCTGTCTGGTAGATCCTCCTGCAACTCGTGCCCACTCCATTTTCCCCTTCTCAGTGGCGTGTTTGTGGTGATTGATAATACTGCTCCGTCTGTGCCAGTAAGTATGAATGATGAAAATCTAGATGAGGAGGAGAGGGAGGTTGTGCAGGGGGGGAAGGGAGGGAGGGGAGGGCCAATTATCTTATTGTTTAACCCACTCAAGGTAGAAGCCCATCAATCTGAAACCACTTGCTCAAATGACTCATGTTCAGCCTTTATAAAAGTTTAATTGGCTTATATAATTAACACTGAGGGGAAAGACATATGTGTGATGTGACTTAGAAGGAAACAAATGACCTGTGTGGATGATAAGTGTGTGTGGGGACTCATAGATTTAAGTATTACGATTATAAAATTGATTTCTGTTAGTTACAAACAGCACTAACAGAGTAATTTATTGATTTTTTTTTTGTATCACTTTGGTAAAGAACTACAAAATGAAGTGTGATGATTGTTTTCCTTTCTCTTTCTCCCTGAGCTGGTGTGTGTACCCCTTACCTAGGCAGTACTGGCACCTTTGGGTGCAGCATGCTGCTGGCTGGGCACAGGAAGCACCACCTGACACACGAGGGGCGTGTCAAACCGTGCCTGCTCTTTGGATCTGGCACCTTCGCCGGCACCTGTCCTACTTACACCCTCCGGCGATGACAATAGTCAAGTCAGACTAAGGTAACTGAAATGTATAGAAATAAATCAGGTGACATTTGAAGCCACTGTCCTATTTCCCGTGATTCCGCGCGTTTCCAGTGGCAGAGACGAGGGGAGATTATGAGGATTTAATGTTGACGTTGAGGGATTAGTGGTCCACAGGAAACGGCAACAGACCCAGAATGTCACAGGCAGTGTTTTGGTAGTGATGTCGGCGCTGTAGTGTGAAGGAGCCTGTAAAGCATCCTGCAGGAAAAGGTGAGGAAGTTGTAGCAGCGGCAGTTTCTGCAGTAGGACCTCATACTTGGGCTATTTGCGGTGACGCGCTTTTTGCAGCTGCAGAGACTTTGTGCAGAATAAACAAACGCACAGGCCATTATGTGGCCGCACTTAGCCTTGCAGGTTTTTTTCTTTACAGTAAATATGTGCTGCTGTGATCAGTCGGGATCCTATCGAAAATATACGCTTGTAAAAGTCATTTCATCCATGAGGAGTCTGTGCGCAATTATGCTCCCCGTTAAGCACGATACGCGCTCTGTGCACAACCTATAATCAGTTTAAGCAGCAGAAATATTGTTTGATGTGTGGCATTTAGAAATTTCTCATCCAGAGATGGTTTATTATAATAAATTATCAAACCCCAGTAATAAAAACCTTTTCTTGCATTTTTCTAAAGGAATGTTAGTCCAGACATGTGATGTCTGAGATGTGATTGTTGACTCTCTCTAACCTCACCTTTCTCTTTCACTTTGTCTCCAGCTATGAGTCAGTTTCGGGTGTTAGCGGGTGTGCTGAGGGGTGGGTGTGTTGGGGGGAGTCAGTGGCTGCGTGCATGTGGAGGGGCCCCGGCCAGGCGCCTGGTTGATCCCAGGAGAGGCTGCTCCTCAGGGGCTGCGCCTGATGTCTCAGCAGTGGCCAGTAGCTCCAGCTATGTGGAGGAGATGTACTTTGCCTGGTTGGAGGATCATAAAAACGTCCACGAGGTAACTGTGCAACAACATGTGTCAATTTTCCCACATTAGTTAATAACAGAAGAAACTGAACACTGAATAGAAGTTTTTATTGCCCATGAATAGAAATTTGCAGAGGGAGCAATGTGAAGCACACCTGGAAATGAAGTACAACTAACTGCTGTTGCCAGTGTTGTTCATGAAAAAGGGCACCAAATAAATGTGCACTAGTGCAGGTACCCAACTGTTCCAGCCACAGGGTCCAGATTTGGTCTTAGTCATTAGTTCAAGGTCCACACAGTTTAATACATTTGGTGTCACTGTGTTTATCCATGTTGTCCAGCTAGTTTGCTGTCTCTGTCAAGTAGCCATCCATTAGTCACTCACTCTACAGCAATGCATGGCACTTCAGAATAAAAACTCAGTCCTGGAAATTTGCTGTACTTAAAAATAAAGGGTGTTTTTTATAAACTTGACATGTTTGTGAGTCACTTGTGGTCCATTCAGAGTGGACCCATGACCCACCAGTTGGGAACCACTGCACTAGTGTGTGCTGGAAGCTCAATTGCAAAGTGCACATCCCAATATACTGTAGCTGCAGTGACCTGGATTCCTGTCCAACCTTTCACCGTCCTGTCATCCCCTAACCTAGCAGCCAGTAAGCAGCAGGGATTCTTTTGGTCCATGTTTAAGAGGGACCTTCTTGCGTCTGCTGGATCTGTCTTTCTCTGTGTTCTAGTCTTGGGACGCATTCTTCCGTAACATCCAGGCCTCCAGTCCGTCTGGCGAGGCGGGCGAGCAACGCCCCTCCGCTCTGCTCCAGGGCCGAGTGCTGTCCCACTCACCAGACATGGCACAGAAAGTGGTGGAGGACCACCTGGCCGTGCACACTCTCATTAGAGCCTACCAGGTACTCCACACTCACCCGGCCCAGCTGCACACAGCTATTAGCTTGTATAATGTAGATTTATGTTATTTACAGATTAAAAGATTGATCACATATCTTGTGGGCATCCGTTCAAATCTTAAAGCAGAATTAAGATGTCATCTACCTCGAGCCACAGCCAGCTGACTATTTGTATCTCCGATGTGCGCATGTGAAAAATGCATCAAACAAGATCCTCTTGACTTGCCAAAACAGATGCAACTGGCAGGGAAAGCTGTTTATACTGTGTGTCCTTGTATTAAAAGGAATATACAATTTGTTTGTCACTGCACGAGGTTATGCAAATTGCAAGATTAACTCTAACCTACTTACCCCTGCTGCCTTTTGAAAACTGGAAATATCAAAGAGACTACTTAAACAAAACAGGTGGTAACATTTCCCCTCGCCCTCAAATTAATTCGAGGAACTATCTGAGGGATTTATTAAATTCTTTCTTTTGGCAAAGGCGTCACTTTTATTCCCAGCTGGTTGCAATCCTGATGGGAATGTGTGCATGCGTGTGTGTGTGTGTGTGTGTGTGTGTGTGTGTGTGTGTGTACACATAGAAATAAAAGTACCCCCATGGGGCTCTTTTCTTAGAAAGGTTGACCTATAACTGAGTGTTAGCTTATTCCCCAGCTGTTCACGCTCAGTATCATGATGGCAGCCCCTTGCTGAATCTTAATCTCTCCAACCTGTCACTTTCTCTTTTTTACCTGATTCTCCTCATCTCTTCTTTTCTCCCACCTCCTCTACGTCTTTTCTGTTTGTCTCTATGAGTAGATTCGCGGCCACCATGTTGCCCAGTTGGACCCGTTGGGAATCCTGGAGGCTGACCTGGACTCTTTCGTTCCCTCCGACCTGATCACCACCATCGATAAGTTAGGTGAGCCTCACAAGGCAAATCAGAACACCTACCAGAAATCTTAAGTGTGAATAAAGGATGATTTTTGTCATGTCTTGAGCCAAATGTCTTCATAGACTGCTTTCACATTACAAGCAAATGCCGATGTTTTTGCTCTCATGTGACATAGATCTGATTTTTTTTCAGCGTACTGTTTACGCAGAAATCCATTATTTTATCAATCAGATCTGGGCCACTTTCATATGTGGTCCTAAATCTTACACATATATGATCACTGGCCCTGTGACCGCTGTGAGAATGGTCATATTGGAATCATGTGTTTTTCCCATACATCCATGGTTTTATCACGTCATACTTCACTGCACAGACTCAAATCATTTACCATACAGCATTGGAGCTGTCCATTGAGACTACAGAGGGCAGCCATATCTGTACCAATGCTGCATTAGGCTGCCCCAGTCACCAGCCCATAGAGCCCGACTGCCACTTACTTTTTAACAGGGACAGTTTGCCTATGCCATGACAGCATTGTCGTGAGGCGCTGACAGAGATATCAAAATATAGCCTGAACATTTTAACATTTAACATTTTAGTTTGGAAGAACAGTATTTCCTTGAAACCTTCCACATTGTGGCCCCACCACTCGTTACTCCCAGCCACCCCCATGCCTCTCTCTCAAGACATAACTACCAGCATAGCCGCTAGTAGAGCTAGTGGACCGAAAGCTCATTTTTATGACAGCCTTTTATCCCGAAAACAAAAGTCCATTGCTCAACACTCTCTAAAACAGAAGCACATGTCTATTTATTATGAAGAATGATGTCATTGGGCCTTCCCACTATGGCAGCCATTTAGAGATGAAGCTTGCATCGATACATCTTTCTGTTGTTGTTGTTCCAATGTGCACAAGTGTGACATTATTGGTTGCATGTGACATGTTTTAGGGCAGATTCATGTCACTTTAAACATGAATGTGAACAGTCTAGGCAGAAAGATTGATGTGTGGAAATAATCAGAACTGAGCATTAAGGCCTGTAATGTGAACGTAGCCATAGGTTTTCATGTACTGGGGTCGTTTCATAACTGAAGGCTCCATGAGACCCATGTTAAACAGGCTGCACAATTTCAATAATACATGTCAAAAGAGATTGTACTGTCATTAGACTTTGCAAAGAAGAGGTATAGAACTCCTTATTTTATCCCCCTTTCCTAACTAAAAGCACATGGAGTTAACCCACAGGCAGTATATATGCTGATTAGTTTCCTACTATAGAAATCTTTCCTCCTAATTACCTCAGGATAATAGTCGTGCTTAAGGGTTTCAGTCATAAGCATATTCGGTGCATTGGCACACTTCAAAAGCTTCATTTGCCTCATAATAAAAAAATCTGATTTGTATTTTTCATGCACTTCATTTCAATAACATGTCTGTATCCCTCTGAGGGTTGGCACAGTACATACATGTGTATCTATATGCACATTATACACACCCAGGGTTGCATAACTCATCAGACCCAAGAGTGTAAGTGGTATTTCAGTATAAAAGCTCCATCACGTCCTCTGCCAAGTCTGTATACGGGTTGGTCAGCCTAATGCTGTCATTAATCTCAGGCCAAGCTCTTGTCATTCTCCATTTCATTTAGCGGACTGAGGATTGGTGGATGCGGGACGGCCACAGAAAGCGATCGAAGTCTACAGTAATAGCTAGTAAAGAGGGAGGAGAGAGAGAGAAAGAGAGAGACATTGTTTCTGTTGGCTGCTGTTATCAGTAATCAGTGTGTCAGGACATAGCGTCGCATTATGTATTGTCACCAGGACCAAAGCTTCCTAATGAAAGCTAATGACAGCCTCCGTGGCCCCTTATTTGGTCAGCTGATAGCACAAGAGTCTATTCTTGGCCCCCTTTGTCTTTGCTGTGTTCCTAATATGATTTGCACCTGTCTCCTCTTATGTTGCCTGCGATCTTGAGCTTGACCAGCCCTCTCAGGTGGGCTTTGTCAGCACTGAAACTTATGTGGGGGCCGCTGATACTGATGCTGTGTCTCCACATGTCTTGCTACTGTACTGTCTACAAATGCATCCTGGATAATTGTTTTTATTTCATAACCAAGCTTTATTTTTCCCAGTTTTTGCCATCAGAAACAAACTTACTTTGATTCAACTTTCATTTAATTTTTACTTAACTTTAATTCACTGCAGTGTTATGCCCTATAAGTTTGCACTCTTGTCCTATTCATTATAAACGTCTAGCCCAAAAAGCGATTAGGGCATGCTTTCAGTAAGATTGCCATCTCAGTTGTGGCTGCAGGTGCTAATTATTTTCATGATCAATTAATCTGTTGGTTAGTATTTTTTTAAACCAATGCATTAATCATTTAGTCCAGAAAATGTCAGAAAGTTGTGAAAAATGGCCAAGTTCCCGCTGCCTGAGGGGACACCTTCGGAGTGCTTGTTTTGCCTGAGTTAAAGTCCAAAACCTCAAAAGATATTCAATTTCTAATGCTGTTTGGCATTATACTTGACGAACAACTAGTTTGGTAACTAATTTTCATTTAACCAGTAATCATAATATGACATTTTTATAGTTTTAGTATGGCATGCCCCAGGGATGTTTTTCTGTAGGCCGATGCGTCAGTTTGCATTGAACTGGTTCTCTCGTCAAAAAGCCTATGGGATTTCTCCACTGTGTTTTGTATTGTTGCAGAAAATAAGCTCTGTGGCAAACAAACATTTATGATATTTACAGGTTTTGTTCAACAAGATAATCTTCACAAATCTGCACCACTGTCATGATTACTGTAGCCTAAATGCAATCGCCAGAAGTAAAAAGCTAACGTTGGGCTATAAACGAACTACACTACGGTTGCATGACCTCATGTTACCACCAGCTAGAAGCTTCAAAGTACATGAGTTGGGTGTTTACTGAGGTATTTTATGTTGTAGAACAAAATGTGACAGTCTCTTAAGCTTGTGTTAACCACAGACCTTATTTGAGGGGTCTAATCAAAAACTCATTCCTGGCGGACTCTTAGTCACACTCTAAGCTCTGATGTCTGCTGCCTGCATGATGTCAGAAGAAATGGAAGAACTTAAGATCTTCACAGTCAGTTATATAGAAATTTCAGATCGCTGAAGGAGCTCTATATGATATTCAGAGTGTATCTGTGATTCAGAGGTTGTACAGGGCTCTCAATATGGAGGTGGCTAGCAGCTAATGGTGCTTGCAGCTAACTGTGCTAACAGCATGGACAGTGGTAACAACAGGGCTGACAGAGCAAACAGTGTTAACCTGGGGGGCAATCAGAGGGTGGGTGCTACACTTTCGCAACAATATCAGCAGTAACCGATTATAACCGCTGTATGAGTGCAGTGCAGAGTAGCATTGACTAGCTAGCCAGTGGGATACACACACAGGACTCATATGCTCTTACATGCACACACCGCTGGACCGACTGCCACAACATCAGAGGAGCTCGAATTAAAACACACACATGGAGCAAGTGTGACTTCATTCTCTGCTCAGGATGCCATTACTCTGCTATATCTTTACTTAGCAAGTAGTTGTTGCTGCTGTATAAATGTTCTGGATGTCACATTGAGATCCTTTAATCAAACTTGATGAAGGCAGGTCTGAATCTGAATCTTATTGTGCTGAAAAAGATTTCGTCTGGTTTTGTAGGTTTCTACGGTCTTGATGAGTCTGACTTGGGTAGGACCTTTCAACTGCCTCCCACCACCTTCATCGGAGGAGGAGACACCACTCTCCCTCTTAAAGAAATCATACACAGACTAGAGGTACCTTGTTTTCTTTTTTATACATGTTTCTAATGATGAGGGAAAGGCGTAACACTACCGTGCTGTGTTTTTTTAATCTTCTTCAGACAACCTACTGTGGACACATAGGAGTTGAGTACATGTTCATCAACAATGTGGACCAGTGTCAGTGGATTCGTCAGAAATTTGAGACTCCGGGAATCATGCAGTTCACTAATGCTGAGAAGAGGACTCTGCTAGCCCGCCTGATCAGATCCACACGGTCAGCAAGGAATAAACATCCACTGACTTTACACTTTGATGACAGCACTATACCTCACTTTTAGTTATAGCTCACATCAGAGACTCAAATAACATAAACAAAACTCTTGCACTTGCATATATTTGAAAAGATACACACCCTATTCTTCATGTGGGCTCATTTTAATCTTTGATAAATGATCTCTGAAGTCACCGGAGTTTCCTGGAGGTGATCCACCTATTGTTAATGTGCATATTCTTTTTATTGTTCGCTTGCTTGTTGTATGCTGTTGCAGTGTTATTCCTATTAACACACACACACACATTGATACTGAAATACATTTGCCAAATGCTTGAGCACAAGTCCAAAAATAACTTTCTGTAATGGAGCTTTATCTTTTTTATGTCAAGGTTTGAGGACTTCCTGGCCAGAAAGTGGTCATCAGAGAAACGTTTTGGTCTGGAGGGCTGTGAAGTGCTCATCCCTGCTCTCAAAACCATGATTGACAAGTCGAGCAGCGCCGGCATCGACAGCGTGATCATGGGGATGCCTCATCGGTACTCTGTTCCACAAATTTCTTTGCCTCTCAGCTTAATCTATGCATACAGATAATTCTTGTCCTTCCACATCTGATGTATACTTGGTAAACTCTGCTTCCAGGGGTCGACTGAATGTCTTGGCCAATGTGATCCGTAAGGACCTGGATCAGATCTTCTGTCAGTTTGACCCCAAGTTAGAGGCTGCTGATGAGGTGTGGGAACTGCGGATGCCTGACTGTGTGGAAAAGTATCAGAAGAAATCATTCTGGATATACGAGTAACGCTTTATTTCACAACCTTTCTCTCCACCTGTAGGGTTCAGGTGATGTCAAATACCACCTTGGGATGTACCACGAGAGGATTAACCGTGAGACAGAAAGGAACATCACACTGTCACTCATGGCAAACCCCTCCCACCTGGAGGCGGTGGATCCAGTGGTTCAGGGCAAGACCAAAGCTGAGCAGTTCTACAGAGGGGATACTCAGGGAAAGAAGGTAACACCTATTGAAAATGTAGATTTTCATTAGAGATACAATGTATTACTCTGTCCCGTTGAGTCTATAAGGTGATTTTTCCAGGTGATGTCCATCTTGATACACGGTGATGCTGCTTTTGCTGGACAAGGAGTTGTGTATGAGACTTTCCACCTGAGTGAGCTCCCCTCCTACACCACACATGGTACAATCCATGTGGTGGTCAACAACCAGGTATTGGAGAGACTGCAACATGTGACCTGACACTTTTACCATTTACTAGAATGCATATGTTTTCTAATATACTCACATGTTATGCCAGTAATATTGCTTATACTAATGACAGGGTGTCTGCAGGTCCAATTCAACTTTATAACAACAAGGCCTTAAAAGTCATTGAATAGTCTTAAACTTGAATTGTGAGGTCTAAACTGCTACAAACATTTTATCTATTTTCATTTATCCATTTTTTATTTCTTTTTGTGAAACTGAGTGGAGCCTTCTTATGTAAAAGTCAACAATTCTAATGTTACAGATCTCTAAAAAACTATAATACTGTATTTTACTTCATACTTGCACTTACCTGTTGGCAAAGTGTAGATTAATAAACATATTCCTACATAACACTTACCTCTGCACAAGACCACAAATATACTGCTTACCTGCTATGCTTAAATAAGTAAAACATGATGTGTCCAAAAATCTGTCCTACATTTGGTTAAAAGGTGTTAGATATTAATAATAATAACTGGGTCTAGACAATTATTTGCTATCGTCCGTCAGCTGAAGATGTGATCATGTGTTATTGTTTTACACAATTCTGTTATTTGAATTAATTATCCAAGAAAAGTATGAGTAAAAATGAACAAAATTAGCTGTTAAATGTTTTGCTTTACATACATAAAGATATTTATTTAGTTTGTATGTTACTTGTAAAAGTCGAACATGTTCTGTTGTACTGAACATCATTTGAATCACTTTGAATAAGGGATTCAGGATATTGTTTTTTTTTCTCCAATATCTGACGTGCCGATTTTTTTCCAACTCATTTTGTCCATTTGCAGATACCTATATATACCCACAGTGAGTGGTTGTCTGTCTCTATGTATCAGCCCTGCGATAGTCTGGCGACTTGTCCAGGGTGTACCCTGCCTCTCACCCAATGTCAGCTGGGATAGGCTCCAGCCCCCCCACTAACCTCAGGAGGATAAGCAGTTATGGAAATGAATGAATTAATATATATATACACATATTTTTACAACTAATTGCAGAGAACATCAAGACTCCCCTGTCATGGAATAATATAATGATAGTATTATACCTACTCTTATCGTCATGGCCCACTGGCAGATTTGGACATTAAAAACAATGCTTTTAAAAATGTCACCAGGCAGAATGACTAAACTACTTCAACTTAGGTTACATGTAAAACGTGCCATCTTTATTTTTATGTAACATTTTCAAACAAAACAGTAAAATCCATCCTAGTTTAAAAGGCTTGGATGATGCTTTCCCTGAGACAATCCTGTCAATAGCCTCAACCAGGGCAAATTCAACCTATTTCCACCAATGAAAGTGGCATAACTAAAGCGTCATCATGTTCACCTCAGGCCAATTCTGATGTTTCATTTTAAAGCCTTAATCTGCTGGTAACAATGATGTGCCGGTATGATCATGCATTCCTACTCTACATGTGATTCTAGGCTCTAAATGATATCAAATTTGGCTCTCAGATTGGCTTCACCACAGACCCTCGAGTGGCCCGCTCCTCGCCCTACCCCACTGATGTGGCTCGGGTTGTCAATGCACCCATCTTCCATGTGAACGCCGACGACCCCGAGGCAGTCATGTACGTGTGCCGGGTGGCTGCAGAGTGGAGGTCCACCTTCAACAAGGATGTAGTCATCGACCTGGTTAGTCGGAGCCGAGTCTCAACAGCAAACACGATTATAAGTACACACTTGAACATGGCTTTTATGTGTGTATTTACAGGTTTGTTACAGGCGCTTTGGCCATAATGAGATGGACGAGCCCATGTTCACCCAGCCACTGATGTACAAACAGATCCGTCGGCAGGAGCATGTGCTGAAAAAGTACTCCGACAGGCTCATTGCGGAGGGAGTGGTGATGCTGCAGGAATTTGAGGTTTGTGATCTAAAGCTGTTTGCTCTTGTTAAATATACTGTATACTGGTAGCGGCTACTGTATGCTGTTTTATTTGGCATCACCATCCGCTGGACTATGTGCATTAAATCACACTTAGATATTACCCCAGCCTTTGAGTAAATATGTTGTGCCAGCACTGCTGTGTATTTGACTTTCAATTTACTGCCTCAATTCAATCACCCAGCCTCACAATCCCTCACATAGAGTATATATTGCTCAATGAAGCTGAAGTATACCTCAGATTCTGCCGCCATTCAGTGGAATTGCTCAGGTTCTTCATCCAAAACACAAACTTTGATCGTAACATCCATTCTCAACATTTTTTTATGCTGCTTGTCAGTCAGAGAAATAGTGCAGCTCCTCTCTGGTGTGCTCCTTCCTGGCTTTTGATGGACATTGTTTTCTGTTGTGTGGCCCGCTATTTGGACTCTTGCAAAAGCCCCATTTGTAATATAGCGAGGCGGAACCATTACTGCTGGTGGAGACTTCTCTCCTCCTCTAATATTTCTTTCTCTCTTTCTCGCTACACACAGTTTTGGTTAGTCAGCTGTAGTCCTTTAATTGAAGTAAACAAACTGTGCATCACTCAATATGTGACATTTTCATTGTCCCTGTAACATATTACCAAATGTGGCTGCAGGAAGAAGTTGCCAAATATGATAAGATATGTGAGGAGGAATACGCCAGCTCCAAGGATGAAAAGATTTTACACATTCGGCATTGGCTCGATTCCCCCTGGCCAGGTAAATTTTCCCCTCCAGTAATTCAAGTTCAGTTTTTTCTTATGATCGACTGCCTTTCTGAATATACTTTCTGTTCCTGTCGAAGTGACACTGTCTCTCTTTCTGTAGATTTCTTCACAGCAGAGGGAGAGCCCAAGAGCATGAGCTGTGTCCCCACAGGACTGGATGAGGAGGTTCTGCAGCACATTGGCCAGTCAGCCAGCTCAGTGCCTCTGGAAGATTTTAAAATCCACCCTGGTGAGTTGCAGAATAGAGCAGAGAGACAGGCTAATGGTCGTAATGCCGATGATAGTAGTCATATTGATATACTGTGCCAGGAATCTACACAAAGGAGAGCACACATTATAGGATAAATGCCACCGAATTATATGATAAAAATCTTTAAAACACATCAACCTCATTGCCACACTTCATTTTTTGTCTACATTGATGATATTAAGTCAGTTAAAGCAGTTCACCTGTAAACACAGCCTTTCCTAACAGCAGGTGTTTGGCCTGCACAGCCAATTTGGCTCATGCTATAGCAATTAAGGCTGCCACAGGGGTTTTTTAATGTAATTTACAGTGCAGTATGTCAGTCCATTGCGTTTTACACTCCTCTCCCCAGTGCTCTCCTTGGTTTCATTTGTGCTCCTCTGTGTATGTGTGTGTTCTCCAGGTGTGTCTCGTATCCTGCGTGGTCGCGCTGACCTGGTGAAGAATCGGCAGATGGACTGGGCTTTAGGAGAGTACATGGCCTTTGGTTCCCTTCTCAAAGATGGCATCCATGTACGACTCAGTGGACAGGATGTAGAGCGGGGCACCTTTAGGTGAGTCCATGTCAACACAGCTGAAAACTCAAGCTCTCCTCTGCAAGGATCTGTGTGAATCTTTGTTTAAACCTATATGCCCTCTTGCATTAACACTAGAAGGAGCTCTTATAGTGTAATATCTAGTAGAAGTATTAAGTATGTGTCAAATGTAGTTAGTGAATAAAGAGAGCCTTTTAACAATATTGATTTTTACAGTCTTCTTTTTTATAGCTCAGGAGTCCTTGTGGTGTCACAGTCTCTCCTCTCAGTGAATGAACTCAGTGACTGTTTTTTTATTATAGATTATCTTTCCTTGGGATGATGCATGGCTGGGTGCTAATTATGTATTGCTAATAAACTTTGAGACAGATCATATCAAGATGAAATTATCTTATTGTTTTTATCATTCAACAAATGTGTTGACACACATTAAATGCTGGAGCACAGTTCATTGTTTTGAACATCAGTATTTTTCATTTGATATGTCATTTTGCAGACATTTGCCATATTGTCGTATACAGTATATTAGTATTAGAAAATATCCAAAATACTATGATAATAATAGCTATACAATGACTTTTGCATTCATGACATTGCAGCGATTAACTACAGGGTTGTGTGGTTGTGAGGGAGTGTCACTAAAATGGCCCATTAGTGGGGGAACAGAGGGTGGAGACCAGCTATAGAAAGCCATTTTCCCCATCTCAGTGACTGAGTACCTGTCTTTGGTAACTTTGTTTATGTAGCTTAAAAGATCTGTAGAATTTCTGTTGATTATTATCACTGTATTATTTTTACCGCCAAAAAAGACACACGTGCCCGCACATGCAAACAAACCGAGTGCTTTCCTCTCCTTTGTAGGATAGTACATACAGCCTGTTAATACATTTTACACTCTATAACAATTACAGTATTACTTGTTCCCATGGACTGCGGGTGTCTTCCGCTGTGTTTGCTAGTCTTTTTTTTTTTTTTTTTTTTTTAACAAAAGAAAAAAACAGGCACAAAGACACATAAACAGCCCAAAGAGGTTTTATAAAATAAGATTGAGACAAAGGATAAAAAGAAAGGGGACATACATTAATTGCAAAAATCAAAATAGGGTTTGCCAGTTACATGATTACCCACTGCAGTGTGATGTCATGTTGCATTCTCCAGAAGCTGACCTGTTTCAACTTGCGCTGCAGAACAATGTGTTTTATTTTTATGGCAGCCCCTGCCGTCCCCACCCCCACAGCGTAGATGCACTACTCACTTTTAAATAAATGGAAGGACTGTTGTTTTAGCCACAACACCTGATTTGGTGTGAATGCAGCCCATCCGTCCATTTTCATCCATTTTCATCCGCTTATCCAGGGCCGGGTCGCAGGGGCAGCAGGCAAAGACCCCAGACATTTTCAAGCTCCTCCTAGGGGACCCCAAGGCGTTCCCAGGCCAGACGAGGTGAATGCAGCATTAAACTGATATTTCCTCAAATTAGCTGTTTTGAAATCATGTTGGTACGGGTGTTGAGTCTCTGCCTCACCAGAGATTAAGGGTAAAGAACAGTTATCTGAAGATAGTGAATTAAGTAATTGGGAGGGCGGGGTAGGGAGATTGGCGAGTCTGACAGACAGAAGACGTCAGCGCAGTCTCCTGGGAACAGTGAAGTCCACATGGTGTTGTCATGGTATGGAGGGACGAGTGACACATGAACAAAACCAGCTCCCCCTTTCACTGTGCCTGTCTCATCTGTCCCCTATCATTTCTCCACCAGCCCATCTTCACTGACACCAAACCCCCCCCCACCCCTCCCTCTCGGCTCACAGCGACATACATCACACTAACTAACCAGAGGCTACAGGGCTTTTTCTTTTGCTGCACATTTACCACTGACATCTACTTCTCCCCATCTGCTGTCCCCTTCAGCAGCGTAATTTGCCCGGCTGAAAAAAAATGACAGCAGTCAAACACTACATCCACCCTTCATCTCTATATCACCTGTTGTTTATTTAAATCCTCCTCCGTGTCAGTTAAGAGTCTGTGTTCTTTCTCATTGTACTTCAATGAGACGTCACCCCCTTTATCACCCCTTATTGCTTTTTCTCCCACCTACACTTTTTGTCATCCCCCACTACTGTTTCCCTTCACAGTTCTTAGGAGCTGAGCATATTGGCATGTTACAGTTGAGTGGGCCTGCTTGCGTTTCTGTGATGTACGTAACAGCATGCGCTAATGGATTCAGTCGTCGTGTTTGGGTGGGTTGCGTGCGCCGTGCACCCCTTTCCCTGACTAATGGGGCCCCCAGGCAGAGGAAAGTGTGTGTTTTTGTGTGTGTTTGAGAGAAAGCAAGAAGAGAGGTGGGCACGCAGTTTATGAGGCAATCCCGGAGAAAGACCTCATTCTCGTGAGGTTTTTGGGTCCTCTTTGGTCTGAGGAAATGAAAGATGAAATTATCTGTGTTACCTCAATTAATGCTGGATGCCCTTGATTTTGTTTGTTCATCAAAGGAAAGTGTATATAAGAATATGAAGCAAGCATCAAACAAAACAATTATGCCATACATTATGTGCTCTCATTAGTCTATAATTATGGGTGATAATATTCAAAGGACTCTAAGCATGATCATCTAGTCTTCTAGGTGGTAACATATCACATTCAAGATAATAATCAATAGATTTGGGTTATTTCCTGCCGTTCTTCCGCCTGACCGTTACATAACCTCTGGCGCTGTGTGTATGTGTTTCTGAGTGGATGTGTGTGTGTGTAGATGTCATTAAAGTGATGTTAAAGGGGTTTAAGTGATTGTCTTATCGTGCTGGTTTTGAAGGCTGATTCCTACACTGGGAGCGAGCGGACTGGCAGAGCTTGTTAACGCTTGGCTCTTTGCTCCCATCAACTCTTGTTGGGCCTCACACTGACTGGAGATGAGGAGAGAGGGGGAGTCCTCATCATGGAGTGCCTTTATGGGCCAGAAAACACACACTGCGCTGTGTGTGTTTACAGTGCTCCTGTGTCCTCTGGGTTAAAAACCTTTTAGAGAAATCCTGTTGTTTTTCCACCACCAACATTTAAGACCGCTTAGAGTCTTGGAAATGTTTTGTGGTAACACTATTCTGCTGTTACAAATACAACACTTCATCAACTGTAAATACTAGGGGTGAAATGATATGTTAAATCAATAATAAATAATAGATTCATTATTTAAGTAATTTATAAAGAAAAAATGATGAACAATAACTGGTTGCAGCTTCTCTTTTTCTGTTCTCTGTTGTTCATTCATTCATTCATTTTCCTTAACCGCTTATACTACTGGTTGTGGGAAGGCTGGAGCCTATTCCAGCTGACACTGGGCGAGAGGCGTGGACAGGTCGCCAGACTATCACAGGGCTGACACATAGAGACAGACAGCCATTCACACTCACATTCACACCTATGGCCAATTTAGAGTCACCAATTAACCTGCCTGTCTTTGGACTGTGGGAGGAAGCTGGAGCACATGGAGAAAACCCACCCTGACATGGGTGGGTGGGTTTCATATTGAATTTTTTCAAAACGTTTTTGACTTTTTTGGTCAAAAAAAAAAAAAATCAAAAGATTCATTAGTAATGAAGTTGTGGCCCTGCTGAAAAGCTTTTTGTATACACGTGTCACAGCCTCGTAAAGGGGTTTGTGTGTGTGTTTTGTTTATTTATATCCCACTTCATCCATTAATTTCAGCTAACTGTGATATATATGCTCTCTCGGATGATGTCATTACGTTGATTTATTTTGGGTGCTCCACAATCCTTTTAAGAACCATAAACAAATGGATGACTTGGCATTTCAGTGGTGTTTTTTATCCATGCTGACAACATGGCTGTGGTCTGGGTCTGGGGTGTGTCTGTCAGTCAGGCCACTTTGGTCCAAGCTGAAATATTCTAACTGTTGGATGGACTGTCATGGCCCCCAAATCATAAATCCAAATGACTGTAGTGTTAATATTAGCATGCTAGCATGCTAAACTAAGATGATGAACATGGTTACAGCATGTCAGCAATTGTGAACATGTTAGCTCAAAGCACAGCTGTGTCTGAGTGCAGCCTCACAGAGCCGGTAACATGTCTGTCTTGGTTCTGTTTGCCCGTTTCAGTCATTTCTGTCCCTCTTATGTTTTTCAGTCACCGTCATCACGTCCTGCATGACCAAGAGGTGGACAAACGAACCTGTGTTCCCATGAACCACCTGTGGGACAACCAGGCTCCTTATACCGTCTGCAACAGCTCCTTGTCAGAGTACGGAGTGCTTGGTAAGAAGCTACTTGAGTCACACAGCATGCTGTAATTTAGTGATATTCAGCTTGCAGCCTATGATTGGGTGCCTGGCAGCCTGATGACCATTTTACAATTCACAATGACAGTAAATTGATTCACAATGGGAATTTTTTGTTGTACTATGAATGTAAATAAGATGCCAGAGTCCACATAAAAGCATGCCAGAGGAGGATACCCTAGACTCCCCGACAGAGGTCCAGGCTTAGCCCCTAATGTCCTTAAATTGTAGAAAGTGGCCCCTAGTCTCATGTCATTTTGCAAAAGTGGCCCTGGGCAAAGCAAGCTGAGTATCCCTGCTATAGTTCATAAGTCATTTTGTAGCTCTGTGTAATGATGGCTGTGTCTTCAGGTTTTGAGCTTGGCTTCGCCATGGCCAGCCCGAATGCCCTGATCCTCTGGGAGGCCCAGTTTGGAGACTTTCACAACACAGCCCAGTGTATCATTGACCAGTTCATCAGCCCAGGCCAGGCCAAGTGGGTCCGCAACAATGGTATTGTCCTGCTGCTGCCACACGGGATGGAGGGAATGGTGAGAGGGACATAAACCGGCCTACACTATGTCATTCTGTAGTATTTACAAAAAGATGAGATGGGATTAACGGGATTCTTCTTCTTCTACTGGTTTGTCGTTATGTGTCTTGATCCTCTTCTCTTTCGTCCTCAGGGTCCAGAACATTCATCAGCTCGACCTGAACGCTTTCTGCAAATGAGCAAAGATGATCCCGATCACTTCCCTGTATGTTCACATGGACAATTTACAGTATGCTTCAAATGGCGACCATGCAGTTTGAGGAGCATCATTAGCTAATGCAGATAGTCTCAACCACCACACGGTGCACTGCAGTTAACATTCGATCGCTTCCTGTTTTATTGGCTTTGCTGATGTCATGACCACTGTGCTTAAGCCAAGTGTTGGCTTAAGTGATGATTGCCAATTTCTCTAGAGCTTAAAAGTGTCTTCATTATAGCCTCGAAAGAGTTGGTGTTCAGCAGTAACTCAGGTCCCAAGGGTGAGGGAACATTCAAGGAGGGAACCACAGCGGGCTATATCAGCAGAAGTTCTCCAGATTCATCTTCAAATGGGATATTGATCAAACTATTAGTGGGAGCATACTGAGGGATTAACATTCTCTGTCCTGTGTGTGTGTGTGTGTGTGTGTGTGTGTGTGTGAGAGAGAGAGAGAGCACTGATGCACTCAGGCGCTACATCTGCTGAAAAAAACATTACTGCAACCAAAACTATAACTCTGTAGTTTTGTCTAAAGTTAAATTTCTGTTTCTGAATCAATAACCTTTATAATTCCTCTGTATTTCTTTTTTTTATTAACAAAGGAGTTAAGTGGAGATTTCGAAGTTCAGCAGCTGTACGACTGTAACTGGATCGTGGTCAACTGCTCCACGCCTGCTAACTACTGTCATGTGCTCAGACGGCAGATTCTGCTGCCATTCAGAAAACCGGTAAAGTGTAGCAGCGTCTTCACTGTATTTTATGCGTCTTACTTACCTCCAGTTAGTGCTTGTCTTCTCATCATTGATTTTGCATTTGAGATTTTGCATTTAAGTCCCCCATATAACCCTACTACAATAAAAAAAAGCCCAGTTTGTAATGTGACAACAATTTCTTATGTTTAAGAGAGTCTCAGAACTCTCTCTCTTTGTTTGTTCTGTATTCATTGTTAAGGAAATCAGTGCTGGAATAAAATCAAACTCACAAATATGAAAACATGAGAGGCACAAACTAGTTATGTCTTCATTTGTTCATTGCTTTACCATGACATGTACAAATGAGGCTCTGTATGTAATTAATTAGAACGTTGCAGAACAAGTTTAGGCATAAAGTTTCGGGCTGTAAAGCATTTCTCCTCTTTTTTTTATAATCCACGGCTCTTTTTTCAGTCTCTCCCAGTTTTCAGCCACAGTGAATGTCTTAACTGATCCCCTGTCGCACATAAATGCAATGCTTTGCGAAGCATGAGAGAACGACTTCCTGAGCAAATTAGCGAGGAGGCCAACAGGGGATAATATTGTTTGTTTTTTATGAAAACTTCTGGACTTGGTTGGCTGAGCACAAAGGCTTTTATTTATTTGATTGTTAAAGAAATGTTTTGTTTTCCCAACGCTGATGTTGCGTGCTATATGGTGGCAACAAATTAGCGTGAAAAGTGATAAAAAACTTTTTTCTCTGGAGTTTTTTGAAGGCGCACAATGAAGTCACGGATGATAGAATCAATCTGTTGTCAGTCATTGACAGAAACTCTTTCCTTTTTTTACCCCCACAGCTGATCATTTTCACACCAAAGTCTCTGCTGAGGCACCCTGATGCAAGGTCCAGTTTTGATGACCTCGCCAAAGGTGGAGTTTTACTTTATCTCTGTAAAATGCAATGCAAGGATCTGTGAGTGGACTAAGAGAGGTAACATATCATATTCAATGTTGGCAGGCACTACATTCAAGAGGCTGATTCCAGACGAGGGCCCTGCAAGTCAAAACACAGCGCAAGTGAAGAGGGTGATCTTCTGCACCGGCAAAGTCTACTACGAACTGGCTAAAGAGAGGAAACAGCAAAAACTGGACAAAGACATCGCCATCATCAGACTTGAACAGGTGTTTACTCTTTCTCTCCTATGTGGATTTTGGTATATGAGTGATGCAGTGCTATTATTTCTTCTTCCACTTATTCTTCGGCGTCCCCCCTCAGATCTCTCCATTCCCGTTTGACCTGGTCAGAGCAGAGGTAGAGAAATACGGCAACGCTCAGCTGGTCTGGTGTCAGGAGGAGCACAAGAACATGGGTTACTATGATTACATCCGTCCGCGTTTCCTCACAGTGGTGGCCAACAAGAGGCCTGTATGGTAAGGGTTTCTGTTCTCTTTGCACCTGATTTGTTTATAACAGAAATAACATGGGGCAATTAATTTAGAGCCAGGGTCTGGTTAGGTCTTTCAGGCCAAGGACTGCTTAGCTGAAAGAGAATGAGCAGGCACCCCTTACTACATATATTGTGTAAAATTGAGTTGCATATTAAACTGGGCCTTGTAGTGCCAGGTATAAACAAACCCTTTAATGCTGCATACAATTGTTAAAACAATTATTATGTGAATGTCCATACACATAAAATAATAATACAGCTAACTGGCCAGTATGTTTCAAAAGCACCTAGTTGTTAGCTAACTGGTTTTCAGATGCCACACGGTGATTTAGCTTTAGCTAGCTGCCATGATTGCACAAGGATTCATTGTTAACAGTTACTCTCTGTCATCAGTGTTGTGTACTGTAAATTAAATGTTTTTTTGCTTGTTTGTTTTATGAAAAGCTCAATATATCTTTGCTAATGTACGTATTTCAGACATATTATAATAAAAAAATAAACAAAAAAATAGAGGTCAGAGGACCCTCCTAGGGGTCGCAGATCCCCCCGTTGAAGGACATAGGATTTAGAAATTCAGGTTAAAAATAACCTGTGTCTCTTTCAGGTATGTAGGACGGGACCCTGCTGCTGCTCCTGCGACAGGGAACAAGTCGACCCACCTCAATGAGCTGAAGAGGTTCATGGACGCGGCTTTCAACCTGAGCGCCTTCCAGGAGAAGGACGTATAGTTGAGAACTGGAGCAAGACTGGAGGTGCAGTTTCATCTCCAGCCATCATGGTCTATTTTTTAAGTCTTTTTGTCAAACACTTTTAGCTTTGTGACAATCTGGAGCGTAGCCTTTTTAGTAAACATGATGTTAACCCTTAATATACTTATGTTAAAGATAGATGACTTATGCCAAGACCGCACTGCACAACGTTTATGTCTTGGTCACTGTAACAGATTATGTGATCATCGTTCAGTCCTGACAAAAGGCACACATTTGGACGCACTAGTTTTCCCAGGGTCTCAAAAGTGTCCTAAATGCAGCTCGTTCTCCTCTGTGACACATGACATGGGATACAAGGACAATTTGCTGTGCCCTGGCTGTGCACCATGTCAAGTGAAATCAAGTCTTTTTCATTTATACAGCCCAACTCCTCCTCTATCAAAATCGGGCCATTTTTGGGCTGATATCATGTAGTCTAATTCCGGCTTTACTGGACCTGCACTTTATTCACTCGACACTATTCAACACGTGGTCTTTATGAGGGCTTTAACACAATACGCATAGTGTATGTACACACCCCAAAACCTTGTCTAAAGAAAACCAGACACAAATTTTCAGCCTCTAAACGGTGCTACACCTCCAACACCTTTATTATATGAAAAAAGTGTTACACAAACATGAAATATAAGTCATATAATTATCACCTAGTTGTGTGGTGAAGTAGCAACAGCACACTTGTGACAATCACTGTTATTGGAGTGGCTTTAATACCCTAGAAACCTCCACTGCTGCCAAGCTGAATACTAGTTTATATTTTTAGTATAGATATATATTTGAATTGATTTTGTAGATGAATATCAGAAGCTATAAGATGCACACAAAACTCCAACTGGTGTGTTTAAACAATGAATGTGGAACACATATCACAGGTATGAAGACTGTTTTGCAATTTAACACATCAGTAGCTTTAGTGCCTGCATTTGCTCCGGCTACCTTAGCTGTTGTTAGTGAAGGAGTGTGTATTTATTTTCACACTTCACTTCACCAGGAGACATGAGCCAGCTGGCACCGAGACTTGAAGCCATGTTTTCTTCTTAGGACATAAGGCTCAGCTTCCTCTTCGGAGGCTGAGGGATGCGCACACACACATAAACACGGCAAAGCTTTGAGAGCAATATTGATGCTTGGTTGTCACATTAAAATCCCCAGGTATGTAACAGAAGTGATATTAGTTAACACTGTGCATAGAAATGTTCCATAAAATGATGTTTCCTGTCTAGCAGTTATACTGTAGCTCACCATTTCCATTTCCAGCTGAGAGATTTAACCCCAATCTATGCACAAACGTAACTTTACATATCTAATTATTTTTGTTAAAGGTTTATGTGTATTAGATTTTTAATGAAACCATTATATCCACATATTAGTGTGGCCATTGAGACATATGCACGCACTTACCCTGGGAATAATAAAACATGCAATAAAATATATTTAAGTGTAATAACGTGCTTTGGTCATGATTTTTGGTTGCAGATGTTGCATGACAGCATAAAAAAGTCTATAGTTTAAAGCACAAAATAACAGATTATTCTACTGATGAATGAAAGGTTGAATTCATGTGCAGTAAAATGCATCTTTTTCTCATTTTAACGCACTCAAAGGTTTTGATGATATGACCAGACCAATCTGCTGTTAGCAGACTTGAAATATATATATATATCGATGTGTGACTGACATTAGAGCCAGTTTGCAAGTTGTATGATTGTCTTCAAGCTGTGCCACTGATATCTTCTCAATATTCTGCTACTGTTTTTAGTTACTGTTATGTCATACTTTTCACATCTGGCTGTAGTAATTGTACACACAAGGGTAAAAATTTGCTTATGCAGCCCCTGTTGACCGCCCACACCACACCTATCCCCTTCTGTGCATCATGTATGCACCTTGTCCTCTCCCAGTTTCTCATTAAAGGTATACTCTGCAGGTTTGTCAGTAACTGTTTGTGAACACACATACCGGCAAAAGTGAAAGTAAAAGCTAACCCCAGATGGCAATGGTTGCATTTTTTTGGTGATGTGGTCCTCGAAAGCGTAAGGTAAGGTAAGGTAAAACTTTAATGTCCTCCGAGGGGCAATTTGAGATACAGACAGTGGTCATAAGTACAACAAAACAGACATTACAATACATAACACACAGAATCCAGAATCACACACTGTCAGTGGTAAATCATGGACGATCATGGCTACATTTTTACAAAGCTTTGACCTCACCTGAGCACTGTGGGGGTACACACCCATAAGCGTCCCTAACACAGAAAATAAGAAAATACAGGCAGAGTCTCTTCAGAGAAATACACAACAACACACTTCTAGCGGGTCATAAGTAATGATTAAAAAGGATTACTTCTGTATCAGTGTATGCTTTGTTTTTTAGGAAAGTCCTGTATAGTATACCTTTGATTAAAGTACCCACAGTGGACTGCACATGGCATATTTGTTGTTTGCCCAGAAACCCAGAAATCATCTTGTAAATGTGCTGGAGTTATACAACTGTGAGTCAATTATAAGAAGCAGAGAAATATTTGGAGATATACTTCATTAATCCGTGAGGGGAAACTCAATGTTTTTACTATGTTGTCAGGCCTGAAATACACAAACAGCCCCTATATATGCATTAAATAATAAGCCAGAGAGGGCTGCCCATGGAGTAGGTGGGGGGTTGGTTTCTTGCTCAAGGGCAATGTCCGGGAGGCAAACTGGCACTTTTCCACCTGCCATGCCACCCTCTGTTTTCCAACTCAAGTTCCTATAGACTAAGCTTCTGCTGCCCCAAAAGTGAATTTGTCCTAACTAAACATAATGTAGGGGTAAGCAAAAAGTAGACCTAAACATAACCCTGGAATATGCACCAGATGAGTGCAATATAAGCTTACACAATGAATGTGTTAAAACCTTATTTGACAAAGGCCCCTCTAAAAAAGACTGGCCCACAAGATAATGATGCAAGTCCCACTGCAGTGCACATTAATGATGTAAATTCCCTTACAGATCTGCAATACCAAATCACATACAGTTAATGTGCAACTTCTGGGGCCCAGGGGCAGCAGCCTTGCAATAATGTAGGCCTACTGTCAGTGCTGTTAAACCCATCACCAACAGCATGAAGCAACTCAGATAAAAAAGCAGAAATTTATTTATATATAAAAGTAACTGTTGTCTGGGTTATTGAATAAGAAAATAGCAAATATGCACATGGGTGTTTGTTTTCTGTCATCTTCAGTAAGCGTTGTCCACAGCAGTCACAGCCTCTTTACAGACAGGGTCCAGCTGTCCATCTCCACCTTCAGGGAAAAGAAACATGATCAGTGACTCTGGTTTACATCACAGTGACATCACATCAACGTCACACATCGCCTTCGTTTTCCGTCACAGCTCACCAAACTCACCAAACTCTAGCTGCTGTATGTTACAGCTGAAGACGAGCTCCCCGTTGACCACGAGCTCCACCATGTTCCACTCGCGCGTTTCCTCCAAGACGTACTGGTGCCCGCGCGCCTCCAGAGCGGCTGCGGACATGTTGGACGGTGGACAAACAGTGTTTAACCTCACCTAAAATAGTCAAGAAAGCAGACAACATGTGGGTGTCCTTACCCTGGAGACCCTGCAGGCGGAAGGTCCTGTGTTTAACCACTCCACTGGATTCATAAGGTCCGTAGCAAAGTGTCACACGCGCGTTTTTCGGCATTGTTTGCTGTAGTCACCTGGGTAACCGTCACACACAGTGCACCCATTGCAAACATGGCCTCTCTGAAATGTGTCCAGCAATCCCATTTGTTCCACTTGTTAAAAAGAAGAGGCTGTATTACACTTATTCAGGCTATATCATCCAATAGTTAGACACACTACATTACATGTATGAGTATTACTTTATCACCCTTTGTCTTGCATATTTTGACTCATATTTAAACTGTTATAATGTTTTAAACAGCTATAGGCCCAGTGTGTGACCCTTGCCCAGGGAACCTACTGGTTGTTCTGGTTGTTACTGGTTTGTGAACATTAATTTTAGGCATTATCTGGCACAATAATTTCCTTCAGGATAAATAAAGTTCTGTTGAATTGAATTGAATTGAATTAGACTATAGTAAGTCAAATACTAGGCTATGAGATGTTTCCAAACCCTTATAAGATATTAAGTCTCAATATGAGAACCACACTATACCCTTTAAAAGATATTAATAACAGATTTCATAAGATGCTTTTTCCACTAAATGAAAAGTTTTCTGATAATTAGGACTCAGAGTCTCTTCAATTCAAGAAACTTTATTATACATTTGACCTTGTACCATATATCACAGATAGGAAACTATAATATAACTTACTATGTCATGATGATAATTATTCTTTACAAAAAATAAATAAATTCATATAATTCCAAGAGTTGTGTTTAACGCTGGCACATTTACAGTGGTATTGATTAATGTGCATTGTCTTTGTAAAAATAAATACAGAATTTTTTTTTATAAATCAAATTGACATATTCTGATTGCTTAATGCCACTGCTCCATAAATTCAGAGCAGGTAGAGACACACAGAGCTGCTTCATGTGCACTAAATGGATATGTGAATCACAAAACACATTTAGAAGAGATTTTTTTTAAAAACTTAAACATGGTATCTACTCTGTAAACAGCAAAATGAACTTAAGCCCTAATATGATTAGCTTTTTTTTCTGTTGATGTTCAGCAGTACTTAATAAATACAATATTTGGACAGTCATAAACACAGTGATCACCTCTGGTTAGTAAGTTTCCTGTACTTACTTTTATAGTTTACATTTACACTTTGTAACATTAAGTTATATCATACAAAAATAAATAACTTAATTGCTATATTCTGCTCACAAATGTACAAATACACAGTTTAATCACATTTAACATTGTTTGATAAACTAAACAGTATCCCTTTAAAATCCTGGTAAGTTTTTTTCCAGTACAATATGAACTAATTGTCTAGTGAACTTTATAAAAAAAAATTTAGTAGACATTTAAGTACCTGTATTGTTGGCACATCAGACACAACTTATGAAGACAGCACTAATTGCATAGAAGATTGTAGTTATACAGTGTACCTTAATCTTCAGAAAATCATTACATAGCAGCATGCGATTTGCAAATAGATATATACAGAGACAATCAGCCATTTATCATAACTCACAGACTCCTAGATTGCTTTAACAAACAATGCATTTACTCTTTTCTTTGGCTGATTCATCTCAATTTGGTGCAAAACAACAATCAAAACTCAAATGTGGCTTGATTTTTTAGCTTCATATAGTTAAACATTTTGACAGACATTTAAATCACTGCAGTATATGTGATATTTTTTTGTGGTACAACACCTGAAAACGTCCTCTGTAAGAACCAACCACTTCTAATATTCTCTAAGAATAAGTAAATTAGATTATCATCAGCACTTCATACATTTTACAGTACAGGATACAACAAAACAGCTTTACGTGACATTTTGGATCACAGTTACATTGTTGCAGCACAAAACACACATTTAAAATCACACTACCACTATTTTCACCATCAGTTTCTTATGATTGATGTCCGTTCTTCAAAGCCTCTCCCAGTGCTGCAGTCTGGGTCTGAGCCTCCACTTTAGTCTGGTCTGGTGTCTTCAGCACAACCTGTGGCAGTGTTTGCTGATTCTTGGTCAGGTCAGCTGGTCTCTGTGGTGTCTTTCTTTGCCAGTTTGTGTCTGTTTGCGTGTGCGTCTCCAGCGTCTGACCCTGTCTTTGCTGGGTCAGATTGGAGCTGGAGTTACATTTATTGCACAGATCCCTCATGTCCAGGAGTCCCTGCTCCAGACACTTGACAAATTTTGCCGAACACGTCTGCTCACTCTCACGGAAACTGGACACAGAGAAGATAATGTGGTCCGACTGAGGGTTGTAGCACGCTCCATATCCATTTGGAACCACGGGTCCGTAGCAGCAGAACATCTCAACAGTTGTAGGAACCTGAGGAAAAAGCCCACAGTTTAACTGGTGTGTTCAAGTACTGCTGTAGGTGGAAAGGTTGAGACAAGACTATTGAGAGTCTGACAGTTATATAAACAAAACCTTTATGACATTTTCTTAAAATCAAGTCTCCATCTCTCTAGTTGTGCCTGTCTTGTTGCTTGTAGTGCACATTAAAGTGATACTCCAGTGATTTAGTATTGACCTTCCATAAATTTGGGGGACTTAAAAAGACAGAAAAGAATTATCAAAACTAAGGTAGCTGAGACTAACCCTATCTTTGTCTCTAGTATGGGTCATGGTCCAAAAATGTTGGAATGTCAGCACTTTCCATGATGCAACTCAGCAGTGTCTTTCATTTAGAGATGCAACAATTAATCAGTTATTGAAAGAATCAATTGAAATTAAATGAATTCCAATTATTTTGTTAACTGATTTGTTGTTTAAGTAATTTTTTAAGCAGCAAATGTAAATCCGCAATAGCTGGGTACACATATGTGCATGCATCCACACATTTCCATATTCTCTCTCACTCACACACATACAAACACAACCTCACCAACACTTATCACTTGTCCATTGATTCCTCCAGCTAGTTGGTGAGTTATGAAAGGGGACATGGCAAAATGGTGTGTTTGCATGTCTGTCTCTGTGAGTGTGTCTTTAGTCATGTGAAGTGAATCTGTTTAGAAGTTATGTGCCTTTTTATTGCAGCCCCCCTTTGTGGCATGAAGAGTTTGTCAGCTGTCCTCTGGCTTGTGACCATCTTTCTGCAAAATCTCGTGCCAGTCTTTGAGTCCATTTGTTAGTTATTGGGATTTTTGTTATAGGCCATTCCCACTATATCACAGTTTTAGCCAACTAGCATGAAGACAAACACTCCTTTACACCCACTCTCACACACTTGACCGCCTTGCCACATTTCAGCCTCCTATGGCTGTGGCTGACAAAAGGTGGGGAAATTTTTGTATACCAACCACAGACTGATCGACCAACAAAGTGAGCTATAGAGCTGCTGGCTGCAGCTAAATATGCTAAAATTCTGATGGTTCCAGGTTCTCAAATGTGAGGATTGAAAGTTTGTCTTGTTATTAAAATTATCCAAGAATTTTTTGGTTCTGGACTGTTGGGCCAACAGACCAAGACACTGGTTGACATCACCCTGTGTTTCAGCATATTGTGATCAAACAATTAATCTAGAAAGTAATCTGCAGATTAATTAATAATGACAATAATCATTAGAGTTGCAGCAATATTCATTAGAAACATCTTGGCTCCTAAATGCAGACTTCTTTCAAACCCCACTCCTACAGTTTGAATATCAAACTTTCTGTTGCAAATTTTATGTCTCAAGTACAAGCCAAGAAAACCATGATGACACTTATGTTAAATTTTCAGACTTTAGAGAGCGCCCTGCGGAGCCACAGAAGAACACATTATAGTGCCTCTTTATTATGCTTTTGATTAAATATACCTTCAGTCTAATCTTTAAAATCAGATGACAGTACCTGACTTGTAGAGAGAATGAACTGATTACTGATGAGATAGGCTTCGTCTTTGAATATTTCTGGCTTCTCTATCTTCAGTTCTTGTGCAATTTCACGTAGTCCGAGTAAGTGATTGTCTATCGCCATCCCTGTAATAGCCTGGAGAGGAGAATGAATGCCTATGTTAGTGTATTTTTTTAACAAGTAAAGTCAACATTGTAACAGGAATCTGGTTAGAGAAGGTTAGAGAATAGTCACCAGAATAGTGTACTTTGTCTGCGCAGTTATTGCACCTCGTAACAGCTCCATCTTTTCTGCATCCTGGAGACATGAACAACAGAGAGTCAGTAACTATACTATTAAATCCCTTTATTTATTTATTCATTTAAACATCTTACACTTGTGCTTGAGCTCCCATCAGTCATTGCTTTGATAAACGTTAGGGCTTCTGGTGTGGCTGAGCGGATGTTGTCCACTCTGCCCTCCTTAAAACGACGTATAGAAGCACTCTCATAGGTCGCCACCTGTCTGCCATGACATCTACAGTAACACACAAAAAGAAAAGCTTTGTATCTTGGTGCTCTGGGTTAATGTGATGTATGAAAATCAGTCCTGTCATAATGATCTTTTTCTTACCGGTAGTAGGCTAACTGAAGAGCAACCTGGATGTAGGCATCTGGACTCATTTTCTGCTTCTTGATGAACTCTTTCCCGTAATTGTAAAATTTGTGGACATTCATGTCCAGATTTTTCACCTGCCTGAGCAAATAAGGATAAATAAGGATATAGGATTAAATCCTGCTGTGAGAGGAGAACATTTGTCCATGAATTTAATTGCACAGAAACCAGAGTAAACCCACACCTCTGTAGTTTGTCAGCAGAAGAAGCGAGGAGTTTGTGAATCTCTGGAGTACACTTCCAGCGGAGCCTGCGTGGTGCAGGCAGCTCGCTCACACTCGCAGCCCTGACCAGCTTTGATGGGCTGCCAATCCTGATGTCACATGGGAATATATAATTTGGCATGTTTTTTTAGGATAGTCTTATTTGGATTTTCTGAGCATATGCCAACCAGTATCACACACACATTTTCCATCTCTTACATGTATTTGAGTAGATACTCTGTGCACTGGACGAGGACGATTCCCTCAAATGGCGAGTGTTCACACACGACTCCGCAGCAGCCGTCAGCTCCTACGACAAACTGACACAGTCATGCTATTGTCAATGTGAATTTCTTGAGTTGAACCAAACTGCAATGCTAGATTATCTGACATTCAACTCATATTCAGTTGCATCGCTATACTTGTGCATTCTGCTCTTTACTGTAACCACATGTTCCTGCATATACATTTCATCCACATGTTACACCCTGCAGTGAAGAAATAATTTAGAAAGGAAGCCTCAAGTTCATTCAAGTGATCTGAATTCTTCATCAAAACATCTCCATCAAAGTTCATGCTAATGACATCAGGCTGACAGCTTGTAATCCAATGGGAACGTCCACTCTCTATCAGAATTTCTTTAAATGTAAATTCTTGATTTGGTATGGGATTGGCTAATTACATCCAGAGAGAGGAACATAAATTTAATACTTATGTTATTTTCCACACTAATTAAGGAGTTGTAGCATCCCTCAGTCATCTACATGCCTTTCATCCTCACGTGATTCTTTCTTTTCCCCAGTTCTCTAAGAAAATGCAGGGCACACAGTGTGCTGTAAGTTAAGGAGGCACACATTAAAGTAGCCATACTAGCTTGCTGTGCTCACTAACCTGCATTGGCTTGTCATACCAGCGGTTGCCTCCATTCTTGGCCACTCCTCCGCCATGCAGCATCAACATGGCACGTGTGGTGTCACTTTGCTCAACCCCAGTGGCGTCATCCAAACAGACTAGACAGAGACAACGCTCAATCATGTCCAGAGAGTCCCTGTTAGTAGACTCTAGAGCACAACACATACAAAAAAATTGTCAGTTTGGTGGAGCAAACAGTCTTGGAAACACTGACATCCACCTGACTTAGTCTCATACCTCTCATTAGCACACTGCGAGACTCGGCCCACTCTGTCCGTCCATCTGACGTGAGGAGACCAATAGGTGGGAGCCGCTCTTCTTCGTTGTCAGCCATCCTGGCGATCTTCTCCAGCTGAGTCAGCAGGTCTCTTTCATTCAGGCGGCGGAAGTTGATTACCACATCCAGCACGAAGAACTGGACAGAGGTTCAGTAATTGGTTGTAAATCTGTACTGCAGGCTGAAGCACATAGAAGTATTGTTTCCAGACAAGACATGGGGACATGGGGATGTCTGGCAGGATGTGCATAGTGAGGGGCAGCAGAGACTTTAAGATGAATTCTGATTAAGTCCAACAGAGCAAGAAACAAATGATCATAATGTCAGACATTTTAAAACAGCAACAGTTTGGCTAGATGTTCTTTTCTAACCACTTTATTTGGAGGTAAAACAAAGCAAGCACACCCAGAATATTTGTAATAATCCCTCATTTCACCAGAAACCAGTGTGTGTAGAGGAATACAGTATGCACAGGCTGAATCATGGTGTTTCAGTTTAGTCTAGAGTGGCAATACTGGTCCATTACTAGTAAGTGAGTATCTTCAACTGCTTTTTCCATAGCTGCTTATCCTGTTGGGGGTCGCAGGGGCTGGAGCCTATCCCAGCCAACACTGGGCAAGAGGTGGGGTACACCTTGGACAGGTTGCCAGACTATCGCAGGGCTGACACATAGAGACAACCATTCACACTCACATTCACACCTACGGGCAATTTAGAGTCACCAATTAACCTGCATGTCTTTGGACTGTGGGAGGAAGTCGGTGTACCTGCAGAAAAGCCACACTGACACGGGGAGAACATGCAAACTCTGCACAGAAGGGCTCCCCCACTTCAGGGTTTGAACCAGGAACCCTCTTGCTGTGAGGCAACAATACTAAACACTGTACCACCGTGCCGCCCTCTCTTTAACTGATTTACTTTTTTGAAGACTTGTTTGAGCTTATTTGACTCTTCTTCTTGTCTGTGTCTTGTGGCTGTTACCCATTGGGAATTAAGTTTTGTGCCCCCAGAGCCTGTTTACAGTACCATCAGATACAGTGAGTGATGATCCAAATGTTCTGCTGTGACAGGGACACGATGTATTATAAGTGTAACTGTGACTCTGTGAGCTGATCTGTTCTGAATTCAGCTCAGATGTTTAATCTGAAGGCTCATTCTTGACCTTGTGATGAAGAAGAACCAAAAGGATCAAGACTGCTTTGTCAGACTGCTCTTTCCAAAGTCAAGAATTAATGTTCATGCTTCACCTATATGCCAACACAGATGAGAGGTCCTGAACGTGCTAAGCTCAAATGTCAGCTGATTCATTACCATGTCAACTAAACAAACTCATCATCTGCTGATTGTGACCATATGATGTGGTTGAAAACATCAGAAAAAACTAGTAACTGGTCCTTTGTCTGAAGTCTGTGGCATGTTTTTCTCAGTGTGTCTGACCTGGTTTTTACAAGCCACAATGATGTGTTCAGGTTCTGGCATCACGCTGCTCTCCTGGGCCACCAGTGTGTCCCTCTCAGACCCCGGTAGGCGGTAGGAAGTGAAGAGGCGATAGTACTGCTCCATACACAGAGGAGTTCCAGCCAGCTGGCCCCGGGCGTAGTCTACAGGGAGAGCACGTCTACACACAGATATATATTACTCTGTCAGGCCTTGTATTCACACATGACCCACAGCTGAAGATGATCGTGCTCACATTGTACGTCAACTTACGAATCAAGAAGTGTCTTATACTCCAAAACTCCAGAAATCAAGTGTGCGGCAAACCTAGAAAAGAAAACCTTCACTTTGTAAAAGACTTCCCAATACACACACATGTTGTACTCAGTTACTTCCTCTCATTCTCTCTGTACTTGTGGCAATAATTTGCTACATTTAGCCTCGTTCTAGTGTTGCTGTATTACACCTATCAGTATAAATGCTGTATGTAAATCATCTGGTTAAGGAGATCAATACCACGTTAACCAAACCACAGCCTTCATTGCCTCTTAGCCTTGACACCAGAGACCTGGCGTGGCCACTCGGTCCTTGAGGTGTTGTGGGTAATGACCCTATCTGTTAATGTGTAGCAAGGAAGTGTTCAATTTCCTATAATCAATCAAAGCCAGTCTATGAGTAATTTATACAGTTCGCTATCATTTCTCAGGTCTTTATACTGTAACCATCAAAAAATGCCTTTATTACAATGCATGGTAATTACAGCTTGTTTATTTACAGTATCTGTTGTAAACATCTGTGTCCTGTCCTGTGAGATTTTACTCATGACTCCTCTGTCTCTGTTGTGCAGCGTCTTGTACCGTAAAGAGTCGATGGGAGCCCTGAAGTGCTGCTGTGGGAAGACCATCACAGGACTGGAGTTGACGGGCAGAGCCAGTCTGTTGTTCAGGTACATGTCATTCAGCCAGTACTCATACACCTACAGTCAGGCATGGAGAGATTTGCTTAAAGGCCTAAGTATCTGTTTACATCAGTAAGGTTTCTAAACAACTGTGTAAATTAAACCTATAACACAGAAAGCAGTTTATTTGCTCTTATAAATCATACATCAAATTTGTATTTAAAAATATAAATGACTGGTTTGCACTTTATGTGTTCTTAGCAGTGTTAATCATTCAAGTCTGAACTTTAAAATAAACAGGCACATAAGTTTCATTATTAAGTGTCACCAGTTGAAAACAATTTGTCAAGGGATTTGAAATTACTTGACTTTTGACTAATTTTATTTACCCAGTTTGCCTTGTTCTCCCTCCTCTCCGTGAGTTTGCTCTGTAGTAGCTCCCCCACTCCTCCAGGGGCTCCAAACTGCTTCACTGCATTTTGGGTCTTGTTGAACTGCTCCTCTGTGAGCAGGTGCTTCATGCACCTCAGGTACATGTCCAGTGTTTCTTTCAGGGCCGGGACTGGCAGCTTAGGAAGACCCTGAGCAGTGTTAGGGAAGAAAAACTCTTTATTTTACCTAAATTTGTAACAGCAGTTCATTTAAATTTCTGAATCTCCTCTGTCACATGCATTTCACCTTTTTATAAATAGAATTTATCATGAAAATACTTTAAATCAATAATTATTCACTTTGCAGTTGTACTACTACTTGTTGTATTACTTGTTATTCCCTTCACTTGACACAGAATAAGATATTTAATTAAAATTTCAAAGCATATTCTTATAAAATATCATTCATAGATTCCTAAAGTCACTTTTATGTCTCAGCTTTAATAATATTCTTAACTTCAATTTGATTTTTGATGTTCCAAACTAATCTATCATGCTTATTCTAGTGAAGCATACATTTATACAATATAAATATGTGTATATATACATATGTATTTACATCGCTGCCCCCTAAGTCCTTGGAGGGCTCTTGGTCCAGAACTGGCATGTTGGCAGTGCGCAGAAGAGCAGCCTTTGAGACAGACTCTGTGTCCACAAATAAAATTATATCAGTAACAAGTTCCGGCAATTTAGAATATCCATCAGTCACTATTACAGTCTGCAGTTCACTTTAAACGCTGCACTACTGTGAGAATTTAAGACAAATGTACAGCAGTACTCAATAAATAAAATGCATCACTTCAGTAAACTCTCTGGGTGTTCAGCTCAACTCAAGTGTACATGTGAGACCAGCTAATGAAGCTCTAGGGGAGAGTTGAAGTAACTCTTTTTTGGGAGCTGAACTTTGAACCCTGCTCAAGAGTTAAAACATAAATCCCAAGTCGAGTAAAATACAGCTCTGTCCTTGAGTTGATTTTATCATTAACTACTTTTGTAGCGTTAACAGACAACACTTAGAAGTAGGTTTTATTAACATGTGTGGAGTTAATATTTTACAATACTAAAAAGGTTTTAGGTGAAAATAATCACACACACAAAAAAACATTGATTATTCTAAATGTTTAAGTTGCAAAATCCTTCCACAGTGTGTTCAAAACTCCATGCGGCATGGATAAGTTCTTGTATAACAAAATAGAATTAATGCTTTTTATGTTACAGCAAACATTCATATTAAAACAAACTGATAAGGCAGCTATAGCAGTCACATTGTGTGCTCAAAATAAAAGTGACAAATAAATAAAACAAGTAAATAAAATGGATGTATAGACAAAACTGTGCACACATTGTCAATACAGTACATATAGTTATTTTAACACTGCATAAAACTTATCTGTGATGCAGGATCATGTCAACATGAAGGGCTTCTAACTTTAAACATGTAAAACATTAAAGCAAGAATCACTTCACAATGTTGACAACCTAAATAAAATGATTCTCTGATGCAACAAAAAAAGACGAATCACCCCTATTTGGGTATCAAAACATCTGACATGCCTTATCTCTCCCACCAGTATCTTCCTGGGGATGTTTTCACTCACATGGAAAGCATGGAAACAGGTTTCATACCAAACATTACTAAAACAATCATTGTGCAAAATGATAGTGGTTAATTTTCTGAACACTGGCATGTTTTCAACAGTGCCTGTGCAATCAAGGAGGCCAACACAATATTCAACTTCATAACACTTAAATCATTATGTAAGGTTGACAGTGGCTTGTGAATCAATGTGAAGATGCACATATGTCTTCTGTGTATTCTAGTGTTTAAACTACGCATTTTAATTCCAATAACAAACTACAGAAAACAGGTGTCTTTTTTTTTTGCAAGTGACAACCTCAAATTCTTGTGTGTTAAGCTTCAAAAATACATCATTATATTGAAGTTACTCTGACAATTAATCTCTCACAACCTGACATTTAGTTTGGAAAGTAAAATAGAGCTATTACCTGCCTTAAGAGTCTAAACAAAGTCTAAGGAGATACCTCTAGGCTCGGCAGCAGCAGAGATGTACCGATAGTCTGAAGGGATTAATTGACATCGCAGTCGAGTTGAATCACGCTCAACACCCAGTGAATGAACACCAAAATATTACTCCGCCAAAGATAATGCTTGAACCCAAGCTGCTGTCTACATGAGAAAATAAACTCCAAAAATCTAACTCCATCACTCTTTTTAATCTAACTCCAGATTATTCCACTCCAGAAATTTGCTGTGCACTTTACAAGATGTTCAAATACAGCACTCTTAAATAACATTTACCAAACTGAAATAAACCATCACTTAAAAATTAAATGTTTTACTCACCAGAAAGAAAAAAGACAATCCCACTCGTCCTGGGGATCAAGCAACGATTTTAGGTTCATTCATTCAGCCGTGAATCCATTTCTGGGGTAATTTCTCTTTAAATTTCACTATTTTTCTCCTGCCATCATTTTGAGCATATTTGAATCCTCAGCATGGCAAGAGCGCAACTCCCTCGCTGGCTCAGGAGGGATGCTGAGAGGGTACCTCACCCTCCTGGCTGCCAGGCTCCTCCCAGAAGTCCTGCTATTCGCCGAGAAGTTTATTTGGCACTTTACATCTTCAGCCCACCTTATTTAGACACCGGCTGAACGCCTCGGATGCTCACACGCTGTGCAGGGGAACAATTAGGATGTGTTTTGCATGGACTTCTTCCTTTGGCTGTCTGAATTTATAACACTTTCCGTCGGCGCATACATTGCTTCCACCTCACTGCATCTGACAGACTTAATTGGCGTTGTGTATATTTAATATTATATGCAAAGATTTGCGTTTTGGAGGAGCACAGATGCTTTGACAAACGGTTTGTTGACATAAAATTATTGTTAGAATTTGTACCCAAACTATTTTTTTAGAAGTTGCCGTTTAACTAATGAGCATCACAAAAGTATCTCTGGGTAGGCCTCAGTAAGTTTAATTTTCGATTTTTCAATTAATGCACACACAAAGGCAAAAATGCAGGAGTGTAACACTTTATAAATATAACCACAATTCTTATGTATTATCATGATAATTCTGTTAGTATGGACCCTTCACCTGTTGTGGACAATAAATGTGTCATTTACTGTAAAAAGTAATTTCATTAATTGCCTAAATAAATGATTCCCATGACCAGTCTCATTCACATAATATTCATTTAATTATGTACATGAATATACATGTATGTACAGTCGCAGATCACACAATGAGGCTATGCATTCCAGAAGTACATCATCCAAGATAAACAAAATAACCAGACAACAAGACGCACATTTCAGTCCATGTTCATCTCTCCAACAGCGTCGTGTGACACAGTATTGCATATTCAGTTTAGCAGCACAACTCTGGCAAAAAAAAAAAAAAATACTGAATACAGGTTACATTGAAAGACGCATACGTTACAATTGTTCTTTCCTTAAAATACATTTACATATAATCCCTGAATATGAGTCAGTTTCTGATACAGTGATAAATACTGTTAATGAGTAGACATTTATCTCAACAAATCATTCACGATACTCTCACTTTAAGATGAACAAACGCCAGCGAGCGCCTTTCTACTGCAAAAGCTTGAAGCTACTTGATTTGACAATACCCGGAGGAATTGTCACCAGGAGCAGTAAATAATTTATGTCGTTACACAATCCTAATCGTGTTATGCAACTGATTGAATCGGACGGGATGCACACAACTCTACATGGGCACTTTGATAGTTTTACACTCAGTTAAAGGTCTTTTACGCATACTCTCCTCCTGAGGATTCCTCCTCCGAGTACGATCGTTGCGCAAAGGTTTCAATGCCATTCTCGTCGATCGTTGTACACAAGCCCTTTCTTTTCTTCTCTCGTTGCTCCATCTTAATCGTATCATACAGCCCCGTTGGGCCATCCTCCAGGAGCATGTTTCTCTCGGAGAAAGAAGGCTTCATCTGTGCCACGTTCTTCAGCAGAAGGAGCGCCGGTGCGTAAAGCACATTGGCGAGGCCCATGCCGAGGTTGAGCTGAACAAAGCCCAGGTCGTGCACTATCTGTCCAGCCACCACGGGCCCCAGGGCATAGGCCACGCAGTAAGAGATGTCTGCGATGGCGTACACGCTGCCATACACCGACACATGTCGCACATCCACCAGGAAACCCAGTGTTGGCAGGAGCGCCGTGTCCACGAAGGCAATGCCAAAACAGATTCCGCACAGCGGGATCATGAGCTGTCCAAAGTTTTTACAGGCAGGCACGGTGCAGGAGCTCGCGCCTATGAACACCATACCTATAGCCCCGTAAAACCACTGGAGGTGAGGGTACTTGGCTGCTAATTTGACAGTGAGATATACGCCTAAAACATGAGGGAAGAAGGCAGGGAACCATGTCATGCCGATCTCCCACTGGCTGGCATGCATGGTTTCCTCCATCCAGTTGGCAATAGTGGGTTCAAGGAAGGCGAGAGGGATGTTACAAATTGTCAGAGCACCAGCCACTACAGCTATATAAGGGTCAATCATCAGTTTATAAATGGGGGTGCCCACTGGCATGTTTTCTCTCTCTCGGTTAGAGAAGGGCTTCAGCACAGTCAGGCACAATACACCGTCAGTGAGGCAAATCAAGGCCAGGATCAGGAAGGGCACCCGCTTCCCTGCAAACTGATAGAGGACCCCTCCAAAGGGGGGCGCCACAAGACTTCCAAAAGAGATGAACGCCAAGGCAATACCCAGCGCTTTGCTCCTCTCTGTGTCCTCTGTGTACCTGTCTGCGATCAGAGCGATCCCCGCAGTGTCCGCGAAAGCCGAGCCGAGGCCCTGCATGCTGCGCGCCAGGAACAGAGTCGCGTAGTTTTCAGCGAAGGCAAAAGTGAGGGTGGACAGAAACATGACATTGAGACCGATGAAAAGTGGAATATCATAGCCGACCCTGTCTATGAACGTGCCACTTAGCGGGTTCACCAGGAGCTGCAGGATGGCCTTGGAGGCAAAAAGAACACCAATCTGTAGGTCGAAGTTCCCCTTGCTTGTTTTGTGGACGGTGCTGTTAGTGAAGTTGGAGTGCCGGTCAACGACTTGAGCGTCATCCGCTGCTTTCTGTAGCTCTTCAAGGTAGTCGGGTATAATTGGCACAATTACCATGTAAAGCATGTTGTCTAACAAAAGTGCTATACAGACTATTACTAGAATAATCCGTTTCTGCCGATCTGGGTCTTGGATTACATTGCCCAGTTGTTTAGTTCTTTCGCCCATCTGGGACAGTTTGGAGGCGGCAGATTGTGCCATATTAGTGGCTTGTCCCTCTGTGGTCCCCTCCGGCTCCATGATTTTCTCCCTTTCCGGCTCAAGTCTTGTCTTTTGAGAAAGAAAATCGGCTTCCCCCAGTTGATTTGTTTAAAGAATTACGCACGCTTGGCACATCTGCTCTGTCTTTTATTTAGTTTTCTTTTTCCAGCACCGGGAGCTCCACTAATGAGCTAGATAACTTCCCTCTGCTTTACCTCTTCTCTGTCCCTTGCGCCGTCCGTCATCGCACGCGCTTTTCCACTCCCGTGACTTGGACTCGTTTTATCCCCGTCTTCCCTAGTTGCTTCATTGTCTCATATCCCGTCATTCAGGTGACGCGCTGGTCCCGGGCAGCACTCACAGGTTGGGGATTCACCCACAGCTCACAGTGTCGGCTTCACCAGCGCACTCGCTGTTTTAGGTCCGTCTGCTGCGTCCCTTCGGCTCCCAGACGCTCCCAGCTGTCTCCAGTCACCTGTAACACTGTGAGCTAAGTCATCATTTCACATCAGCCGGACTAGTTTTGTCGGCCGTGGAAGGAATACACACTGCAGTTTGTTGACTCCCATAGGTGCCCCCCTCCCCACCTTCGCCGATGGCTGTGACGCACAGTCCTGCTGCTCTCCAGAAGATCTTTTATGCTAATTAAATACAAAATCCCGAGTGCGCACTGCTGTCCAGTCAGTTGCTTTAAGACAGAGGCGAGGGTGCTTACTCCAGTTAATGTTACACTTAAATAACCAAATAGCGTCTACGTACAATTTTAGACATTAAAAGTAGGGAAAGTATATAAGTCTTAAAATCTCTGGCAATTCGGCTCAGTAACATCAAGAAACATGTTGTTATCAATTTTAATCTCAAAGTTAACAGTGCAACATGGAGAAAAAAAATCCGTTTTCCGCGTTACTTGAGGAAACAAAACGGATTCAGTGTGTGTGTGTGTGTGTGTGTGTGTGTGTGTGTGTGTGATTTAGTGATTGTAAAAAATGAAAATAAAGATCTTACCACTTTGTGTCTAAACAGATCTTCATAATCAATATTCAAAGATCTGAGAAAAAAATGACTTTACGCACAACTGACAGCTGATTTTAACCCTTATCATCTACATTTAAATACATTATTGTCCTTCAGCGCCAACTTCCTCTTACTTTTCTTTTCAAATATGTTCTTTTGCACAAAATATACTCTGTTGAACATTTGTTTTCCTTTGCAAAAATATAGCTTTTAAAAGAACATCCCAAAAGTCGTTCATATCGCTTCGGTTAAATCTGGAGATACAGTTCTATCATATTTGAAAAAGACTTAAAGAGCGCTTTTTAAACAACATAAGACGAGTGAACTGCGGGTTTAAATACAGCTTGACACCGCCATCTTCCGGTGCAGAGAAGCTTCAGCAGCTGTCACCAACATTTACTATACTCCGTGAAAGCAATTTACTAATGAGGCTGAATAATTTGATTTCAAATGCACATCTTTGGAGATTTTTTTTCAGCTGTTTTTCCAGGCTCTTTTCAAGATATTGACACCTGTTAGATTACCGTTTTTAAATCAGGAATGTTGGTTTGGAAACTGCAAAGGACGCGTTTCTTGTCTATTTCAGTTGCTTCTATATGTTGTTAGAATGAATAATTTCACCACATGGTCGGCTTTTGCAGTGGACTACAGATTGATGATCACATCTGAAACATGACAAAGAGCAGTACTGACATCTAGTGGCAGAAGAATGAACTGGAGAAATTGAAGAAAGCGTTGAAACCTGAAAAGGTCCCTACTACTGTACCAGATTCCATCAAAATATTTTATTCTACATCTGAAAAAAGAACAAAATCCACTGATTCCTTTTCAAAAACATGATTTGATGGTAATTAATTTTATGAATGTAATCAAGGTTTAGAGAGGCAGACTATCTTTGAATGATATTATGCTTTTAATAATTCAATAACTAGAAATTTGTATGTTGACATCTGAGGTTTCAGCCATGTTGCTTTCATTAGCAGTCAAAATGACTTCCCAGTTGGTTTTATCCTTGGGTGTTATG